CTAATTGGCACATCAGGTACGGAGGGGATAAATTAACTAATTGTGCGGCCATTCTGGTCGCAACCTTTCTGGTTTAACAATTTGTTACTGCAGAAACAGAAGGAAGAGCAGAGAACGTATTTCATAGGCTGTTGCCTATTTTATCAGGGCCGTTAAGGGACTAGAAGCGTAGCAATCCATTATCCGACCTCCGTTGAGATAGGCAGAATGAAAGAAATAGAGGTAGTCCCGAAATAGCTTAAATAGGTTAAGGCAGCAGGGTCTATGGTTGCTGTCGTTGTCTTGACTGGTGTCGGAGATAGTGGTTGACGACTGACAGTTCTATAGCTAGAGCATCCATAACCTGTTTAGTAGTGGAGAAACAATCTATTGTGTGAACTTAATTGCCCTTTTTTGCACGTTTTGTGAACCAGCGAGCATTTTGATTCTCACTTCATAGAGAAGCTCACTCATACTCCTTGCAGGACGCTAGGTCCCATCGCGTTAGTTGCCGCACACATCTCCCGCCCCATTAGTCATCTGGCTATAGTATTGACCTGCAAACCATCATCAATCTTCATCATCTTCTTCTTCTGTAAACCTTCATCCCGCCATCGCGAAACGCACCAAGAGAATGAATCAGAATCAAGCTAGCGCAACCTTTAGTGGTGGTAGTGAAACGGGCGCCGAGCAACAGGCAGGCAGTCTTAGTAATGACAATAACCAGACACCTCTCCGCCGCTTTCTTGCTTGTCTGAACGCCCGAGAGATTTCCGCTACCCCCGCTACCACCAGCTACCCTACCTTTGTCCTTCAGCCAGGAGTGTACGCAAAAACCTTAGAGTCTCTGGAGAAGTCTGACGGTGAGCTCTGGGCATTTGTCTCTGAAAGTCTAAGGTAAGGTTTCAAAAACCCCGAGGCTCAAATTAGATCACCTACTGAGTGTAATTCTTTTAGACACGAACTTATCGATGACAAATACCTTATTGTCAAGATGCCCGTTAGTCTTACTCATGAGGTCACTGTTAGCAAGGCCCTCTATTTGATCCAAACTCAGTTAGATCTCATGCAAGAAACCTCAAACGAACCCGTAAAACGGCTTACTCAGGATATCATTATGGGTGGTTCTAGAAATTGCCAGCTCTATGGTGCCGATACTCGACTTCAACCCGATGGGCAATTTATTGTTCAAGGTTCTTATTTTCCGGGAGTTGTTCTCGAGGTCGCACATTCTCAGGATTTCAGTTCTCTTCAGAAAAAGGCTGAAAACCTGATCGTTAGGTCTAAAGGCAAGATTCAGCTTGTGATCGGTCTTGAAACAGCATACAAAATCTCAGCTTGGCGATCAGAGGTTATCCGAGTTGGGGATCAAGATACTGTCCAGATAAAGACTATCGTCAACAGAGATATGATCCAGGACGCTAATAGCAACCGAAAGTCTGGCTCGCTGGTCTTCCATCTCAAGGACTTCGGTACCGATCTCGAAACCAAGTATCCCGGTGCGGATTTGACCAAGGCGATCACCCTTGATTACCAAAAGTTGGCCGAAATCATCACCACTGCACACAAGTCTGATGTTCCATTTCCGAACTGAACTAGGTAAGTCTCTGATTCGGGCCGTCTACGACGATACAGCGCAGGCTGATATGTGCCCGTCCGAAGATGGCATTAGATTATTGAAAGTCCAGAGATTGAGAGTCTGGAGATGAGAAGTTAAACTGTTAAACCGGAGAGTGCATTAACATAGATTATCCCTACCCGGAGCTCACTGGGCTACATAGATTACCCCTACCCAGAGCTCACTGGGCTGCGAGGATTCAAGCACAGCTTCCATCAAACTTTTTATGGGTCTACATAACGTAGGAATATTTTTCGGTGCTCAAGGTTGTTTGATTGCCTCAGCGTCCGCACATCTATCCTCCACTCTGTCCATTTCCACCCCCCTTTGCTTGCGGTTCCCTACATTCCTTTTCTATTTCTGTAACATCTACATGGCTCCCATAGGCCCAAACAGCCGTTAGGGAGGCCTGGCCATCGTCTTGGCCGCCTCTTCCGCCGTCTATGAGGCCTCTGCCGAGGTAACTGACGAGTCTCTTGTCTTTTAGGCGAGTTTTCTACTTTTTTGTCGGTAACCTTTATCTGAACATTCACGTCGCTCACGCTCTTCTTACATTTTGGATTTTTATACCGGAACAACGCATAAAGATGCTTAGCGTGTTACTGATTGGTTACTTGAATTAAAACTAAACAACAAAATCGAGGTTTTGTATGGACTTCAGTGTTTGCGGAAAACAGCACCACAAAAAAAACACAGATGCATAGCAAATAGGAACAGGACGAAAGGAAATACAATTCAGAATGCACTGGGCAGGAAGCAACAAGGCAAGAAAATATGGAAGGACGGTACGTAAGGAAAAAGATGCAAGATGGAATAGCTACTTAATGCGAACTCAGGAAGTTGGGAAGGGCAGGAAAGGTACAAGAGAAAGAAGGAAGCAGAAGAAAATAGGCGAATGATCACCTTTTATACCCTGCCAGTGGTGGAGCCCTGTTTGCACGCGAACCTGAAAAAGAGGTAAAGGGTGGACTGACTGGGCTGCTCCTTGAGTCACCCACCGCAGGCGCCGAGATCACAGGTCACGATAAACGTCAGCATGAGAGCGTGTGCTGGTTGCGAGGGCATTGCTCGGAAAACAACCGACTAAGTGGCGGTGGATGTAGGTCTCAAGATCCTGAGGCGCTCCGCCGTCCCTCGTGGAAAATTTTAGCCCCTCCTTCAGATGCACGGCCAGACCAGATTTTGACGGAGCTTGTTGAATGTGCTTGAATGATGTTTTACTGCAGCGAGGGGACTTGCTGCGATGAATGATTAGATGGCAAGCCAGAGCTTCCACGGAACTTGTGAATCCTCCCCTGTCGCTACACCGAACGAGTAAGCCCCCTTCGCATGAGCTGCGTGGCATTTTTGAACGATTTCAAAAGACGTTCATAGTCACGATCCCACTCTCAAATGCGATTCTGTTCAAGGAACTATCGAGTGCGTGAGAGTGCCTAGTTCATCACGACGGCAGAGCGCGACGCAAGGCAGGGTAGGAGAAGCCACTACCCCTGTATACCCTTGTAGATCAGGCTTCGCGCCAGAGCGAATAGATTTTCTTATGGAAATCGTCACAGCAATCCAAGGCCACGACCGAAGCAAGGTAAGCAAGGTTCCGGACCACCCCCATTGAGAACCTGGATTCATAAAGATCAAAGAAGTCGATCAGAGCGCAAGGCCCCGGACAAAGCGCAGAAGAGACCCCCCAACCTTGGCTGTTTACCGCACGATACTCTCGCACAAAGCTGAACTACTAGCAGTCCCCATTCGGCATCCTCCGCAGACTCTCCGGGTTCCGCAGAGTTACCACTACTACCCGCAATCAGACCTAACCTGACCCGACCTGACCGACGAAGCCGCGCGTTAATAGTGCTTCGACCCAGTAGGAAGACCACACTGACGACCAAGAAGCACAGAGAACGTCACGCCGAACATCGGCAACCCAGCCATAGAGAGAGAGACCAGAGCTGACTCTGTAGAAACAAAAAATACCTCTTCGTAGGATATGTAGATAGATAAGACCAAGTCGGTAAGGGGAAATCAGCAACAAGCACGCAGAAATTGAGGGAGTCATCCAAGGACGGTGTATGAGATGGTAGGTAAGCAAGCAAGCGGAGAGCGAATTTCGAGAAGTTACATGAGACGGATGAGAGCTGAGATGGCGAGTCATTGACTGCCTTGGTTCTTAGGGAACAGCCTGGAGAAGAGAAGCCGCAGATAGTTTGCAAGATGCTGGTCATCCGATGGAATGAGCTCCGCGCCATCTAGCAATTAGTGTTCCTAGGGGAACGGTATCGTATATAGAATTCGGACAAAGAGGGTGTTCGTTTGAGAAATGTGATGAGAACATGCATTGACGATTCTATGGCTTGAGAGGAGATATGGTGTTACTAACATCGAAACAATGCCGACCAGACAGCAGTACTCCGCTCGCTATAATGCCATACGCTTGCCAGCTGCTCGATGCCTTCCATCATAGGCCATAATTCTCGAATCGGGAACCAATTGAACTCATCATCCTCAAGCTTTGCCGTCCGTGCCACTATTGACACCTTTGGACACACCATCTAGTAGACCATCCGCTTCTTCTAGCACACCATCACCCACCCCTCCTCTAGTAACAGCAGTGGGATCAGGCGATTCAAGTCCCGTTGCAGCCATTGGTGAACTAGGTGAGGCAAGCAAGGATTCTCTCCTCATCTTCAATTTCCTTTCCCCGTGTTCGGATAACCGATTCAGTTCTGCAACGAAGGACTTGCCCCAGAAAGCACTGACAAGAGAGAGTCAGCATAATACGCAGTCACAAAGTTCAATACTATACCTAGTGTACTTCGAAACATATTTGTCCAGCTTGTTGAAATTGATAAGGCGCTGTTCATCGCTCATTGTGACAGCTTCTTGCAGAGCACCAGCAAGCTCTTCTGTATTCCATGGGTTTACTATGATGCTTCCATTTAGACTTTGGGCAGCACCGGTGAATTCCGAGAGGATCAGGACGCCGTGACGCTTTCGTTGACAGGCGATGTACTCGTATGAGACAAGATTCATGCCGTCTCTAGTTGAAGAAACCAAGCACACATCTGACGCCGCGTAGAGGGCTATCAGCTCTTCGAAGTTGACCGACTGGTGCATCCAGTGAATGGGCATGAATTCGATGGTGCCTGAGCATGTTAAGACTTATTCCGTCCTCCTGCATGGTCTCACTCACCAAATTTGCCATTTATCCTTCCGACAAGCTCATTCACCACTGCGCGTAGATTTTGATACTCCTCAACATCTTGTCTGCTAGGAACAGCAACCTGCACAAGCACAACCTTGCCAATCCACTCAGGATGATCGGTGAGAAAGACTTCCAGGGCATGCATCTTTTGTGGAACACCTTTGATGTAGTCCAGTCGGTCGACACCAACAATGAGCTTGACCCCTTGAAACTTTTGCTCTAAAGCTGCGATTCGCTTCTTTACCTTTTCTTTCTTCAACCCTTCAGTAAACTTGTCGGGGTCAATGCCGATGGGAAAAGCTCCGACTGTCACTATCTTGCCTTGATACTCCACTCCATTGGGCGTTGTCGTGAGGCCAAGGATACGCGAGCAGCTGCTCAGGAAATGTCTGGCATAGTCATAGGTATGAAAGCCGATGAGATCGCAGTGAAGCACTCCTTCCAGGATCTCCTCCCGGACCGGTAAGATTCGATATATCTCGCTGGATGGAAAAGGTGTGTGAAGGAAAAAGCCGAGCTTGACATTCGACTTGGACTTTCCAATCTCTTCTCGAAGCATTTGTGGCAGGAGCATCATATGATAATCATGTACCCAGACCAGATCACCATCTTGAACTTCTTTTGCAACAGCCTTGGCGAACAAGCGGTTAGTCTCTCGGTAAGCTTCCCAGGCTTCTTCATCGAAGGTAATCTCTCCCGGATGGTAATGGAACAGCGGCCATAGTATAGAGTCTGTCAAAGTCAGTGGCCGGGTGAAGGGGCAGGGAGAATTCTACGGACTTGAAAAGCCATTATAATGCTTCTCTGCCAGATCGTCATCGACGAAGACCGGATGAGCACCATAGTCGTCCTTGAGCTTCTTCTTCATGTCTTCGACCTCATCATCGGGAACCTGCAAGCCCGGCCAGCCATACCATTGGAAGGTGGTTGTCTTGGTCAACCCGCTTAGACCGCTGACCAAACCGCCAGAGGACATCGAGAAGTCATATTTGCCATCTTCCGACCTCTTGATCGTGATTGGCAGACGGTTGGAAACCAGGAGAAGCCGAGCATCGAGCTTGGCAGGCTCTTCGGCAGCCGGCATCGTGAGAAAAATGGTGTAAATGTATGTTATGCAGAGACCAATCGTTTGTTGAGCTTTGACGGGTGCAAACTCGGAGAAGTGAACTGGAAACCAAACCGAGCAACCTACGTGGTTCAACTTCCACACAACGCGCCTTCCGACCCTTGCTACTGCCAAAGATGAACTCGAGCTTTGGCCCTAGATGCCTACTAAACGAAATGCATGCTCGACATGTGCAATTGTATCAAGAACACTCTCGGGGTCGTAAAGACAACTTGATTGCAGTGGTATGATGGGACTTCGCAAAAGGATTAGGGTTTGGTGGCCTGATATCCAGTTTTTGCCGGCGGACAGGCGTTGAGGGACCAGGGATGCATTTATGGACTGGGTTGTGTTAACACCACCGATACAGACAAAAGCACTGAAGATTGACTGTGTAAAAACACAATCGAATCAATACTGGTGGAGCTGAACTGGATCAGATTGACTTCAGTTGTTTACTTAGTGCTGATCACCTCACACCTCACACGTCATATGTCTATTTCGGTACCGTTAAAATCCAGCACCTCGGATAACATTTCCGTCAAACGCACACCACCCGTTGATTCCCTAGCTAAGTACCCGCCAATGATCCGCTCCGCCCCGCCCATGCTTTCCATCTTCCTAGGCCAATCTCTTCCAGAAGGGCAGTGATATAATTCTTAGACTTTCAACGGTTCGGAAACCGTGAAGAATTCTGCTCCTATGGGCAGCAGAATTCGGCTTGGAAGATAGCCCTGTGGTTGGATTAAGCGACATGGCAAGCCCTGAGCGCGCTTGAAACCGTGAGGACATTTGACAAACGGCTGAGTGAGCCGTGACGTAAATTCTTGACGACCTAAATTGTGTCGCTACAAAATGGATTGTGCTTTTCTTGCAGATCTCTTTTAATTGCTTCCACAGAGTTTTCGACACCCTATCCTCGATACCACTGCTAACCCAACAACGGGAACCAGATACTTTAAATATTCTACTTATAGCTTATATTGAAATGCTTGAGATATCCATAACCCTGCTTCGTATCGTCCTGAGCAGTCCATATCATCATATATAGGAGAACAACCTTCAATAACCAAGGATGGAAACACATCACATCTATCAAGAAGTATGGATGATAACTTTGCTTCCATGCAATCTGTGTGAAATAAGCCTCTATGTTGTATGCTAAGATAACAGAGAGGCAATCGAAATATAGCCAACGAGTGGTCAAGTTTGTTGAGCCCGGCAACATGAGCCCGGCAACATGAGCCCGGCAACATGACAGGATACCATGCCGTGCCGATACTTATCACTACCAAAACATCCTTGGGCACTACCACATTCCCCATTCTATCTGCCGTAGGCATGTCCTTCGATTAGTGTGCAAGCCGTGCGCCATTTCCGTCGAATCAGTTGTCATTGGCAGGACGAACAGCTCCACTGTTTGGACACACTTGACCTCTTGCAATTCCAGAGGTCCTGCAGCCAAATGTTGCACACTCTGCATAGACTCTTCGGTCTCACGACAGGGATTCCACAGCCTTGTGCTGAACCACAGGCTCATCCGGATCTTTACCATAGCAATGTCATTGTCGATGACAAGTTCAAAAATCTTGCCCTGACTGACTGGCAGGGCACATGCATTGTTCCGTGGGAGCTAGTGGAGTTCCCACTGTTTCTGAGCACCGTCTCACGGGCCATGGATGCGGCTTTCAATAACGATCAGAATGGACAGCCAAAACCTGCTGACGCAAGGCTGAGGTGGAAGGAGCGGGCAGAATATGTGCAGATGGTCAAGGCTGCTGAGACGGCGATGAATAAGGATGCCGCATTATCGCGAACACTGGGCACTACTGACGTTCAGGGCTTGGCTCATGCCATCAAGGTGTATACTGAGCCTGGAAAGTTGAGCTTCTATGACAAATCCTGGACCTGTTCAGGGAGAGCGAGTTGTGTCAGTAGGAACTAGGTCTTAAACAGCAATGAGGATTGGTTGGGGAAATAGTAGACAGCATACGGAGTAAATATATGACATGTTTCACTGCATACACTTCGACAATTACCGAGGAAAACCCGTCTTCCCTCTTATCGAAGTCTTGGATATTCAGTGCCTTTTTGATTGGTGAAGAGGCCCAAATTCTAACTAGGTGACAGCAGGCCTTGGGAAGGCTGCCATCGAAAATGTATCCCTAAAGAGTGCCCCAGTGCAGTACTCCGCAGAGTAGAGTCTCCATCTCTAATCGCCGTATCGAGCACAATGACTTCCCTCAAGATCCCAATTCTCCTCCTCAAAACGAAATCGATCCCCAATGATAGCTACGAAGAATACTTCTCCAGTCCAAGCTCACTCTTTGCTCCGGTGTTTGTTCCTGTGCTCGAGCACAAGCCCAACGCTTCCAACCTTGAACAGGTAAAAAAACTGCTACAAGAGGGTGAGCTGAAAGGGAGATATGGAGGCATGATATTCACGAGCCAACGGGCCGTCGAAGGATTTGCGCAGGTCGTACAAGAGCTGGAAAGGGTACGAAATCTGGCGGAGAATGAGGAAGAGAGTATACTGGTGGGAAATGAACATAGCGAAGTGGGATCAAGTATGAATTGCCTAACAGTGTGCTGTATCATTATTTTCCTTTCAATTCCGGATGTCTCATTACCTTGCCATTCTGCTGTTTCTATTTCCACGTCTGCATCTTTTTTTTGACACCTTGTCTAGTACCAATCAGCAACTCAGCTGACCTTTCCTTCTCCTCACCCCAGCCCAAACTCAACTCCTGCCCTCCCTACCTCCCACCACCTCGACTCCAATCTTTCCCATCTATACAGTCGGTCCAGCGACGTCTCGTACCCTGAGAACCCTCCTCTCAACGTCCCCAACCATCCTTTCTCCCCTTCACCCGGAAATTCTAGGCTCTGAAACAGGAAACGGTGAAGCACTGGCAAAGTACATTCTCGAGCATTACAGGACCCTCTTCCAGCCCCAAACCCAACTCAACACCTCCAAAACATCACAGTCGTCATCAAACGATGGGGATGCCGAGGATTTCAACAACAAATCTCACCCTTCCTTACCGCCCCTACTCTTTCTAGTAGGCGAACAACGCCGCGACATCATTCCCAAAACGCTTATGTCCCCATCCCTCTCGCCAGAACAACGGACTCAGGTTGAGGAATTGGTCGTCTATGGGACGGGGGTGATGGAGTCCTTCCCCACGGATCTAGACAGAGCGATACGGATGTGCCGAAACCGTGCTTCCACAGGAAATACAGATACTGATATCGCGATTGACAGGAATACCAAACGCTCCGACCCTTCGCAATCGAAAATCGTGATAGTCGTGGTATTTTCACCCTCAGGCTGCAGACAGCTACTCCGGCGCCTTGGTTTCCTAGATGAAGGCGATAAAGCACGGTCTCCACCTTCCGCACCTACTACTGCGCTTTCCCTCCCTCCCGATCCCTCTTCATCAGCAGCAGCACCACCACTACAAAATCTGACACTCCTCAAACACCAGCAAAGCGGTCAGACTGGCTCAGCATTGGCCTCCTCAATCGACCTATCAACAACAGGGAGGCCAAGATACATCATCGCCACAATAGGCCCAACAACCTACGCCTACCTGCAAACCTCCTTCAATTACCAAGCGGACCTCTGTGCAGAGACGCCTAGTCCTGAGGGGGTGGGGAAGGGGGTTGAGGCATTTCTAAGAAAGGAGGGTTTGCTTTAAGCATATCACCTCTCGGTGGGTCCTCCAAGGGGTCTCTGAAGGGTTGGGAAGGACGTTGCCTCGTAGCGCGGCGTCCGGTGGCGAAACGTGTGGATGCGGGGAACCAAATATCTATGTACGCGACGGACAGGTCTCGGAAGACGAAATATTGTCACGGGCCTACAAGGCACGCCACGTGTTGTGTCTCGCTTGTCGGAGCGGAGGATGAATACAAGCATTGTGTAACTATATCACGTTGATCATGAGGAATCTGAAGGTAGCGGAATCGTGATTTAAGCGACATCCTTTCCCCCCCTTTCTCTCCCCCATTCCTCCGTGCTGTCTCTTTCCCTTGAGTAGAAGAGAAGAGAAGAGAAGAGAAGAGACCTATCCCAACTCCTCTCGCTGACCGAGGACCGAGGACAAATAGATTACTCGCTCCATTGACTGCCCATATCACTCAGTCCATGCTCCTACCCCTATCTCAAGACGATGAGACCATGATCCGGATCAACAGCATGAGAGCTACCGAGCAAAAAAGCACAGCTAAGCCATAAAAATGTACTGAGATGGCCTTCGGGTTGATGGGAGAAAGTTGGAGCAGCAGGAGGAGCAGCAGGAGGAAAGGGAAGGGGAAGGGGGCAGGACGATGAAAACGTAGCGACGAATATGAGTGGAAGGGGTTCTACTACTTCTACTTCTACTTCTACTCCTTCCTGATCTTGCTTTACCGTAGCCATTGAATCTTAGAATCAACAGGTCATGAAGAGTAGAGGGCTTGGACTCTCGTTCCTGTATGTAGGAGCTAGAGGGCTTCATTCGAGCACGACGTCAGCAGTCAGCGCGCATATGATGGAGCAGGGTACCAAGATGGACCGGTCCTGAAAGTCAGAGTTCAGGCGAGTGAGAACAACGACAAAATTGGCAAAAGAGAAGTGCTTTAGGGCCGGGGCTGGGGCTAGTATCAACGAACAATGGCAAAGCGCGTGAACGAAAACAAGTTGCGAGTTTTTTCTGCGAAGCTCTATCTGCCCGGCCCTGCCCGGCTCCTCGCCGTGTGAATGCATCCATCCGATTGCAAATGATCCTCGTGTCAACCAGAGCACCAAGAGAAAAATCTGATACACCTAACCATGCATACATATCATCCAGCTTGAACGAGCTGACAAGCGGCAGAGAGCAATAACAATAAAGCAAAAATCTGATATTCCCGATCGTCCGACAAGAGTCAGCCGGTCACGTCTCCAAACGTGGTTCAACGGCTTCTCTCCAGGAGCGGTTTGCGCCACGAAATGTTCGTATAAAATGAAGGTGGAGGTCCAGCTTCGAAGATCATGGACATCCATGATTATTCGTACTCGAACCAAATGACATGGCATCAATCAGCCTATCTCATGATTTCGTCGAAAATGAGTGCTAGACATCTTATCAGCAAAGTAACTTAGCCTTGCGCGAAAAGTGAACCTACTTTTCAACTGGTCCTTGCTCAAAGAATCCTTATCCTTGTCGAAGTTGAAGAATTCTTCGGGAATCGGATTCGCTGTCGGCTCATCTTCTGGATCATGGTACGAATCAAGATATGGATGTCTCAACGCTTCTTCCACTGTGATGCGCTTAACAGGATTGAATGCAAGCAATTTCTCAAGCAGGTCAAGGGCCAGATCAGACGTCTTTGGGAACATATGCTTGAGCGGAATCTTCTTCTTGAAGGGAAGCGATCGGATATATTCTCGAGCACGCCGAGATTTGATACCATAGTAGTCCTCCATGGTCGGCGTGCCAAGGACATCCAGTATCAGGGTCAATTGATGGTGGTCTGAAAGAAGTTAGTGGCCTTTCTGATCGAGCGCGGGAATTTCACGTACAATCCTTTCCAGGAAAGAGGGGTTTTGAGCTCAACATTTCTGCCAGGATACAGCCCACACTCCATACATCGATGGCTTTGGTATACTCCTTGAAGGTTAACATGATCTCTGGGGCACGATACCATCTGGTAGCCACATATTCCGTCATGAAGCCAGAATTATCATCTGTAGAGGCCGCAGATCGAGCTAGGCCAAAATCACAGACCTTGAGATCGCAATTGGCGTTTAGCAACAGGTTTGACGGTTTGAGATCTCTATGCAGGACGTTGGCGGAATGCATTGCCTTGAGGGCTCTGAGCGTCTGATAGATGAAGTATTGGCAGTGATCGTCTGACAGTTCCTGTGTTCGGATGACGCGGTGCATGTCGGTCTCCATAAGTTCCTGGATTAGATATACTTCCGTGAAGCTCTCATAGTTTCGAGGCTTCTGGATATCGAGGATAGAAATAATATTTTCATGATTGAAGTACCTTAGTAGCTTCATCTCTCGTAGTGTTCGTAAACAGAACATTGAATGATCGAATGGCGTAATCTTCTTGATGGCAACCTTTTGACCTGATGGTTTGTGCAGCGCCGAGCTGCACCAGGTTAGTCACTACGCTTTCCAATCAGCTCCGACAGACTTACCAGACAACACCATAAGCACCCTCACCAATCACATCCTGGATATCATACTGGTCTGAAACATTAAAGGAGATTTTTCGTGACCCTCCTGAAGGAGGCTGTGGTTGGCCCATGGTGATGAAAGGTCGGGAACTGTAGCAAGTCAGTGTTGAAAAATGATAAGATGTGGAGGTTTATCAGTGGGCGAAGAAAAAATCGTGGGAAGGGGACGACCAAGTATACAGGAGTTGGAAGTGGAGGGGAAAAGCGCCGGCAGGGCTGATTTGGGGCACCGGCAGAAAGACAGAAAGTTGCAGAGCACACATGTGCTTGGGAACAGCCAGCTGTTGGATGGTAAGAAACCATCATAGGCGTGACAAATTAGGTGATACAATCCGTCTTCCATAAGAGCTCGCAGAGAAGCCCATGTGCATTGTTCAAGCTCATTCTCTTCCTTTGCACAACATTGCTTCCAGCCTAGCAATCCATTGACAATGCACATGTCTTACATGCTCGCTGTACAGTAGAAGGAAGAGAGTTGGACAAGAAGACAACGTACCTCGTAAGCAATAAAGCTACCACTCAAGATTTCAATGCTCTTTTTGATGTTTGTTATCTCCTGTGCCCGTAGTCCTTTAACAAGAGGCTTTCTCGAGATGCAACGAGAATGCTATTGTCCTTGTAGGTTTCGCTAGATGGCCGCGGGACTTGCGAGGCTTGCGATTTATCTCTGAAGTTTCGAAATGACTTAGGCAGCGCAGCAGAAGGGAAATCGAAGCTGGCCTTAGGAATAGCTGATCGAAGAGGGTTTTTTTACGAACAGCAAGAGATGAGCGCTGTGTAGGAAAGTTAACTCAGAGCAGAAAGCGAAATGAACAGGGCTGGAGTCTCAGTTGGCAAGGGAGCGATGCTTACATTGAGCTGCAAGGGAAGACAATGAACAAAGAGTAAGGAAGCCTCTCTGGAAAGTGAATGACTTGTGATCAGGAGCCTGCTGAATGGGGAGAGTCTGTTCGATAGAGAAGATATTGTAGTGATCAATAGTCGGATAATCCACTGATTCAGGCTGTTGCTGTGGGTGTTTGAGGCTTAGAGCTGGTGGAGCGAGGGAGAACTTTTGAAGCTCGTACACGCTGCGTCAGGCACTGTGATACACGCGACTTAAGCGAACCAACAGTCGCGCTTGGAGATGGATTTCGGTTGCAGGAAGCCAGAATCACAGTCACTCACTGCCTTTGGCAGTCTTTGGCAGTTCTTTGGCCTTTAATAACGTCCTCATTCTACAAACTATCCTCGGAAGCTAGGGACCAAGTTCCTCTCGCCAGGTTGGCGGGGCTGAGATTTGGGGGCTGCTCCACTACAGCAGCCGCCGAACAACTGGATTATCAAAGGTCATCGGTGATCTTACACTCTTTGACACGCGGAGTTCAAACATGGATTTGGTCTATTTCGGGCAGTTGACCCTGTCGGTCCATCTAGTTGGTGGATCGTAGTCTGGAGGGAAGGATTTAAAGTTCGAGAGCGCCTGTTTCCACCCGCCAGCTTGCCGCCCTCCACTTGAAACGGCTTGTGTCCAATGATGAAACCCTGGGGCTCACACGGCCTATTTTCAGACAGCACCTCATCGTCCGAGCTGTTGCAAGGTCCCACGAGCCACTGCGACAGACCAGGCTTGATGATATCATCTGCTTCAGTAGTTCCTTGAGCATAATTGTCGGCAGGTTGATTGGTCGTTGGTTCTGTGTAGTAGTTACATTCTTCCATCACACACGACATCATTGCATCACCTGGGCTTGAGTCAGCAAGTTCCTCAGCAGAATGACAGAGACAACCAGTCATACCTTTTCTCTCAGCATGCCCATCCACTGCTGTAAGCTTACACCTTGATCTGCACGGTCCTCCACCAGCATCGTCTGGGCCCACAATCTTAACCCAGGCTCTCCGTCCTCCTTGACGACGTACATATGTGGTACAACGATGCTGCCCACGCCTTTGGATCTGTGGTCTCTGCTTTTCGCAATGATCGCTCTGACTCGCTCGTTGAAATCGTTTTCTAAAACAGGCAGCGTCTGTTTTCCCACTCTCAGTTGAGTTTTGTCTGGGATTCCAAAGACATCCTGGACGAGCTGAGGCACAGCGTCTCTGCCGACCCAGAGAAACTGTGTCTGGCCGTCATCAATCAGGTAGAGTCCATAGGGTGCCAGTCTCTCAGAAGACAAATTGCATGGCGGTGGGAGGGCAATCCCACCAGATTGCTCGTCAAAAACCCCAGCATCGTCTGGCATATCATGTAATGAGTACATTTTTGGATATACGTACTGAATGAGAAGCGGAAGTGGTAGGGTCGACAGGAGGCAAAGTGCAGCCGAGCGCATATCGGTTGGGATCTGCGAGGACTTTCGTAGACCCAGATTCTTCATCAATCCCAAGAAGAGGACCGGCAGCCCACGGAGATTGGCTGGGAATTGCAGGCCACCGCCGCCCATATTACCACCGGCTAGTTCTTTTCGATAGGTCGAAAGCATTTCTATCAATTTTGCTTGCAATGCATCTCGAGCCGCTTCGAGGCCGCTGCCCAGTGTTCGCTCCACAGCTTTGTGGCTAAAGTATGTTGCGATTGCTGCTTGATCGGCTGAGGCATAAACGTCAGCTAGGATTTGCGTTGTGGGAAGCGCCAGTGTCATCACTCGTATTCGTCGTTCTCCATTGCAGGTAGTGTGAAGTACGGCGGTTTGCATGCAGACTACAGGCTTGGTGATGCTCTCATCAATCGCAACTTCAACAACATAAGCCTGGTCGCGCGGGAACGCAGGAAAGGCGCACAGGTCGGAGCTACGATTGAAGAAGTTGCCGTAAAAGGTACTCATCCTCAAACCAGTAGTTGCTCGAACTCGAAGTACAGCTTCAAGACCAATCTCGGAAGACAAATAGTCGGAGAATTCCGTTGCAAACTTCATGGCGTCCTCCTCTCGTGCAGCATTCCATCCTGGGTAGAAGTATGTTTGTCCACCAGTGTATCGTGGTAGGTTGCTTAGTGAAGCCACGTCTTGATACTGCGAGGAGAACAGAAACATGTCAATAGAGATCTGTTGCTTGGAGCATTCCACAGCGAAAGCCTTGTAAAAACTGTTTCCAGTCTGCAACAGAGCACTTTCTTTGCTAGTGCCCAGTGCTTTCTTGTCTTCTCGCATTTCCAGCTTTCCGTGTCCGAGGTTGGGCAAAGATGCTGTGATGACCGTCATCTTACCTCCCACAGGTCCTATAAGCTTGTGACCGGCTCGAAGAGCAGATCCCATACATGAGCCGCCATTCTGCGTATTCTGGAACATTTCTTGTAGCTTGTCTAAGAAAGCCTCAATATTCTCACGACACTCTGTCATCGTGACCAGTAGATCACCGGGCGTAGGTAGAAAAGGTTCATCAAGATCGCTAACGACCAACATACTTGTCTCCACATTCTCAGTATCGTCCCTTGGTATCGAAAAATAGTGCAAGCTGGAATCAACAGCAATGAAGCCTAGCCGAGTCCTGCGATCTGCATTTGGTATTCGATCGAGGCTTTCTCTGATGCACCTTGCAGTTGTTGCAAGAAGACCACTGGTAACAGAAGCATAGCTCACGTCAACGAGAAAGAGATATACTAGAGGCTGTGGTGGCCGGACCATGTACTCTTGCGGGGCGACAAACTCGACCACAGCATGGTTCAAGTCAGGCCTCTGCCATCTATCAAGTCCCTTCTGGTTTGCAGCATCCCAATCAAAAGCCTGAGGTACATCGTTGGTAAGGTTGCACATGTTACACCGCCACCGGTGACCATGATCTAGGAAGGTCACGAAAGGGTTGATGTAAGACCGACATCTTCGACATCGTGATATAACCTGGTCCGGAACAATAGGGACGGGATCTTCGGCATCGTGGAGGGAAGAATATGGTTGAATGACGAGGGCCAAAGGGAGACGAGACTTTTTGAGTAAGGAGTGCGTGGTGGGGACTGCGTTAAGTGTAGATCTAACATACTTGGGCGGACAATTTGCATCAGGTGATGGCGTTACGCTGGTCTGTTGATATCAGCAAGAGTTCTTCTATGGTAGCTGTGCTACTTACATTCTGTGGTAATATAGCAGGCGGAGGGGGATAGTCAAGCTCGGCAACATTGAAAGGCGTGTTTAGTAGATCAATCGGATAGAGCTGATTGAGTGCTAGCGGACGAGCTGTAGAACTAGGGGCAGCAGAGGCCGGTTTTTGGCTCATGTCCATCTGACCAAACTGTTGAGTCATACTGTTCATCCCTGGCTGCTGGCCTGGATAAACTGGAACTGGAGGTTGATAGCCTCCAACCCCTGCTATCGGTGGTTGGCCAATGCCAGGGCTCTGCGCTGGAGCAGCTGCGCTCTGCTGATATCCTCCTTGGGGATAACCAGCCTCATGTGCTTGTTGAGTAAAGCCTCCCTCGTATGCTCCTCCACCCTGCTGCTGCCCGCCCAGCGCTGCATTGGCTCCTGCTCCAAAATCATAAGCTTGACCGGCATATGCTCGTTTTTTCCGTCCAGCACCGGCGCCTGGTGCAGGTACCACGCCAGCTGCTGTGCCAGGAGGAGATGTAGCGTCATACTGCGCCTGGTTGTATGGTTCTGCTGGATTCGGAGCATATGCATCCTGCGGAGGGTATCCTCCTTGTGGTGTCGTCATACTATCAAACTCGGGCCAAATGAACTGACCGGTAGTGCCGACAAAGGATTTACAAGGTAATCACTTGTTGCAGAAGGTATTCGATAGGGGCATGTGGACGAACTGGAAGAAATTCTGTTAAGGGACTTTATTTGTGAACGCAGAGATCAGTACAAGCCTCGTGTACCGTCGTTAAGGGAACACGAGAAGAGATGCGAACGACAAGGAAAAAGTAGAGAGGTGTCATTCACCTGACTCTGCTGCGCACTTTGAGATCAAAAGAAATCTGGCCAATCAAAATGGCTCGGAGCTAGACTTGGCCGTTCGACACACCGGGAATATTCAAATGTTTGAACCGAGGAGAGTTCACATCGTTGCCATGAAGCAGCAATCCCAAGGTGGAAAGATTTTGCAGTGAATATCTGGATGTATTCAACGCTTGCACATCTGACACTTCATTGGCAGCCTCAGTGCCATTACAAGGCAAGGACACCCTCAACATGCGACATTTGTACAGGAACCGAAGAGGAGCCATTTCTGTTAAATATTTCTTATTCAGCCTACAACCGTAGCATTGCATCGGAAGCTCCGTGCAGATACACATATTCCAGCATGTACCCGGAGGTACGTTCGTTGGGAAGCTCAGCATTGATAGAAAGCTCTGAGAGTCATATCGAAGGCGAATCTGCGACAACATGACGAGTCACCACTATTGTGATCAGGGCGACCAGCAAAAGCACAATGTCGCTCTTCAGCACAATGGGCCAGAAACAGTTGATAAGGGTTATGGGAAATCACTGTTAAAGCTATGCGTATGTTTAGCGGTGCTCTGGTCGAAAGTCTCAAATCCTTCAGAAAAATGCAGAACGACTCCTAGTTGGGAAGTGCTAGGGGTAGATCCAAATTTTCTGTCAGAATTGGTCCAGATTGTTATCTACGCAATGCGGCCCTTGAAGTTGATTCGCGCACTCACTCTCTGATCCCCATATGCGACGGCGGTTCTTCAATATCTTGGTATCAAGTTTGAGGTTGCGCTGCCCCTTCCCGCTCGCTGACCTCTTTGAATGGCGTGTGAGAGTCTCTGGTCTCAGAGCAGAAGAAGGGAGTACGGGCTGTAATTCGGTCGACAAAGAGGAGAAGCTGCGAGCTCTGTGCTTATGGGAAAGTCAGCAGTTATGTGATTTAATCGGCCACTGGAGAATATTTTATAGCACGGGTCTACGTCTTTGACAGAAGAACCTTCTAGACGTAGATAACACATCACACAAGTAGAGATTGGACCTGAATACCGTTCAATTTAAGTATCTTGTATGAGTGAGAACAGAGCTGACATGTGTAAATAGTGGTCAAAAGCGCGCTGGCTGAGCATGAGGAAGATGGTAACAAACATTTCTGTATGCTTGGATCGAGAGTTGCTTTGGCCGGGCTCATGCTTGCATTGTTTTAAGAATCCCAATCCGGGGTATAAGCAAACAGAACCAGAGCAAGTCTGCTACATCAAATGCACGACTGGGGTAGAAATGGAACAGTAGAGAAAGCTGTTATGTGCTCTCATTGGTACCTCTATGGAGCACATACAGTCTATTAAGAAGGCCATAAGGAATGGTATGGCTCAATCCATGAAGGTTGTTCAAGGTCGAACCACCCATTTTCTCAAAGTTCAGGTTTCAGAGGCCGTGTCCAAGACTCAGTAACGAAAAGGCTGAGACGCTGAGCTGGTCATCCTGCCCCTTGTTCTGTCTCACCCCTGATGTCACCAAGCCTAAACGCGGCTCAACTTCGGTTGTTGCTATGGGTCCCAAAACAATCCTAATCTGGACACAAAGACTGTGCTCGAGATTGCAAAAGCCGACTTGAGAGCTCGATCACTGCAAAACGGCACCAATCGACCAGCGAGAATGAGTGTGAGGGTCGTCGCGCGTATACGCCCATTATTGCAATCCGAAAACAAGAAGGATGCCATCGTTGAGGCCATTGGCACAGATGAAGCGAGCTCCGCGAGGCCCTCAATCGTCAAGATTCCGAACCCTAAGAACCTCTCAGAAGACTTCACCTTTCAATTCAATGGTGTATATGATGAGCAGGCAAGTCAGCAAGAGCTATTTGATGCAGAAGGCACGTTACCTTCAGACTTCCCTACCCGAGTTGGCATTGACAGCCATATCTAGTGACGCCTACAGTGAAGCATCTCTTTCTCGGTTTCGATGTCACCATCTTCGCATACGGCTCAACAGGCACCGGAAAGACACATACCATGCGTGGAGGAAAGTCACTGGCCGATCGAGGCATGATTCCAAGGCTGTTAAGTAGCATCTACCGCCGTAGTCGGAAAATGGAGAAGGATAGTGGAGGGGACACAAAAGTCGACATCTCGATGAGCTATTACGAGATATACAACGATAGAGTATACGATTTGTTTGAGTCACCGGAGAAGCGTACCGCTACCGGCTTGCCACTACGAGAATCAGGCGGCGGTAAGACGGTGGTAGTCGGTTTGTCTGAAATGCCTTGCGGCAGTCTCAAAGAATTTGAATTACTATACGACAAGGCAAACGCCAACCGAAGCACAAGCGCAACGAAGCTTAACGCACACTCCTCTCGTTCGCATGCCATTCTCTGTGTCAAGCTGACCGTCACAACCCCTACCGAAGTCCGGGTAAGTACAGCATCAGCCATCGACCTTGCTGGTTCGGAAGACAACCGGCGAACTGGAAACGACAAAGAACGGATGGTCGAATCAGCCAGCATTAACAAGTCGTTGTTCGTCCTGGCGCAATGCGTTGAAGCCATCAGCAAGAAGCAACAGCGAATACCATACAGAGAATCCAAGATGACTCGCATTCTGTCTCTAGGGCAAAATAATGGGTTTACCATCATGATATTGAATCTCGCACCGGTCAAGTCCTATCATCTCGACACACTCAGTTCTCTCAATTTCGCGAATCGCACCAAGAAAATCGAAGTGCGTGAGATAGAGAATGAACCTATCTTCAAAGGCCCGCCTAGGCCGCCTCCAGGAACTACAGGACCGAACATTCAACGCCAACCATTGAGACCTCTAACGGCAGGCATCAACATGAACCTTGCTGCACAAAAGACAGATACCAAGACGGGTGACAAACCATCCAAAGCCTTCTCCGTGTACTCCGACCGAGCTAGATCCCGAGCATCTCAAATAGCTCCTCCACGAAGCTCGCCCCTGAAGCGTGGTGCTGAGTCACTCGCATCCACTCGTCCCACAAAGATAGCAGCTCGTCCCACACCAACATCTTTCCTTCGTCGTGCTCCTCCTCCAGAACCCACCCTCTCCAAAGCCACAATCGAACAGCTAGTCGAGCAAAAAGTCTCCGCCATCCTCGCCGCCCGAAGCAGCCAACCAAAGCCATCTCAATCACTGTCGAACAATGCTTCCTCGCCCCTTCCCAAGCAGGCCTCCAATGCAGCAGCTGCAGCTCCGGCCATCAGCGAAGAAGTCCAACGGCGCCTCGCCTCCATCGAGCAGCGGCTCGAGGGCCAAGAAGGCGCACGTGCCGAAGGGCTATCTTTCTTGCTGATGGCGAAGCAGCATCAGGCTAGAGGCGAGCTGAATAGTGCGCTGAAGATGTACCAGTTGGCCCGGCCGTATTTTCCGGGGAATGAGAAGCTGGAGAGAAAAATCGAGGTGTTGAAAGGGAAGGTTGAGGGGAGAAGGAGAGGTGAGGTTGGAAGGTCCGAGCGTGGTGGGGCCAGGGTGGGTGGAGAGCAGAAAGAAGAAGATGGAGAGGGGGATGAATCGTACCACGACGACAACGAGGATGCGGAGGGCCGCGGTGCGGAGGATTCTGATGCGGATTCTGACGACGAGGAAGCCTTCCATCCCCTCAGAACCAAGAAAATTAAACCACCACCACAGCGCCAGAAGAGGTTACGGCTTTCCTCGCCTGATCCACTGGCCACGGATTTAGCACCCCCCACCCCTCGAACAATTCATCTTTTATCCGTCATCAATACCCGCGATATCAACCAGATTAAGAAACTCAAGGGCGTGGGGCCTAAGCGCGCAGAGGGGATTGTGGAATGCCTTGCTGAGTTGGGAAAGGGACAGGATGGTGCGGAGGCAGTGACTAGCTTGGAGCAACTGAGTGGTTTGAGGGGAGTGGGAAGGAAGACGGTTGAGGGGATGAGGGGTGGTATAGAGGCTTGAAGCCCTGGGGATTTGTCCGGGTATGAATTTGAGGATACTGGGAGTGGAGTTTGGTATCAGGTTTTTTTTTTCTGGATGAGGATGGGTGCTACGGTTCGTGTGGATATTTTTTTTCTATATGTGTGCTTAGCATTGGCGTTGTTGGACTGTGAATCAGATCTCTGATGCCAAAGAGCGTCGAAAGGTCACAATCATAATAAAGTGAACTCTTCAATTCAAAAGCGCTGGAGACTTCGACCAGAAAGAGATGTTCAGTTCGGGGTTCAGTATGAAGTTTTTCTGCTCTTCTTCCAGGTCATACTTGTGGTATGTTGCCTTATTGCCCTGCAAGAGAAACCCAAGAAGCTGGGTGCTTCCCTCGTCATGCTTTTACTCGCACTAAGCTCTATTCTCCTTTTCTTCCCCATGCCCTTTTCAAAATTCGCCATTTGGAGGAATGAGCACCTTCGTACAGCCATCAAGTCTCTTGTTGAATTTCTCGTATGCATCAGGCGCCTCCTCGATGCTGACCTCGTGGCTGGCGATGAAGCTGGGCTTGGCTTTCCTAGCAATAATCAAATTACGGAGGTAGCGATTGTACCGCCTGACGTCGGCTTGGCCTGTCGCTAAGAAAAGACCCTATATCCAAATAATTCTTTAGCTGTGGTGGTCTCCTGTGGTAGCTGGGTACTCGTTTATTCTGAAGGTTCTTGCCGGACAAATTCTTGCCAAGGCAAATAAAGGGGCGACATCAGCAGTCGACATATCTTTTCGAACAACTTCCTAAAGGAGATCAGCATCTGTCTCTTTGGACCTTTTTCATCCGACGACCCGGGATCTTGAGGGAGGTAAAGTCCAGGTATGCCCATACCGCCGCAGGCCCGAGTCACACGGATCATGTTCTCCAATATGATGTTTGGTTGCTCCTTCTCGCCGCTGCTGTCAACGGCCTGATAGCCTACACAATCGACTGATCGATCCACCATTTCATCATTCGCTTCGATGATCTGGTATAGAGCATCTGATTGGGTAAAGTCGATTGGCATGCATTCAGGAATTTTTCTAGCCGCAGAGAGCCGCTCTGGAACGCGATCGACGAGATAGATCTTGGAGGCTCCTAGTATTGAGGTAGAATAAGAAGCCATCAGGCCCACCGGCCTAGCACCGAATACCTGAGCACAAGCATGGTTAGTAGTACTCTAACCAACCAAGAGGGAATAGGGTGGATCACTAGATGCATACAGCGATGATTTCTCCTGCCTGGAAACCGCTGATCTTGACATCATGCCATCCAGTCGGGAAAATTTCTGCAAGAAGAATGAAGTCTGCATCATGCTCTTTGCCAGCAGGCAACTTGAGGGCATTGAAGTCGGCAAAGGGTACTTGCAGATACTGAGCTTGGCCGCCTCGGTATGGGCCCAAGGCAACGTATCCATAGGCGGCTCCAGCGAACCCAGGATTAGCTCCAAGACAGAAACCGGTGTTTCCTTCCACGCAATTATGACAGCGGCCGTCTCCTATATTGAAAGGTATAACAACTCGGTCCCCTTTCTTAAGCTGAACGACTCCTGAACCAAGCTTGTCCACCACCCCCATATTCTCACGACCTAGGAATGAAGAAACTAAGCTAGCTGACGAGTTCTGGCAGGGTAAATAATCTCCCAGATCCGCAGCATATTGAGCAGGATATGTCTCACCGAACGTGATGCCAGGTTCTGCAGCTGTTCTTCCCCGTACTAGACGACGACTGGCTTTTTTCTACTGAGCGTGAGGGAATACAAGTACCATATGCAAGTCTGAGCCGCAAATGGCTTAAAAAGGAAGTGTTTCCATGTTAGTCCGCTTTCTTAACATATATGATCGAGGAACAGTTTTGTGAGCTCGCACCAGCAATAGGTTTCTTGACAATCACATCGTCGGGATGCTCAATAGTAGGATTTGGTACCTCCTCGACCTTGAGCTTGTAAGGCCCTTGATAGTTGACAGCTTTCATATTTGAATCCTCCCCCACCTTTCCGGAAGAACGGACTTCAGTGGCAGACATTGTAGACGACGATATTGACATGTTCGTACAATCAACCAGACGACGCTATTGAGACAGCATTCAAAAGCAATACTATACATCCGGAGCATACTGATGTATGACACATGTAGTACAATTAGTATCTTGTGTACAAAGTATTTTTCACTGTGGCTTATGGAGGATGGGAGGCAATAAGTAAAAAGACATTGGGGAAGTTGGGGCGCGCCAAGATTGTGGGGGCGGAAATGCCCCTCATCCTCTCATTCTCTCATCCCAATTCAAATCCTCCGTTGTGGACTTTGTCTGCACCACCTGACGAAACTTCATATGCAAAGACTTGTTCGGCGTATTTCCCCGCTCAAATAACTGTGCATACAGTAGCACCTACTCGAGAACTCCTCCTGGCTCTCCCTCATTCCTTACGTTCAGCCATCTTGTACCACTCTGCCAGATGTCGAAAACTTCTCCACCAACGGACGCAGCTATTTACCGTCAAGGAATTTCATTTCCGAGCAGAAGGAGTGTTGTACACAGCATCAATGGCATGGTTGCGTGTACACAACCTTTGGCTGCAGAAGCCGGACACAGAATACTTAGACAAGGAGGCAATGCTGCTGTAAGACCCCATCATCTGTGCTCGGAGACACAACAAAAGGGTTGACAGAATTGAATAGGATGCTGCAGTTGCAGTCGGTCAGATGCCTCAAACTTCTCCTTCAGCGTCGCTGATAACATATTTCAGCGGCCGCTCTCAACGTTACCGAACCCGCCTCGACCGGAATAGGAGGTGATATATTCTGCTTGTTCTACGATGCGAAGACCAAGAGAATTCATGCTTTGAATGGCTCAGGCCGGTCTACTGCCAAAATTGATCTCCCAACTCTACACAAGGAATTGGGTGTAAAGCATGGTCAAAAAGGCTCAATGCACTACCTGAGTCCACATACTGTGACAGTACCAGGGGCGGCTGCTGGATGGGTAGACACAGTTCAGAAGTTTGGCAGCAAAAAAGTGTCATTGGAACAAATTTTGACACCAGCTATCGAGCTAGGAGAGGACGGGTTTCCCGTCTCGGAGCTTTGCGCAAGATTAGTAAGTTCAGTTGATTCCATGAAATGTCAGGGGACTTACGACGATATCACAGTGGAGTGAATCTGAAGACATTCTACGAAATGCATCACCTAATTTCCGAGAACTTCTCAAACGCGATCCCAAGGCCGAACATTTCGCTCGTGCCCCCAAGGTCGGGGAAGTAATGCGTAATCCAACACTGGCAAAGACATTTCGAACGTTGGCAGCCGAGGGCAAGAAAGGATTCTATACTGGTAGGATCGCTCAAGCAATCACAGATGTGGTCCAGCTATGTGGAGGCTACTTGGACGTTGACGATCTCAAACATCATATGGACGTGGGACCTCATCACGCGGATCCGATGTCTATCAAACTTACTGGCCATGGTATCGGCAAGCCCACAACGAAGAACGACGGGGCGGATGCTGAGCTTGAACTCTGGGAGCACCCGCCTAATGGCCAAGGTATCGTTGCTCTTATGGCTCTCGGTATCCTCCAGGAGCTCGAGAAATCCAGAGCCATTCCTTCTTTCTCGACCTCTAATCACAACTCTACCACCTACCTCCATGCCGTCATCGAGGCCCTTCGTATCGCCTTTGCAGATGCAGGCTGGTGGGTAACAGACCCACATCCAGAACACAACCCTAATCTCAAAAAGCCCACTGACCTTATCTCCGAACACTACCTTGCGGAACGAGCAAAACTCTTCTCCCCCACAAAGTGCTCAGACCCAGTGCACGGTGAGCCCAGTCCAGCCCAGAATTCCTGCGACACCGTTTACTTCTCCGTCACTGATGCCGAAGGTAACGGCATCAGCTTCATAAATAGCATCTATTCCTCATTCGGCAGCGGCATCATTCCAGAGGGATGCGGTTTTACGTTGCAGAACCGAGGTGCCAACTTCCAGCTGGGCCCAGCAGATCATCCGAACATCTACGCCCCAAGAAAGCGACCGTACCATACCATCATTCCCGCATTGGTTACGAAGGGTGGTGCCGAGAACAGACAGCTACATTATGTGTACGGCGTGATGGGCGGCTTCATGCAACCGCAGGGCCATGTTCAAGTCTTGATGAACATGGAGGTATTTGGGATGGATCCACAGCAAGCGCTGGATGCGCCGAGAGTGTGCATTGGAGCGGGCATGCTAAAGGATGCAGATGTCTTTGACCGGACAGTGTATCTAGAGGAAGGGATAACGCAGGATACGGTGGCAGGCCTCGAGAAGTTGGGGCATAAGGTCAAGGTGCTGAACAGGTTCAATGCTGTTTTTGGGAGGGGCCAGATTATTAAGTGTAGGAAGGATGAGGATTTGGGGAGGTGGGTATATAGTGCTGGGAGTGATCCAAGAGGAGATGGATGCGCTATGCCTGGTTGATGTGCGAGGTCCTATGGGCATGAGCGGGTGGAAGAATGCGTTGCCAACAGTGGGACACATGAGCGTTGGCATGTCTGAAGAAATGTAGTTAAAATTACAGAGCATGCTCAGGACCCTAGCTGTTGCATCGCAATGAAGGCCTGGGAGCTGGATGTCATATGAGGCGCACTTGATGCCCTTCACTTTGTACAGATCATGCTGCTACATAGACGCAGTTAAATTTCATGGGAGGTTTGGGGGATTTGTCCCGCGAAAGTAGCTGCGTTTCCACCGTCATAAGTTCAACCTGTGCTGCAGTTGTTCAGGATATCAAAGGAGGGAGAGAGGAGACTTTCTTTGCCAATAGCAGCTCAATAACGGGCTTTGGTACCGTTGGCAGGAAGCGGGTGAGGGAGTAGAAAAAGGATGCACCAGACAGCGCTAATGGGTTTCGAACCACACTTAGTTGATATATCTTTCCTGACAGGAGTATGACCAGCACCCTTTGTAGACGCTTCTGTTGAGACTACATATACTCTCGCAGCTGAATCGGGTGGACCCGGTAATACATGGGGTCCAAGCTGAGGTCACTTTTCCTTGCTGGTAAAGCCGTACCTAATCCTCGTCTCCTGAAAGCAGACCTCACATACAATGTCAGCTTGACTCCACAAGCCATTGCAGATGCAACGATAGCACCGCCAATCACATGGAGTCGGAAGGATTCAGGTGCCACGTTGGCCTAACATTTGTCAATGACCACCAAGCAAGTATGAGATTGACCATTCCTGTTGTAGAGACGATACGTTCGGCGAGAGCTGAAGCGACCCGTGCCACATGTCCGTCGCTGTGGAGAGGTTACAGGACAGAATGCCTCGTACCGCCCATGCTGAGGGCTTGAAATTTCCGATATCTGGCTTGGTGTTACTTACAAGGTTTGTTCGTCCTACCACTGCAGTCAGCAGCTTACAAGCAATTTCGAGTACGAGACGAAACGTAAAATACGAATATGGAATACTTTCATCTAAGTAAGTAAGCCATCTGGGCTAGGTGCCGAATTCCCTGATTCCACATCATCATTTTCGATTTCTAACGATGATGCCTCTATGGGTGGCCATGATCAAGTGCATTCGCTTGAACAGGGTTTGTGTAATCCGAGGTAGCTTCCATTTGCGCGATAAGATCTTACAAATCAGATGTCCGTCTGCTGTGTGTCATGTTGTTGTAATGACACACTTTGCTAACCTTGATCCGTTAGCAGCAGAGCACTTTTCTATTTTCTTCCTGCAGCTCCGTCAGCCTGGAGGATTCGGACAGGTATCAAATCCCTCAGCCCAATTGTGCCAGCCCCCAATCCAACGTCTTGCGATTTCCGAAGTGCCGTCCTTTGACTTAGTTGCTTTGAGGGTTTGAAACATACAGGTCTTCATATTCACTAAACCCTTTACTCGGACGAAAGCTGAGTCCGTCTCCGCTCTGACTACGACGGTTAAATAACACCGAGCCGATCTCTTTGATAGGCCAACGTCACGACATGGGGCTTATGGCATGATTGCACTACGAATGCGAGCTTTCGAGTCTGCCTAATGGGCACTTGAGTTTTTGGAACATTGCGTCTTGACCAGGATGGAGGATTCTACTTCTTGCTAAGCTTGTCATACCCCAAGCGCTACTGCGCCGTGACTAAGTCTGGTCATATATATCCTTGAGCGTCCTATGGCTGCTGATATGAGCTGTAACGATGTAAACAGTACTACCCGCTTCGAACAAACTCGCGCCTTACTGTCTCTTTCTTATCTGCAATCTTCTGTCCACGCCTGTCACATAGCACGTCTCAGCACTACTTCATTTCCTTCTATACGCAATTTCAAGCTTTTTCAACATAGACAAGATGATTACACAACAGGGCAGTCTGCCTACGGAACCACAATCTCCAGTCGATGGTACTTTGAGGAAAAGGGTTTGCAAGGCCTGTGATCGATGTCGTCTCAAAAAGTCAAAATGCGACGGGTCCACGGTGTGTTCAAGATGCCGGCTAGATAACGCTATTTGCGTATTTGGGGAACGCAAAAAGACCCACGACAAGGTGTATCCAAAAGGGTGAGTTTCCTGTCATCTGTATACTGGATACAAGCACTAACAATTCTAGGTATGTCGAAATGCTCGAGCAACAACAAGCACAATTAGTGGCAGGCTTGCAGGAATTATATCGACGAACACAAAACGGACAGGGTTGGGAAGGACCTCCATTGAAGGAGTCGAGCAACGGCACCCCGTTGACACACGACATACTGGAAAGGCTGGGCGCTCTCAGGTCTAGGAGACACAATGTAGACGCAGAGCATTTCGAGGAAGATTTCAACTCGTTACAACAACGACTGCTTGCGAATGGAGCAGGTTTGTTGCAGCGGACACCGTCGGATAGCAGCTCTGACGCCTGTCTTTCACCCACCTTCAGCCAAGGATCCCGCAAACCACCAACAAGAGACCCACTTTCGTTCAGCAAGCTTCCTCCAACCCCCCCAACCTACAGCCCTTTTTCTCAACATGCATCTCCCACTCTATCAGTGGACAGCCCCAACGAGAATCACTCTCCGTCGCTGCAGAGAGTTGTCGATGAGGGCTTGCAGCAACACCAGGCATGGGCTTCGTCGAATATGGTCATTGATACCACGGATGCTGTGAATCAATTTGGATCATCCATTGATTTCGCTGCTATGCCGAGTCTGTCTCACACTTCAGCAATACCAAATGGGACCATCGCACCTTGTCTGTCAATGCGCGACTGGAATCGTGACATCGATTTTCATAGGTACTTCACAGCAGCTATGATGTATTGATTGTATGAAACTTACCATGGCCGGATAACTTTTGGGTGGCAGTTTATCGTCTTCAATCGACACCATCTACATTTAGCGCAGGGTGTTCCGGTTCAACATGTTCTTCACAGCTTGGCAATTATCGCTTTAATGACAGGTACTTGATGCGGGCGCCACGAAATGCAGCATCGCTTGAGCGGGTTCTTTTAAGAAAAAGTTTCCCTTTCACAACTGCAGCTAACTTCCTGCTCGCTTCTTGTTAGAAGTAATGGAGCATTCATAATGACGTTACGGAATAACTGAACCATCATCCTCTAGCAGCCCTACCCAGTCGAACTGAACAATTGCCGGCTTTTGCTTTCCTGTCAGATCCAGTCGCTTAAGCAAAATTTGGTGGTTTCCATAAGATTGCTGTTATTGACTCCATAATCTTCTGCTTCATCCGTATCAGTAGATACCTGCGCCTCTAGTAGAAAATGTCCCCTTCTGTGCTTAGACTGCAGAAATGATTTCCAGGATGCTTTCAGACCCTTGACGATCTCCCGGCAAATCACCGCCTCTCTTTGGTGCCTTGCAAGGATTGAGACGTTACTATGTATCAACATGCAGCTGCGTCCTTGCCCACCCAATTTCTGACTCGCATGCCTACTGCAACAAGTGATCCAGCAGCCTTCCTTCGTTCTAAACTACCAAGCCCAGCGAGAGGCTTGAAACCCCGCTCTCGTATCTTAGTGCGTTATGTTCCTCGTGTATGCGAACATGAAGCATTTTGCCGTTCATTTTGAAACGGGATAGGATGAGCCTTGGTCTCCAGCCTTGTCTTTATCGCAACTACGTAGTATCTTCTTGCGTCTAAGCTGTACGACGTCGACTGTACACATTGCTAGTGCACATCGCAGCCGGCGGCCATAGCCTGCGCTTTCGCCCTGCAGGGCCATCGCACCACGATTGCATACTACGTACGTCGTAATCGGTAAAGTGTGATTCATGCATTGCAAACTACTCATAGTGCCAGTCGGGCTTTCGATCAGCTAAGTGGTTTCTCTACAAGCCTATTCCTTGTTTGGTTTAGTCTTTCCTACAACGGAGGAAAATTACCCCTTTTGACTACTTTAAATTAATGAAGGTGGGGCTGTGTTGAGTTAAAGGAGTGTGATATTCTGGTACCAGCTCAGCCCCTCACTTCTTGGGGGAGGATGATGTTCCGCAGCTGTATCTCAAACTATCAGACACAGGAATAAGTATTACCGAGTTGCATAGAAAGCACCCTGGAGTTATCTGAACTATTCCGTATTTCATACACATACCGTGGAAGATTCTTCATAAGTCCTCCCTGTTGGACTTCTTGGGCCATTGAACAGATGTTTCGGCGCTTGGACATGCTCAATGAGATGTCTATTTCCTGAAATGCACTGCGAACATTCTCGTTATGCCGCAGTCTGTCAGAGTGGCTAAACCCATAACACAATGGCCAAAGGTATAGCGTTGAGTTCCAAGATGCGTGCAGAGACCACTTAAAGTCAAGAGGCTACCATCCGTCAACCTCGCAGTGAGGGACACATACGCCCTCAGCTCCCTAATAACACATGTAAATCAGTATTCACTTTTCCGTGATCATCTCAGGAATGGGACCGAGTAACGGTATGAGATAACCCACTCCAAACATAGCGGTCAATCCTCAGAGCGGATTCCTCAATTGGGAAATCAAACACCACATATGCACTACCGACAGCTAGGATGGTCAACCTGCTTCATACTCCATGGTCGCTCGACAGCTCAAGAGAGGTATAAGAGTTTATAGTTCTAGCAAGCATCGTCCATGGTTCAGCATGCCACAATCGACACGGAAAGACCATGGGAAACCTGGCGTAAAAAGTAACCTGAGGATGTAACGGAGCACAAACATCCCTGGGGTGCTCCGGTGACCTACCCAGCAAAGGGAAAGTCCGGTGCTTTAACCACTCGACGGCCTTCTAAGTGAAGCAAAGATCACATTCCTATCGTCCATGGCGTCTAGAGGCTCGAAATAGGTCTAACATAGTACGTGTACAGTTGGCCACAAGGCGAACAGTCTGTTAGAGTTTGGGTCGAGATTCCTGAGTTGTGATGAAATCCTGCTCGCGAGTCGGCGGTCGGGATCAAAGGGCCGGTGGCATAACGTTTACAGTAACTTAATAGCCGAATAATTTTCAAATTTGAAATGACTTGCACATGCTTGAACATCTGGGTTCGGAGGGTTCCTGGTATCATTATGACATATCTCGTTTGATTTCAGCGACAGGGGCATTGAATGCTCCTGCCACGAGTCGATGACTAAGGTTATGCATTTGATGAAGTCTTCATTATTCAGCCTGGCTTGTGATGGAGCGATGCTAAGTATATTATACTTTTTGTTACATTGAACCAGCGACAAAATTCTGTTCTTCCCTTTCAGCAAGGCCTGCCCACATCCCAAGCGCTGAGACTAAACCATGCAGCGTCGAACATCGAAGCCCGACATTCCGTTCGAAGATGAGATAGGCTCAGCCAGTGAAAGGTCAATGACTGTCGAGCTTTTCACTGCTTTCAAGCGGACGACCGAAATGCATCTCAATTTCGTTCTCCGATTTCAAGAGAGCCGCGTGCAGCTGACATTGAGACCTTTACCAATCCGAAATGCGATTGTCTCCAAGGTGGCCGCTGTTTCGCTCCCTCTATGTCATATTCTATGCTCTCTATGGAGATCGTGTGCAGATCTGGACGTAGGGGACAAACCCCACCGATACCACTTCTACTTGATCATTCCACAGGAACATAGAGAGCATATGAACGACAAGGATCAACAGATAAGTGACGATTGAAGATGAGAGCGAGCTGCCGGTTCTGAAGAGGAAATGAATTTTCTAAGTGTCCTTGTTTTCTGGTGAGTTGTTCGGAGGAGAACAAGGTGGCGAGTGCCCGTTTTGAAGTTGAAGCCTCGATCAACTCAACGTTGTGGGACTTTCGAAGGTCTCTTGCTTCCGTACAAGGAAATGCACTGGGACCTATCGATAATATCCTCGCGAAAGTTGGAGAACGTCTTTCGTTATATTATTGATGAAATTCTCCAAGAGACACAAGCACGCGTATGTCCAAACTTCGTTAGCAAGTATTGGTATTTTCGCGCAACAGAATCCCAATTCCCGTCAGCGTTGATTGTCGAAGATGGCGTCAAGACACCTTCCAGAGGTGATCCGACTGTCGTTGGTTTCAAAGTCGACTCTGCACTTCAGGATCGCCGAGACAACGATCGTCACGGGAAAGCTGTACGCTTGGGCCGTTGCGATATAATCATTTTCTCGCTATCTTATCAACAGCTTTCTTCTCATGATATCGAGCCAGTGATCAGCACAACACTGCTTTCGAACAAAGATTTTATCTTCTTCCTTCTCATCATCCATACACTTTACACTACTCTCCAAGCTCCTGCTCCGAATTACATACATGCCATTCCCTTTCATCTCGATACAGTTCTCTTTACTCTTATGCCATACTAAAGCATTTTTCTCCACTCACATACTTATCTATAACCTTTCAAACCCACTTCACCCCTTCTATCTCTCACATGCGCGCAACTCATAGATATATTGGTCTTATATTCTCGTCATACACTGAGTCTAGTAAGTCGTCTACTACCTCGTGCTTCTGTTCCTTTCGATTGGACCAACGCGTCCTATGGCCTTCTGTTCATGCCGTCTGGTCCGCACTGTTACTTGACCTCGCACCCACCTTCGCTAGTTATAATTAGCGGAGTGTAAACTCGGGCACCTTCCCTCCTCGCTACAGTTCCAATACCGTACTTCTGAGTACTTCTTCATCATTGACCTGTCTTCTCATCTTTCTTCTCACCATATATCTTCTAATCGACAATCTTTGCCCATCCTCTGATTCGCTTTTAATCTAGTTGAGTTCCAATACTGATATTTGCTCAGACTCGAAGGCCGTCATCAGGTTCCATCCCACCGGATTCGCCAAAATCACTTTTTGAATCCTCTTTGCTTCTCCAGAGCATGGCGTCGTCCCAGACTCTTGAGCTCAACGATGCGTCAAAGGGCCCTTCAGACCCGTGCGATGTGATTGAAGCTACGCTGTGGCAACCAGATCTCAAAGATGAGCTCAATGGAATCTATCGCGAAATGGGCCTTGGACAAGATATCGCTGCCGCTTTCCCCAACCTCCTCAAACGCCCTATCGAAGAAGTATCAGAAGCTGAAGTTACGCCACTGCCCAGGAAGGAAAGGTCTAGAAAGCCAAAGGATGCGGACTCCAACAAGACAGCACTCGAGGGAGGTGAACCGGAAAATGAGAAACCCAAGAAAGATAAGCCCGTGGTAAAGTGCATTTCATGCTTGGAGACAAAAAATATCAACCAATTTCCCGAGTCTTTACCCTCTTCATCTTGTACCCATGGCCGCGAAATGTGTCGAATGTGCATAATTGCATGGATTCGCATACAGGTTCAGGGATTGAGGATTCCGTGTTGCGCTCTATGTTTTTGGAACAATGGGCTATGCTTATGTGGAATGGATCACGAAGAAGAAATGGGACAGAGACATCCTTACGAGGTAAGCTTCAGGCAAGCGCGCTCCGACGTGACATTCAGGGCTCAGATGAGGAAGCGAAAAGAGTCTATATCCTGTTTCACTCCTCAAACCTGCTCGTCATCGCCTGACTCGGCTAACACGTGAATTTCAGGTTCAACAAACTGCTATACAGGACCGCTGTAAGCAAGATACCTGGATTCACTTGGTGTATTGCTCCAGGCTGTGAATACGGACAAGTCTACCACCGTGGAGGTCAGGAAGAGACAGATGCGGTATTCACTTGTCATGGTTGCCAGGTCCGCTCGTGCATAACCTGTGATGTACAGTGGCACGAAGGCCAGACATGCCTCGAATATCAAGAGAATGGGCGCCTGGAAAGCGAGCCCACACCACGTGACTTCGAAATCGCCATAGAAGAGCAGAAGTCCAAGGAAACGCTGAAGGCGCAGACGAGGAGATGTCCAGGTTCCGGATGTGGTGTACCCATCATGCAATATTCAATGTATGGTGGTTGCGACAAGATGAAGTGTAAGTGTGACCATTCGAGATCAGTCCTGGCAATCTTCATCAAACCTCACTGTCTGGCATACCTTTGAAATGAACGCTGAAAGCTGACCCACTCTCCTGCTGCAGGCTCGATGTGCCAGCTCGAGTTCTGCTGGCGATGTGGCGCCGACTACAGAACCATGAAGGCCAACAAGAGGTCTGCACATAAAGAGAATTGCTACTGGCACAAGCGTATCTTCAAACTATGGAGACGAGCACCGGGGAGTGCTGTCGTGGCTGAATGGGAAGGCATGCCGCAAACGACGATCTCGAACGCCTCCTACCTCAAGGACTACAACGATACCAGTTACCGAGGTTTCCATGATATGGGACTTTAGAGTCCGCCAGCTGGCTGCACGGCAGGCGTACTAGAGCTCGAAGCAACTCGATTGGTGTTGTGTGATGAGATTCAGGACATTAATTCAAGCAGCTTGAAAGTTTTTTGCAGCTTCGCAAATTGGGAGGAGCAGTACTCCAGCACATTAAGGGGATGGCAGAACTTTCTCTCCCTGAAGAAACACGACATCAGACTTAATCCTTTATGTGGACGAAATGGATCTATGCATCATGGCCCAGCATTATCGGTACAGCAAACGAGGGAATGGTGGATCGTGCTTTGCAATGGCAAATCGGAAATTCAATTTTTTTTTGTGGATATTTTCTCTAGTTTATTGGTTGGTGGAAACTATGACTCTGTCTCCGGATTGATAAGGTTCAGAGCTTCCTTGAGATGAAACGAGGTGCTTCCACAGACAGGAAAGCCGTGCTTGATAGCTAATCAAAAAAGTTCTCCTTATATATCATCATTCTGGTGCTTCATTGCTTGAGCGCGATGCTGGGAGACAAGGCACTATTGTACTTCAATACGCAGATCGAGATGAAAAGATGAAGATTGAAGGGGGTCAAGTTCTTATTGGCGCTCATCCAAGAGTGTGTTTTGTAACATCTCGTTTTCTCTCTGCACATATCTCACGTAGAACACAAATTGCCATCTCAGCCTATAATGGCGTCCGAGTTGAGTCCTCCATCAACAAGCATTCACTGTCGTCAGGTTTTTTCACAAGGAGGAACGGAACTTGTAAGACATTCGAGAAATTTCTTTGTTTGCTCCCTTCTCATAGCATAACCTCCGAAACGAAGGTGGAACACTTGCATGCTCGATAGTGATGGAGGAATTTAGACTGGTATACAGAGCTGCGACTAACATTGTGGCTAGTTCATCTTGCAAAATTATTGGCTACTACTGACGCACATTGTGTACCAGATCAGAAGTAGCAAGTTTCGAGCAGGAGCGCAACCAAGGCCTTCTAACTGGAGACTTCGCCTTCAAGGCAGACATGTGGCTTTTCGTTTCTCAAAACACGGCTGGTGGATCTCGCAGGTATGATCTCGATCGTACGAAGCTTGACAGCTTACAAGACCAGTTGCGTGAATCCAGAGAATGCCAGGGAAGACACGAGATATTTGACCAAGAGCGAGTCAGCAATCAAGTTCGCAGCTGTTGGGTGAATCGAGCCTCGCGGCTGCGTAAATAGATGCGCCAGACGCACTAGCTCCGTCAGTGTTGATGCTTGATCGACATGGCATCAATCCCCTGATTAGTTAGTTCTCGCCTTGTGGTGTGGGGTTTGAGATGTTGGAGGCACCTCTGGGCAGTGATTCGCCGTCAGACAGATGATGCGTTGGCAAGTGCGTCAACGATTCGAAGCAATCAGCCCAGGGACATCACCTCAGCAACAAAAGCTGTTTGGGCGCTTTACAGTTGGCCTAAGTCGTCGACCCTGGCAGCATGAGTTCTTAGCTTCAGGTGGCGTCCGATCTGCGACCTGGTCTCGGCGTGAGATCTCGAGTTCATAAGGATGAGAACGACCTCCTTCAACGGTTTTGTGATTTGTGGTGTCATTCACCACGGCTTGAAGAGTGTGTCTGGTACAAGAGTTGGTGCAGTGGATCAATTGCTGAATGCCGGGAGGAACGAATCACTTCCGGCGTATGGCCGGAGAGTAGCTGCAGGCGCTCCTGAGGTTTCTGGCCGTTCTGAAAGCCCATAGGTTTGCTGAAGGGGCCACGCAAATGGTTGGCATGGCCCGCAAATACTGAATGGAGGGTGTGCAAACAGAGCTGCGGACTAAAGGCAGCCACGTTTACACAGAGTGGTGACACTTGTCGGCATCATTGAGACAACATCAATGTTCCTTGACCTGAGCATCTGGAGCTCTGGGGAGCTCTGGAGAGCCAAACCGACAAACAAGGAAGTTAAGGGCTTAGCTAGAGTGTGATAGTGATGGGAAATACACTTAATACACTTAGTATTCGGATAGTCAGTAGTGAGTCTGATGGAGCCATTGTAAGAGTGATTTTTGGAGCCAGTGGTGAGTTTCCAGGAGTGACGGGGATGTTGACTACGCTAAAAAGAGAACTGGCAACCTTGTTCAAGTTGTTCCCGTGGGGCCGTACGAGTAGTCAGTCCATCGTCCTCGCACCCAAGCTTATCGTCTCTTTCTGCCAAACAAGGTCTTGGGCCTGGTCTACCATCTTCTACAGCTTATGGTTAGCTGTTGACAGGGACGCCGGCTCTGTTATTCTCTGATACCTAGCTAATTGAGCAGGAATTCTCAAGGAGCTGTCAGGGAAGCGCATAGTCAACGGCTTTGCAGCAGTACCGACGTCGACAGAAAATCACCCCCAGCCTCTTTTCCTCCCGCAGCTGGCCCGTCAGCATCCCCTGCAGCCTCACCTCCAATTTTTTCACGCTCCGCAATGGTTCACGCCTAGTTTGAATACTCATAGAACGTTATCTACGATTCTCTACCTTGATACAATCTTTACAGATTGCTTCACTCACCACGAATCCACAATACAAGACAGTCCTTGTGACACAAAACTCGGAGCTTCACCGGTTCGGCAGCGCCCACAATTCGTGCCCGCGTTTGCGATATGCCAAATTGATGTCTGTCTGTCCTCCGCGGCATTCCTGCCCGTATGCATACGCAAGTGTGAAAAAGCCTCACAATGGGTGTCGATACCCGCAGGCCAGCATTACCGGCACCCACAGATTCATCTGCGATCGAATCCAATGGAGGTAGCATTACACCTACCGATCTTGCTACGGACCTCTCTCGAAGAACAGATAAAACGTCCCATACCGTACCTGACGACGGCAGACCAATCACCATCGCTACAGGCAAAAAGCGGCGACCAAGTGGCAAGCTGTCCAAGTCACAACATCATTCGCAAACCTCACTCCTGATTGAATACTTTGAAGGTGGGAAAGGCCAAGACATTACCTCTAGGCCAAGTGTCCGTGTCAAGGTCCGCCCTTCGGCCTCCCGAAAGTCTGGTGAGAAAGGAGACGGTGAGATTGTTGTCACCGAAGCTCACGGCTCGAGAAAACCTTCATACCGTCGGCGCATCTCACTGGGAACCGACTCGCCAAAACAGGCCGTTGACATTGGCAGCGTCAGTTCCTTGTCATCACTTAGCGAAGAATCACGTCTAGCCCATCGTGGTGCGCCCATCGAGGTCGAAGTCCTGCCAAAGGAGGGAAGTGAGCGCTCTGGTACCAGCGTCTCGAAAACACCGCGGTTCATTGTTCCTTCCTCTGATATTTCCTCTATGCCTGCAGATAGTATGCTGGAAGGCAATCCACCCCCAGTCACCACGCACCCTGAGCGAAGTCGGAGTTTGAGCAGAGAAGAGGTGGTCGAGCATAGCAATCTCAAGACGCCAACAAGGAGACGGAGTAGAAGTCTGAGCCGAGAAAGATTGACCCAGAAAGTACTCGAGAAGTTAGCGAATAGACCCCAAGAAGTCAGCAGCAGTAGTCGAAAGCGTCACGGAGAGAAGAGCAGCAGTCGGAGAGGGAGCAAGGATCATTCAGATGCAGATGCTCGTTCTCATGGTCGTTTGTCTAGCAGGCAACGGGAGGATGCGTCCGTCATTACCGGTGCAGAGTCAAGCATTCATACAAACTCAGCACTATCAGTCAATCGAAAGTCTGGCGATCAAATGTCCTTCAAATCCGGAACGTCCAGGTCTTCAGTCAACAATCCAAAGCTTCTAGATGCGTTCGAAGATGTATTGCGACGTGTTATAATGCCCGAGCTAAAGGAGCTGAAGAAGGACAAAAAGGTCGCCTCGAACCGCAGCAAGTTTGAGAAAATCATCGATCAATCTGACGTTTCCGGAAGCAGCGTCTCCCGCGAAGAAATTCAACGCCGGGTGTCCAAGCATGGCAGTGCGCCAGAATTGAAACTCAGGGATTCAGCTGGCAAAGGTTCTAGTGGATTTAGACGGAGGGAGCGTAAGCGGAAAGAAGCTGACCTCGATTCTCCATCGGAGCGTAGTCTTCGGAGACGAGAAAGTGGTGACAGTCTTAGCCTTGAAGAGGAACGCAACCAACGAAGAAAAAGCAAAGATCAGCAGTTGCGGAACATGGCTGCCGGTGCGTTAGTGGGTGGCACTCTGACCGCTGCTGCTCTACAACATCATGATTCACGCTCAAGTTTAGATCGCCACGAGCGCAGAAAACAAAGCAAAAGTCGCAGCAGAAGCGCCAGTATTGCTGAAACTGAGGAGATCTTTGACAAGCATGGAGTCCCCCCTATGCCCATGCGAAGCGAAATTGAAACTGAGCTTACGCGAAGCTCCCTACTGTCCGATCAGACCGCTACCGCGCCATTTCAAGGGGAACTTCGCGCAGTATCGCAGGGCTCTCCCAGAGAGGTTGTCTCTTCTGCGTCCAGAGAGACTGGATCTCCTGCATCTCGAACGCCAACAAGGACGCCGGTGGATCTGAGAAAGGGACTTGGCACCTACCACGGTAATCTCTCCAATCGTGATCTGTCCTCTTACAATAGAGGAGCACATGGTATTCATGACGATCAACAAATGAGCTTCGGAGAGGCAACCCCTACCAGCCCAACCATTGCAACCGGATCACTAGACACCCAACATCTTCTAGCCGACGAAGAGCGCCAGAGACGGTATGAGAGCAATCTTCACCATCAGCATCCTATCAGACGTGGACTCAGTCCAATACAGAGCGTTGCGAGCTACAACATGAGCGAGCCGAACCGCAACTCTTTCATGCTGGCACGCAGTTCCAACTCGTTAGCCTCACTGAACAAAGAGCAACAACTAAAAGAAGAACGGTCTGTTGCTTCTCTTTCCTCTGCACCCAACACCAATCTAGCCAGGACCAAACGACCCGAAGGAATAAATCTTGAGACTGGGAGCGTGATCCTGGGCCAGCATGACAGCGGATCACAGGATGACTCAAGGGATATCGACGCAGATGCCTTCTTTGATGAACAACACTCAGAGAATGAAAGATACAGGGAATCTTATGCAAGGAGCGATCCAAAGGTTGATTATCGCCACCTCACCAACTTCACGGACGATAGCCTTGATGCGTCGTACCTCGAGAAAATGAGTGTGCGTCGGCCGGTAACACGTGGTCAAGGAGCCAACCCAGAATATGTGCATGCACCGCTTGGAGTAGAGTCTGCTGTCGCATCATTATACGATCCTTCCATGGAGAGCGTTGGAAGTACGCGTTCTTCAGCCATAAGTCAGGCCGATTCGATCGAGCGACAGAAGCGCGCAAACCAGCAATTAAAAAGTGCAAATTTGCATGTCAGGGACAGTGGAAGTCCATTGAAGCAGGAGTATACGCATGATGAGAAATCCTTCCAGCAGCGAGTTGGAGTTACCTCTCCCCCTCAAAGTGTCGCATCCTCGGAGGACGATCGAGATATGCCTCAGCTTGGAGCAAGTGCAGTGCCGGTGAGTTCTGATCCAATGCCAGAAATCGGGGTCGATCTCGACTCGCCACAATCTGAAATCACAACAAATCCTTCTGTTATCCATGGACCAATTGGTGGATCCACACATGGAAATCGTGATCATTGGCCATACAGTGCCACACCTCCATCAAAGAACGGCTTAGTCTCACCTGCAAGCGAAAACCGTGGCCTTGGTATGACTGATGCTACTTTTGCAGGTGGTGCGCTTGGTGCTGCTCAGCTGGGAGCTGTCGCACGTGGTCACGAGGAACAGTCAAAAGACATGCCCGCAGGTCTGAATCTCCGTTATGACACGAACGCTGCTCAAGGTGAAAATCAAATCCGTGACGCTTACATGACTAACCCAGCAGCGCTAACACCGCCAAAAGACGAAGGCTACATATCTGCCGCAAATCCTGGCACCTACTCTCCCGACCCGAAGGTCCGGGAACACGGAGGATACAGTGCTCCAGTTGGCGGAACCGTGAGCCCAGCATTTAGCGACGACCCTTTCATAGCCAAACACAGCGGACATCTCAGCACTACAGAGAAGGGCATTGAGGGTATTCAATCCAAAGATATAGTGGCATTAATGGACCACGTAGGTCGAGAACTATGAAAAGATTCTTCCATGATACTGACATCGATAGCTCACTGTTCGAGATGCGCGACGAAACGCACGAGACACCGAGATTCTGGTGACGTTGGTTCGCAGTGCTGCTGAAATGCGCAACTCATTTGAGGATATGAAACGATTCATTGCCGAGCAAGACGACTTCATCATGGACACTGCCGACAAGCAACATGAAAAGACGGTGCAAAAGGTAATTAACGGACCGCGCCCACCTCCGGCCGTCATGCCACTACTTCCAACCAGGGCTGCTTCCGAGGAGGATGAAGATGCTCCCGCCAAAAGGCGGAACGTATTCAAACGTGCCCTTCGAGGTCTTGGCACCAAAAACACGGCCGAGCTTCAGAACATAGAAGCGATGCTGATGCGGCTGCTTGGTGAAGTCGAAGGTCTGCGTGCTGGCCAGGAAGGCCGACCTGTCAACAGCAGGGCACAAAGTAACAGTGTCAATTCCGTTGACAATGCTCGAGAACCTACAGATCCTGGATATGAACCCGAGGGACAAGCCGGTACCTCATCCACCGGGGATCGGTCTGGATTCTTCTCAAACAACTCATCACGTCAAGCTGATCATCGTGGCGGTGCAGCCGGCCACCGTGACTCAATAAATCGTGTGAGTACCGTCATGGAAGGAGATGAAGACCTAGAGAGCCGGAAGTCTGGCGAGAGAGATGTCATGGATCAACAATTCGCCAATGGCAGAACATTGCTGAGTCCAGACCGGGAAACACCAGATGCTCAAGACACGCGAGGAGCTTCACCCCCATTAAGGACCACCCCACGAATCCAACCGCCCGAGAATCGTGCTTTTAGCAATGAAAACACACCGCAGATGTCTACCGACGGCAAATCCCAACATCGCAAACAGAAATCTTCATCCTCATCCTTCTACCCCAAAATGATCTCTCGCTGGTCGAAAACAACCGCGTCATCCATTATTGATAACTTCCGCGGCAATGCGCAGGTGACACCCAAGTCACAGCCTTATTCGCAAGTTTCTCAATCAGGATCCACTCCGCACGTTGGTGAATATGACTACGACCCACAAGAGGATGCTCTTCGTACTACTCATTCATATTTGAATGAGGAGTATGCTGGCCAAGATAATCGTCCTCCATCACCACTGATTCCGAGTCAGGTATCTGACAACCCCAAATATCATGCTCACCGAAACAGCATGAACCTACAACATCCTCAACCCAGGCAGGGGCCAACTGGCCGCTTCCAAAACCATCTTGAGAATGAAGCTCAGACCTATACTGGTGAGCAATTCTCTCCGACGTCTCAGAGCTCGTCCATGTGGGGTCATCAGCAGGGTATCGTCCAGAGCAATCCGCTGGTTCAGGGTAATGCCAATGCCCAGAATCGATATTCCGGCTACTCTGGGAATGACAGGCTGAGCCCCATCTCCGACACGGGATATTCCGAGTCATCTTCAGCCATACTAGATTTAGGACAAGAAGAGCATGAGCAAAGCTTGAAGAGTGGTGCTTCCGCCAATTCGGTCCTGAGTGCTTCTGGTTATCGTCGTCAAAGAAAGCCAAGGGATGAGGAACCTTTGGTACCGCAACGGCCTCCCAAACTTCCAATGAGCCCTGCAGGAAGTCGACAATCGAACTATGTTGATCATGTCAGTGCAGCTAGGGCTGGAAGTCCAGCTTACGATCAGGTATGACCTTGACTTACTTTCCTTGTCAGTGATTAAACTAACAACAACTGCCACAGAGCCCTGTAGCAGCACTTCGTTCCCCACAGAGCCAGACAAGGAAGCCTTCAGGCCCAAGGCCCCAGAGGAGTTCAGGTCAATACAGCCCCGGCCATCTGAACAACATCAAGCGGACGAGGTTTAGAGGAAGCCCTAATCAGGTGGAGACGAGTACCAGTTCAGACGAGTACAGATGAAAGCAGCCAGCAGTCTTCGAGCCTAATGTAGCGGCGACATGATGGAACGGCAGGGTAGCGCAAGGTGTTTCTGTGACATGGGGAGCGGATGATTGAGGGAGAAAAAAAAAGGGGGGTGGGCGGATTATGGAAAGATTTCGAAGACCGTTCTCCTTTTCGTGGCCCAATAGAAAAGAAAAGACGCCAGCGTTGATCGCTAGCGATTGTCATTTGTTCTTCTTGTCGCAATTCGTTGCTTGCTGGTAGCGAGAGAGGAGAAGGCGAGTGGCTCAATAAATGAATGCTTATGTTTAAGATCGTGGAAATAGTGTGTCACACCCGTTCAGTTCACAGGCTGAATGGTTACACTCGCTTCTGATTTCTGTTTCCACTCTAACTTTCAGCCCTGAAGCTAACCTTATATGATTAAACTCGGTGAGTAGGCTGGTTAGTTAAACGAGTGTTCCAGCCTGAGCATGTGTGTATGTCCTCTTCCTTGCTTGCTCCTCCGATGGCGAAGCGAAGCGAAGCGAGAAGATGTACAGAACACCGCGCCCACGGTGCTCATCGCCCCAACTCCTGATCTCACCCGCCAGCAATCCAACTAGTGCTTTTGGCTTTGTCTTCTCTCGGGAAGCTAGGTGGGGAGTGGCTATCCCATCCGAAGTACTTAGCACAAACCCAGCGCTGGTTTCAATCATGATGGAATTGATGGAATTGATGGAATTGAGCATTCTATCGATGGCAGCGACAAGAAGATGGAAGGCGGAGGGTGAAGGGGGAGACGGAGGAGAAGATTTGGGGTGGGAGAAGGAGGATTAGATATTGTTTTTAGGGGGATTGAAGGAGGCGGAGAGAGCTGAGCGGATGGTCGTTGGTAGAATAGAAGGGGGAGCAGCGGAGTATTAGAACCATGGACATGGTCGTATGCCATCTTGGAGTCATTCAGAGAAAAGCGAAGCAATCATCTGGCGAGATAGGAAGTGGACTTTCAGCTAACGATCGTACATTGGTTGTCTGGATTTGTGTTTTGCTTGGTTTGCTTCACCACACAATAAACGAGTCAGGCGTTGCGGTTGCGATGTAATTTCGTGCGTGCAAGGGAGATCTGCCCAATCAATAGAAGAGGTTCTGTCATCTTCGACGCCGACGGTCATCAATCACTAGGTGCCTGTGTGTGTCCAACCTTTCATATTCATGCGTGGGCTTGATAGACCAAGTAGGAGTAGAACGACAAGCAGGCCCTGACGAGCCCTCGTCGAACTCCCAATCGCCATTGCTATTGTATGAAATGATAAAGGCGGCAAAAGACTTTGGTGGGACTGACAGCCTTCAGAGTCGTCCTCTGTTCCAGGCATTTTTGGCAGCAGATGGCATGGGCCTAACGGTTCCTCCTCCACCGCCACCTCCACGATTTCCTCCACCCTTTCCACCACGCTTTCCCTTCTTCGAGAATTTCTGATTCTGATTCTGATTCTGTGACTGTTGTTGATTGCGAGGAGGTGCGGGTCTGGCAGGTAGTGATGCTTGCGGTGGAGGACCCCTGGGAAGCGGTGGCGGTGGTCTCCAGGAATCGCCTCCGTTAAATCGTGGCGGCGACCTCGATCTTGGACGTTGGCTGCGATAGTCGCGATCGTCTTGGTAGCCTCTGCCTCCGCCGTACCCATTTCGATCCCGATAATCGTGAGACAAAGACGAGTTGTTCCGATTGTAATCATTCGGTGGTTCGTTTCTATCTGGTCGCGGTCTGTAGTGATGATCATCGTTGCCACGGTTCATACGACCTCTGTCATTGTCATGAAAGTGAATATGACTACGAGGTGGAGAAGGACGTCTAGACCTAGTGTCGGCCAGACGTGTAGTGAAATCCTCGTCATCGCCATCCCCAAATTGCAAGCCAGCATTTTCTGCAGCCTGCCCTCTTTTGGGATATTTGTTAGTACTCAAAGCTCCGCGACCTTTTATCTGCATACCCTCCGGTCTGATTCCCTTGTTTTCAGCTTCTTTCTCTCGCGCTTGCGCACCGGTCTGGAGATTGAGGTTCACGATGTTGTAGCGACTGTAAGCACGTAAAGACCATGCCGACGCGGGTCTACTGCCACGAACCGGGCAATCACCAGCCAGATGATCCTTGCTGCCGCACTGAGCGCAAGAAATCCAGAGCTGAAGATCACCTCCTGGCAGTTCAGTATGAGCAGGAAAGAATCTCTGAATGCAGGACACTTCATCATGATCTGCGCCTCCACAAAAGTCACAAGGCTCTGGATTTGTGTTCTTGAGCTTGGATCTGCATGTAGTAACGTCGTGGCCACGGTCTTTACACTTCGAGCATCTAGCACATTTTGGGCATAGACGGGTAGAGTGGTTCGTGGGACCTCCACAGCTTGAGCAGAGTAGGCCAGGACAGATCTCGTCAGTATGACCTTCGGTTAAACAAGCAGTGCAGACGACAGGTCGGGAAAGGTCAATCTGATCACGAGGAAGATGAAAAAGAGTATACTTAATTTGTTTTTCCAGATCTTCTGGATTTAAGTCTGCCAGAATGCGAGAGCCGCGACGTGCATCTATCTGAAACATTGGCGAGGTCATGTTGGACTGTTTTGAAGACTGTGCCTGCAGGGTGACATTCCGGTTGGATCTTGGCGCAAGGCGTTGCTTTTCAGCCTTGACGTGGTCGGATGAGGCCATTGCCTTCTCTGACGGGCTGCCATCAGCCTCGCCGTCTTCGTCTCCAGAAATTTCAACAGGGTTGTCCGCATCAGTAGATGATTCAACCCTAGAAGAAGCATCAACATTCAGCAAAATGCCTCCTTCTGAACCATCCTCTACCCCCGAATCATCTGAGATTTCGACCACATCGTGAGGGCCTTGCGCACCGCTGGATTGCCCAGCGCGTGAGCGAAAGCCAGTAGCAAGACGGTTTTGACCAAGGTCGCCGCCTCCACCTCGAAGCGAGGTTCTGATTGAGCTCTGTGCACTGCTGTTCCAGTTCATGGCTATTGTTGAAGAACTCTGCGGTATCTGGTAATCACTCGATGATCCGGAGAAGTCTGAAGTCTGACCGAGATCATCCAAAGGATCCTCAGGAAGTCGAGACTCTGCAAGAGGTGCAAGGCCAAAATGGCCACCTCTTGGCACAAAATCTCGAAGATCTTGATAGCCGACGCGATGCCTGTATTTGGTGCGCTTCCAAGAGATGCGATGCAGGCCAGTAGTTGCGCGCGCACGTTTTGTGCCTATAGCGATAGTGCGAGAGTCCTCGTCGCTGGAATCATGGCGTAACATTAAGCATCAAGTACTAGCAATAGGGCGCAAAGATTGTGTTGTTTTCGCATTTCAAAAGTGGTGAGTTCGCCTGCCAAGACTCATAGTTCCAAATTCCACACAGTGCATCGGCTGTGCTTTTTTCTTGGCATCATCATGTCGATAACCGAGCCTCCGAGTAATAGCCGAGTAATAGCCGAGCTATCGCCAGAGCTATGACCACCCGGCTAAACTAAACCAAATTAAACCAAACTTCGGCGTTGTATCCACTTGCTCGGAGTTACTGGTACGGTCATTATTGTCAAGTCAGCAAGGATTCAACCATTCTTTGCTCTTCCTGTACCATCATTATACAACTCCCCATCCACCTATCTGCGGAGTGAGGTGACTTCTATACACATGCTGTCTACCTGCAACACTCTCTGGAAGTGGTGTACTTCACCAGATTGCCTCGCATAGAAAGTGTGTGGAAGGGAAGCATAGTTTGTTCAAGGTAGAACCTGCACTGTCCCCTCGTGTATTGCTCCATACCTGAAAGAGACACATCACTGACACCCAATCAGACAACAGACATTTCCTCAAGCCTTGTCTCTCTGCCCTGATACTCCTTATCCTGCCATATCTTGAACACCGCCAAACTGTCTTCATTCACCCTTCAACGAACCATTTCCTTCCAGGCAGACACCAAGCCTGCCTCGGAAAATTTCGGGTCCGACTTCAGGATGAGCTCGGGGAAGAGTGGGAGGAGACGAAGGTCGAGCAGCATCATCTATCATGAACCACCAGAATCATTAGAGCATATCAGCGACCAGTCCGCTCTGCCAAACCTCAATTCACAATGGGTTAATGCGAAGGGTAAGAAACCACCTCAGGGCGAGTACAGGAAAGGCTAGGGGAGAAGGCTGACAAGTGATCCTCAGGCGCCTGGACCATCCACTTTGTCCTCATAGTCGCCCTCAAGATACTGTTCGACATCATACCAGGCTTCACCCAGGAGGTTTCGTGGACACTCACCAACATCAGCTACATGTTTGGCTCTTACTTGATGTTCCACTATGTCCGAGGAGTGCCGTTCGAGTTCAACGCTGGAGCTTATGACAACCTGAATATGTGGGAGCAGATCGACAACGGAGACCAATACACCCCTGCAAAGAAATTCCTCCTGAGCGTGCCAATAATCCTTTTCCTCCTCAGCACACACTATACGCATTACGACCTGACGTACTTTACGATCAACTTCCTGGCGCTGATGGCGGTGGTGATCCCCAAACTACCTTGGGTAGGTCCTATGTCACCAGACAGAAAGCAGGCCGCTAACTTCTATTCAGAGTCATCGCATGCGGGTAGGATTGTTCTCGGGAGGGCCGGACGACCCTTGATGCTACATAGTTATTCTTATTTGAATGCATACGCTAGGAACCGATGTTTTGCGTCTTTATAATCTCCATCCTCTTCTCCGCCGCTACTTTCTTGTTCAAGGCTGAAGACGACTCAGAATGTCAGTCAAGCGTTCTCCACTTTCCAAAAGCCACGCCCAGGCAATCTCATCCCTTCTTCTAGCAGATGCACTTTTCTTGACTCCGTCACTTGCCTTCTCGCACCTGTTCTGAATACCTTCCTGTATGGTGAATTCGAGCGCTGGCCGCATGGTCAATTTCCCCGCCATGAAAAGATGCCGGAGCAGGGTTTCGAGACACAGCGAGACCTTGGCATTGTCTGCAACGCTGGGCGAGGTTGCAGCAAAGGGCAGGTAGCACTCCTCCATCTTGGACTGCCTCAGATATGGTTCAGCCGTATTGGGGGCTGCAGCTTCCAGTAACGATCGTGTCAGAAGAAATTCACAGAGCGTCGTTTGCGCATCTATGGAAAAGGTTTCTGGGACCGCAGCAGGTGAGATGACGCGTTGAAATGTGGCAAGGGGAAGGGGGCGGATGAACTCTACAAACATGGTGTATAGCTTGTTCCCAGTCTCGAAATCATCGGGCAGCTTGATAGAGACATCAGAAAGCAGCTGCAGCAATCTCATGCGTAGCCTCAGGCTGTCACTGCCTCCGAGAACTGCTGGCCCGTCTTCGCTCAACTCCTCACCTTCGTCATAGGCACTGTTCAGGCTGCTGGCGCTTGCTTTAGACGTGACCCTTCTTAAGCTGGGATCTCTGGTTCTCGTCCGTTTCGCGAAGAATGTACTGTCTGCTTCGTCCTCGGATGCCTCATCTTCGTCCTTTGCCAGATAGTCTCCATACACCTCAGCTTCCACATCTACATCAACCTCCCTTTTCTTGACCCTTTCGGCGTCTTCTTTCCTTGGTTCCTTTAGTTCGTTCCTGAAGACCTGTCTGAACTCGTTGACCGCTTTCGTGGTTCCATTCGCAAAAATTGATCTAAGTATTCTTCGGTTGCGACCGCTGCCGCCGGATGCATGGCTGATGTACGACCAGATCAGACTACCTTTTGAGTCTACTTCTTCCCGGTCACGCCAGTCATCTTCAAGAACAGTGACCATCCAATCAAGCCATAGGACCCATCTCTCCCATCGCTTTGGATGCAGCTTGCTGCAATTGAAAGCCCAACCGACGGCATGCCAGAAGTCTTCGGCACGGGAGTACAAACTCTCACCTTGAGCATATTGGTTCTCTATCTTGCCATCGTCGAGTCGAGATCCATCCTCTGCTGCTTCCCCCCTTTCACTATTTCTCAGTATCTGCCCACCACTGCTCCTTGTACTTCCAAACTTGAATCTGAGGAACTTGAAAGCATGCCTGAAGCCTGCATTGGCAGGTCCCACTACTTGACTGACTAGTCTCAACAGTCGTAAGGCGCTATCAGCCTGGCTCCACCTCTCCTTGCTCGATGTTCTTGTGGTCAGGGCTGGGTGTACGGTGAGTGTCGAAGCTAAGGCGAGTTGAGCAGCTGACGGGACGAAAGTCGGTTCGTTGACATTGGCATGAGCGGAGGAGGAGACTAAGGATTGCAGAAGGGCGAATGCCTGTGTATAGAGAGCTTCCTCAAAGTAAATGGTGATGTGTGAATTGAGCTCGAAGGGGAGGGCGCGTGCAGGGCGGTAGGCTTTGCGTGTTCGAGCATCCGAAGGAGGCGGTAATTGTAATTGGGAGTTTGGCAGCGACGATAAAGGCGAGGATGTGCGCTCAAACATGTTGATCTCCAGTTAAGGAGAGTGATGGATCTTCCCCACGGTTGAGAACCTTGAAAGCCTCACTTCTTGAAGCTAGAACCTGATTGACGTGCTTTGGTGATGAAAGTTGTGCGTCAAGGTAGCCAACAAGATGAGTGACGTCCAACGCAGGGTCTGATCTGTACATGGAATCACTAGCAGCAATAAAGGAAACAAGAAAGTTCAAGTGACTGCTTTCATGTCGTGCCGAAGAGGTCCGGTACCTCAAGGAAGGAAAGGTACCTACTCCTTTGCAACATTTGTCATGGTGAACTTCGTGACCGAAGTCCTGTTGGCGATGCTGGGACAAGACGAGGATGGAGGGTGGAGAATGAAGACTGAAGAATTGAAAGTAGACGAAGGGAAAAAAGTGAGCTGGGGGCAGCTCTGACTATAGTTGCAGCAGCTATGGAAAAGTACGATGCCTTGCACCACATTGCTTACATAGCGATGCAATTACCAGTGAGGACAGGAGGCTACAAGTGTGCGTACATTGGCGGATTCCGACATTGCTGGATAGCGCTTTAAGCCGGGCCTACGCCCTCACGTTTAGTTGCCCTCAGATCTTGGTATTGAGCACTAAGAGTATATAGATGGAATAGCAGAAGCATGCTAGCAGAGACGTTCGATTGAGTAGTTCCATGATAGAATTGCTTGACCATACACGAAGCAAGACTTTCGATGGATCTAATAGTACCTACGTAGCCAAAACCTAGGACTAGGCAGAGTGAACCATCCACTGGGTGGGAACAAGATATGTAAGATGTGGAAAGGTTAACGGATTGAGCTCCAGACAGTGGTTACTTGTGATCATAAATCACGGATGGAGCAAGGCAAGGCTGTTGCGTATATTCATCCAAGCATAACACAGTGTCAGGAGTTGTAGCGTTAGTAGCCGAAGTCAAAGAGGTTGGCCTAGAAGGATGAAGAGGCGAGTACTTGTGTACGAATGTTGGCATCCTTTCTGCAGCTTTCGAATCACCGCTACCATAGTTATTACTACGGTAGGAGGCATAAATATTGTCAGCGCGAGCTACTGATGGCTAGGTTTTGATACAAGGGTCGGGCGTCCTCCGGAGCTATTGAAAGTCTTGGCCCCTTAATAATCCTGATGATTGGCTCTGTGCTGAGAATCATACAGACTAACGTCGTTTCAGTAAAGTGCAAATTTGTTAAGGCTATGTTAAGTACCAAATTTCTAGCTGGAAGCTAACAATACTTATGCCTGAGGACGAAGCGAGAAAGCATTTCTTGGGGACTGAGAGAACAGTCTTCACTCAAAGTTGACTTGAAGCAATCCGGATATTGATGTGATATCGGCATTGCCCTGGGTAGATGGAAGGTTCAGCCGCAGTTGCGAGGATCAGCATTGTTACTTCATCTTCGTATCGCGGAGGCAGTTTGTCAGCTGCCCGGAGTTGGCAGGTTCTGAGGCATTTATTGGTGCACATGACTCCTTGCTTAACTAATAAATCTTGTCCTCAGAGGCTGCGACCAGCAACCTCATTTACAAATATCTTTATTTTGTACCTTCAGACTTCTTGTCAAGATGGGCACCTAAGGGGTATCCTTCTATATTTGTGATTTGCATTTCACCTGCTCACATAAATACCAATTGACTCCTGCCGAGAATTGGCGTCGTGATGGCACATACACAACGTTATTTTGTCGACGGGCATATCAGGACCCGCCCTTCCCAACCCGAACACCATAAAGACACTTCTTTCAAGAGCCCTGTGACGAAGCCACAGCCACAGCGGAAGACTGAAGTGGAGGCACATCGCGTTAATGGGAGCAGTGATCCAGTGCGCGATTCAACAAACCGCAGAATTTTAAACGCCCTTAAAGAGAAAATTTCTAGAAGAAAGAAGAAGGCTCCGAAAGAGAAGTCAGCGAATCCCGGCCTTTTTAAGATACTATTCCTAGGAGGTCGCTGGGCTCTTGGAGAGGATGTGGAGCCAGGACTTGGCAATAGAACCAATCATGCTGCGCCCAGTTGGGGATGGAGACCACTCGGAGGAACGCGTTAATGGTATGGCTGGCCATACAGTCCAGGTCTCACACATGGCCAAGGCAATCTCCTGCTCATTATCGAGGGAATCCATAACTCCCAGCACCTGCATCTCACGTCTTGACATGCGAGAGGTCATTGAGGTTGCTAGGGGTTTGGCAGTCGACGGGCTTGCTAAGACTCTGACAGTTGCTGGGGTTGATGGGGTTTGGGCAGACGACAGAGTTGCTGGGGTTTTGGCTGTTGACAGGGCGGATGAAGGATGCTTCTGGTGAATGTTGGTGGATGTAGACTTCTTCCCCGTTATGACCGTTGTTTGTTCGGCTATGTGGCTGTTAGCGTGAGGAAAGGGCTGACATGTAAGTATGGCTTACTCATCGTGACAGTGTTATCAGAAGTAGATTGTGTGAAAAGATAGTTGAAAATGCAGCGTTTGAGGAAGCGTTGGACCCTCTCTGGCCTTGTCTTTTCGACTGGTGGCCAGCTGTAATTCTGTTCAACGAGCTTGACCAGCACGTCCTCCTCACAAGCTGCACGAGTAGGGTAGGATGGCTGGACATGAGGTCGAACAAGCCTGGCAGCAGCCGGTATCATAGGAAAAACATCTGTTTAGTATGAGTGATGCACCATATTGTGAAAAGGGATGTGACGTACCTTTCCAAACGCTATTTGACTGATCTTGCAACCCTCCGTGGGAGCCATTGCCATCACCTGCCACGTCGCTGGGGCGTGGGCGGCTGACCGGCCTGTTGGTCATTATTGGAAGTCGTCATGTCGTAGGGAGATGAACAAGACTGAAACAGGAGAGTAGCAACTACTATGAGTCGATGAGGAGAGAAGACTGGGAGATTGCAGAGAAGGTTGGAGGGAATGGAGATGAAAAAAGATGAAAAAAGATGAAAAAAGATGAGAATTCGAGGTGTGGGTTTTTTCCTAAAACATGTTCTTAGGAAGGTACGCAGTATGTGGCTGCAACACGGGCACTGCCTGACCTTGAACTCCCTGGAGATTGTTGCTCCTGCTCTCTTCGTTTCACTTTCAACTTGTTGAATTATTATCCAGTCGCCCATGTTTTTTTCTTAGGCCCAGCTTCATCCAGCATGGTCTTCTTTTCAGGCTGGGCTTCATCGAGCCCGATGCCTGGGTAACCCTACTTTTCATCATATCCTCCGCCTGGAGCAGGGGAATGGAGAAGAGTTATACGTTGCCTTGAGGATGCTCAAGCTAAGCGATGGCATCAACCCAGTGATCAATATTCTCTACCTCCTTGAAGCCGTCCGCTGTCGACCGATGGTGCCACCCTCCTTCAGTCCCTAACATGCCGAATCCGTCTAAGACACAAACACTGTCTTCAACCTTCACCCTCATCATTCAAAGAGGCCCCGAAAGTTTCCCTTCAAATTCGGCACATAGATGCCCGGCTCAACCGTGACCTATTTGCCAATGTGCTTCAGATAGATTTCCCGCCTCCCTTTGATGGCTCCTTCCTGTGGTATACAACTGGAAAACGCATCTCCCATTCGCACAATGAAGCTCGTTGGATAAGAGAAAAAGTATAGACATCGTTAGTTGGCTTATCTTCTGGCGCTTTACGATGGGCATAGATAGAGAGTTCTCCCGCTCCTTACATCGAGTGTTCTATGCTCACCTATTTATAAAGGTATTAGAGGGGACTATCCTCTCAGTGCTGGCATCAGGCATCGTACTCGTATGCTGGCCTTTGTCGGTCAAAGACGTTATTGAGAGTACTCCGTACTGTGCGTTGCAAAATTGTGGAGGATTTCTTGGCGCTACCCTTGAATTGTTGGCGCTGTGGAGCAGAATTACTCCTTACGCACTAAAACTGGGTAGAAAAAGCTAGAAATTGCTTATAGACGTGGCTGACCTTTGTATATCTTGTCCTATCTTAACGGCTGGCTCTGGTGTTAAGTTCGCAATGAGGACATGAGGAGGATATTTATGAGAGGAGGATATCGAGGAGGAAGATGTCAAGGCGGACGTCGTGCAGCATAAACAACTGGCTTTATTTTCCAAGATTATTAACAGGCAAGCTTGCTTGTTCTGGATGAACAGACTTCGGCCCTTGCGATCCCTTCGCCACACTTCCATCCGCAACATGATCTCCTACACCACCAGTTCAGCGGCTTCGCCCTTCACTGAAGCTGTGGTTAGCTCGATGCGGCGACTATATCCAGAGGCTTTGGCAGACAAGTCCTTTGACAACACTGGACGTAAGAGAGTCTCGACCTGCGGGGCTCGGATCTCTATGCTAATCTTTTGGCTTCAGTCCTCCTCGAAGCACCCTTCGATTCCCTTCGCCGGCAGATGAACTCAGTCCTGCTCACCGTTGACCTCACCCAGGCTGTTGCAAGCGAAGCCATAGAGAACAAACATTGCTGCGTCGTCGCATACCACCCCATCATATTCCGTGGCCTCAAGTCCCTCACCCTTGCCGACTCTCAACAGTCTTCTCTACTCCGGCTAGCACTCGAGGGGATCAGTGTGTATTGCCCGCACACAGCAGTGGATGCGGTTCCCGGCGGTATGACAGATTGGCTCTGTGATATTGTCACAGGGACGCCGCCAGAGAAGACGACCAGTGTCTCAAAGGCGGAGTCCATACCTCAGGAAACAGCACAACCTCCAGATGGAGAAAGCAACAGTCAATCCCAGACAAAGAACCCACAACAGAACAGCGACCTGCAACCAAAATCCGAAGACGACGTCTTCAATGACGATGTCGCACTGCCTCGCTCCGCAATCAAATCCAGCACAAAACGGCCTCACATGAAGCGATCCTACTCCAAACCCGTCTACCCTCAATCCTCCTCAAACCAAAACTCAAACTCAAACAACCCGCTAACGACCTACCTCCCCCACACCCGCACAGTGCTCCACCCCTCGCCTATGTCCTCAATCTCCAGTATCCCCTCCCCCTCCTCCTACTCTCAAGACAACACCGGCTTCGGCCGCCTCCTGACCTTCCCCCACACCGAACCCCAACACCTAACCCACCTAATCGAGCGCATCGCCTTCGGCGTCGGCACGCCCAAGGGCTTCCCCGTCGCCATCCCTCAGGACCAACAAGTCGAGGACATCATGATCCGCACCGTTGGCGTCTGTCCGGGAAGTGGGGCCGGTGTACTAAAAGACTGTGGCGCGGATCTTATCTTCACGGGTGAACTGGCACATCATGATGCGCTCGCGGTTACGGAGCGCGGCGGGTGTGTGGTCGGCTTGTTCCATAGTAACAGTGAACGCGGGTTCCTGCATGCGGTTATGCGGGGGAGGTTGGAGGGGTTGCTGAAGGAGGAATGGGCGAGGGTTAGGGCGCAGTATTTGGAGAGGGGGGATAAGGAGGGGGAGGATGGTGATGGTGACGGTGACAGGGCGGTCGTGAATGAGGAATTAGAGGACGCGCTCGCGGATGAGAGTGTCAATGTCGAGGTGTCGAGGGTCGATCGCGATCCATATGGGATTGTGGTGTTGGAGGGGAGTCAGGTCGAGGGCATGAAGATTTAATATCCCCATTCTTTCTTTCTGCTTTTGCCCTCCATCCTTGCGCTTTTGTATATGTCTCTGCTTGGCTTTTGGCTTCCTGGTTTCAAGTTAAGAGATACCCCTCAATCGATGTATGGAGGAAGGAGAAGACGAAGAAGAAGTAGAGGAAGGAGAAGTTGAAGAAGGAGGAGAGGAAGGAGAGGAGAAAGAGAAGGAGGTGAAACCCGACCCTATCTGATTTTGAATTGGGAAAAGGACAGAACAAGGTTCTACAATATCGCTGTTCCACTCCCTGCCTGCAAGACCACTACGACTTGAAGCGTAAGACAAGGCAAGACACAAGTAAACAACCAAAGACGCTTCAACTTCAACGCTACTGTCATATCCTATCCCTAGCGGTTTGAACTTCACCCTTTCCCAATATAACACATCATCTCGCTCTCTCCCGCCGATTTCCTCCTCCCCCTCCTCCTCCTCCTCCTCCGCTTCACTCAATCCTCGCATAGCATGCATGACCACGATGCGCGACCGAGGGAGTCAGGTCACGGGATTGATTGACTAGTTGACTGATCGATCGAACTGCTCCAGTGAAGATACAGAGGGAGGAGATAGGAAGCGGGCATTTGGACATGGTGCTTTCTCGCTGACTGACTGGTTAGCGTTGGTCAGTTTGGCTGAGAGCGATTTATTTGGTCGATTGATTGCCTTGAAGCAGGTCAGGTGGGTGTCGTATCCTGGGACGTAGAGCTAGGGGGGTCATGGTGATAACGTTGGGTTTACCGGTTGCTGGTCTCTTGTAGAGATGTTCAAGGTGGAATTTTGTGGGTTTTGGCTTTGGTTGGGGAACTGCATGGATGGGTGTTCACGGTTGGTTGGTTGGTTGGTAGTATATGTCGTGATGAGGAGGGGGAAGGGGGTGAGGTGTTGGTTCAAGGGCGGCTGGGTGCGGGTTATGAGGTGTAAGTGGTATGCCGATGAGGGTGTAAGCCAAGTGGAGTGGAATGGAGTGAGTGGCTGAGTGATGGTGATGCAACGTGAGGAATTGGTTTGATATGCAGGAGACAGGGAGGAGAAGAAAATGATGAGGGAGGGTTATGGTATCTGAGTTGTAAGTGGACTGTATTTTGGTAAAGGGGATGAGGGCAGAATCGGGCAAAGGTAGAAATATGATAGAGGAAAGGCCAAGCCTTGCTGGTCAGGAGAATCGCATTGAACAGGGACAGACGAAAAGAGAGGAGGTGTGTGAAGACTGAGCAGGCCAGGAGCAGGACGGTGAGAGCGAATCGCAATCGTGGACCTGTTGAAAGGTGTAAGAAGAGTATAGAGAGGAAATTGGAAGCTCGAGGAAAGCGTAAAACAGGAATTGAGAATGGCCGGTGTTCAAAATCTGGGCGTCATTGCCCTGCTACTAGTAGACAGTGGAACAGAACAGCAGTAGACGAAGTGTCGGCGAAGGAGCCTTGGTTCGGTCGCGTTTATTCAGCCTGCAGCAAACGGGTCTCTCATCATACCCATTCCCAGTCAGAGGAAGACCAGGAAGATAGGAGCAGCCCTCCATGTGTACAGACAGACATCTGATGCCAGCCAATGCGAATGGGCCAGAAACGATAGAGGCAAAGAATGGCCTTCCCACACGTATGTAGATAATCGGACATTCGTTGTATCAGCGGTAGACATGCTTCCACCCAGCTGGAACTCCACCCATATCTCGTCAATACGACGAAAACAAGACTGGCCGGACTTTTCTAACCAATAGAATGGCTCGAGCAAAACACCTATGTCATGCCGTTGTCAAGACCCGGGGCCACCCCTGGCAATGCAACAGATGGCATCTTGCAAAGGAAGAGAAGACTCTCGTTCAAGTCCTCTAAATAGTATAAGCTTATCGTCGATCCCAGCACCAGACTCTCCAGTATACTACGTAGTATGTCGAGATATTCAGCGTGTGGCCCACAAAAGCCAGTCAGACCACTTTGTAATTATGCTGGTAATGCCAAGACATAGCTAGGGGTGGTTCCACCTTTCTCGCGGCGTCAGCAGGTGATGAGTGCAACCCCCATGGTACATGTTGCATGGAGGGTATCAGAAGACGTTGCTGCCCGTTTTTTTTAGCTTTCTCGCCATCCTGCTTTCAAGACCACGATTGGATCTGCGTTGTTTGGTAACATAAGCATATGACACCCTGATTCCCACTGGTTTCACCAGCTCATCGAATGAGCCCATCGATGACCAAGGTTATTGTGGCCCACCCGGCATGCCCATACTTGGACCGGGCTGAACATAAACACGCTGTCGCTTGTTAAATCCATTCATGTCTGTTACTCCACCTGACATTTCACTGATCTGGCGTCGATGCTGCGGCTGCTGCTGCTGCTGGGGTTGTTGGTATGGTTGTTGTTGACGCCCCGGTATGTGTGCTGTTATCGGTGTGTGCGGACTCGTACCGTACGGGCTGTGGTTGGCCATCTGGGCATACTGAGTAGGGATGTTGGTATGGATAGGTGATACCCCTGGATATTGTCCGGGAGATTGCCAATTGCCCATGGAGCCTGCTGGTGATTGAGCAGGTGAAGAGGCGTCGTCTTTGATACTTTGACCAGTAGATGACTGAGGGATCGAAGAAGTGGTGGCGGAAGGAGGTGGCTCCATTCCTGGAGGTAGCCTTTTGAGGTGTGAGAGATGCTTCTCGAGCATGTCGAGAAGAGATTTCCGAGTGAATGGTTTAGGCAGAACATCATCCATGCCTAGATGTTGTTAACGATGGAAAGACAGGCATTGTGGTAAGGTGCTTACCATGCTGGAAATACATTTGGATATCATCGCTTCTGATGTTGGAAGTCATGGCAATGATTGGCGTACGGTCAAATTGCCGGATAAGGTGGCAAGCAGATACACCATCCAGATTAGGCATTATAATGTCCATGAGAATCATGTCGTACTTGACACCTTCCTGGATTTTATTCACGGCTTCGAGGCCATCAAGCTGAGGCAATTAGCACAAGTTTACATAGCATCTCCAAGGTACTCACAGCAGAATCAATCACGCAGCAGAAAGAATACAAGAACTTCCCACCAATCTGTCGACAGGTTGGATCGTCCTCGACAAGTAGTATACGTGGCTGCCTACTCCAGCCAGGGTCGGCGAATGTGCTCTTCTTTCTACCATCTGCGTAATGTCTCCTTGGATCCGACGGATCGAGCTCTTTTGGTGGCAATGAGTAAGGAATATTGTTAACATGTTCGCTGTACATTGGGTCAATTCCATTGTTGGTTCCCATTGGATATACCACTTGATCTAATTCACCATTGTTGAGGCGGGCATATCCCAATGTAGAGCTTGAATCGGCAGATTGAGGAGCTCTGTTCGCATTACGCATATGCTGATCGGCCGGCGGCGTCGACATCACCCCTGGAGTTTTATTGGAGAGATCATGTAACTGCTCCATGCTTGCAAGATTGAATTGTCCTTCAGCGTTGCTCTCGTTCAAAAGCTTGCTCGCGTGCTGTAATGGTGATGCGGGCTCATCCTCGGGAACGGCGATACTCTGGCTGGTTGGTGTCAGCTGAGCGGTTTGGCCTGTGTCACCTGTGTTGAACATGATTTTGCTGTCCCTTCTCTGCTTCGCATCAACAGAGTGCAAGAAGGTCATGACATTTTGGATTACGTGCTCGTGGTTGAGGACGGTTTTTTGCACACGTAATACTTCTTGAAGCACCATTTGCTGATTCATAGCCATCTCGGCGTATCGTTGCGATAATTGCTCGAGTTGCTGCGATTGAGCAACCAGCTGCTGATTCATCAGATCTATCTGTTGTATCGGAATCTCGCCCTCATTCATAGCGGACGGTTTCCGAGGGGCAGGAGCTTTTCTTCGAATGTTATCCAGCGAGTCTTTGTTGTTGGCCTTGAATTCCGGGTGTTTGAATTCCCATGCCTAATCGTGTCAGCGTCACCTTTCCGTGCTAACGAGTATACACCAACATTTGGGCCGTAGGGCGACGTGCCTCCTTCTTCATTATTCTGCCGCACTTTGTGGAAGTCGTATTTGTTCAATTGCCGCACGAAGCTCGCAAAATTGCTGTGTTTGAAATGCTTTGGAAGAATGGATTTCGTGAATTTCTCGTTCTGCGATCGTCGAAGGTTAACGTGATGCCTCATCAGTGCGATGCCGACAAGAACTTTCCCACCTCGAGCACCACGAAACTATCTCCTTCATCACCCCATCGCACGACTGACGCATATGAAGGATCCTCCAACATTCTATGCCAGTATGTCAGCATTGTGTATCTTCGCGTACAATAAGGGTGTTCATGCTGATTCCCGTGGATAAGCCGCTTACTTGTATAGCTTGCGCACCTGTAAGGTTATCAGCCAATATTCTACACATGTGATTTCGCAATTTCGCAATTTCTTGACTCACGAAGTCGCTAGAGTTATTGGCCGAAGCCGTGCCGGCTGGTCCATCCATTATGGAACCGGATGATGGTAGGATGACCTTTGCAAGCTCGAGATCGCACGGCGTAGATGCCTACTTTAGGGGGTACGGCACGATTGCCAGTGGAAGATCAGGAAGAGGACTGTGGGTGAGGCCGCCAGGCCACCCGATATGCCAATTGGCAGTGATCGGTGGTCGATGCTGAAGGGAGAAATGACACGTTTGACTACCAGTTGCTCCAGGAATATTCTTGTCGTTTCTTTTGACTACGCGCAACTGGGGCTCTCACCGCAGGGAAATGCGATAGCGCCGCAGTTAAAGGTCGTTGTGGCGCCCGACTCCCAGAAAGGTCGATGAGCAGCCAAAGCACCTCAACGGGGCAGTGGCTTAAACCTTCCGAGAGAACAACACCAGATCGAGAAGTGTGTAGGCTGGAAGTCGGCACGGGAGGTCGGGAGTGGAGCGGAGAGGAGAGGAGAGGAGAGGGAGAGAATGCTGAAGAATGGTGATTGAGCAGTTCGGTATGTACAAGAAGCCTGTCAAGTGGCTCGAATTGCAAGCAACGATCAGATCTCACTATTCCCGGTTTGTGCTTGACCCATGCAACGAGTGACGGACGGGGCACCCTTGATGCTGGCTGAAAATGTAGCGCTATGGCCATGTCCCGACAGGAATTAGCTCCAATTTAGGGGGAGGATGGAATCGGCTGGCAGAGTCTAAAATGCAGCCCGGGATCAAAGATGGGCACAAAATGAACCACAAGTGGGTTGTGGCTGCGCTATCCGCGGTGATGGTCCAATTGTGCTCCCGTTGAAGCTTAGCGAGGTGACAAGGGGCCGGTGCCGAGCTTGGGAGAGAATCGAGCGATGGTGTGCCGATGGTGCCAGAGTCAAAAAATGTGATTAAGCCCCGAAGCGAACGTAGAGAGTGCTTTGGACTTGGAGAGGTTGCAACGCCTGATATGCTATCAAGTGTCATGTATCTTCATCTCCCTTAATCCATCTCCCTGTGCAGCTGGGTATTGTTCGCACAAGGTTCTCTTTGCAGTTTTCGCTATAGTCAGCTGAACGAGTTGGTCACCCTGGGGCAATGATTCGTCGTGCACTTGAAAGTTGGAAGGTGAGTTGGAAGGGGGATTGACACCGCCACATCCACATGTGGCGGTGTGCCCGGAGAGCTGAACCATGTTCCTATTTGGCAATCATAATCCGCTCTTTCACACCATCGCACCTACAGGAAGGGGTTTCCCAGCTGTAAGATAATACATACTTTCCAATCTCAGGTCATGCTGTCGTATGGCGAGTTATCTTTAAGATATACCCATGCTCCTCGCTTGTAAGCGTTATCACTTTTGCAAAAAGATCCCTCCCCTCATCCCCTCGTTCGATTCGATGTGGCATCAGAGGAATCGTTCTCGGAGCCCCCGGCCGTGCAGGTGTCCATGACAGCTATACAATGTGGTATATAGATGGTAGTGTATCGGATCACTTCCGCTGAAGGGGGTCCGATGCACAGCAGTAAACAATAATCACAGTGAGGTACGGCTTTTTACGTTCAACCCTCAGTTATCGCACATGTCTGAGAATATTCTCTTTCGCCACAGCAATGCTCGATAGGCATGCGGGACGTTTATGTCAGAGAGGTCAAGGTCCCAACGCCAAAATGGGTAGGTGGCATCCCCAGTGCGATTGGTAGAAGTCGGACCTAAGCACGAACGTGTGTGGCGCAGCAGAGTAACCAGGGGCCAGCAACCTGGAAGCAAGTCAAGCGTGCTACTTATGTAGACAAGCAACTGTACTACGTAGTAATCATTGCAAGTGTCTGCAACTATCCGCGCGAAACCCCTGTGCAGTGCAGGAGAATGGAATATGTGACCGCGGAGAAATGGTGGGGAGATGCAGCACCATGTCGGTCTTTGCAGTCTGTCTAAACTCCTCGACCAGGGGTCACGTTTCAACAATCTAAAGACAACCACTTCTCTACAGTCTTGATACGTAGTCACATCGTCACAGCACTACAGCACTACAGCAGCAGCTAGAATCATAGAGAGGGTCCCTCTACTTGGGTATCTTCGTATTTCATAAATACGGAATACTGGGTCAGGTGTTGAATGTCTGGATATCTCCGTTCCCTCCAGCTTTCACGACTTGTTTGAGTGTTTACTGTACTGCATTTTACTTCCGCCAGTTGTGCCTTCCCTCAAGATATCACGCTAGCTACTCTGCGCCATCTCTGCCCATTCACTAAGTTGTTATTGATCGTTCAAAAATATGTCTGCCACCATGTTCTTACAACACCTTGTCAAACCGCTTCGCAACACCAACAACTTCTACCTCTCCACATCAACCGCCAACAAAGCCAGACTATTCTCCTCGACTTCCGCAGTCATGGTCAAAGCCGGTGATACTATTCCAGAAGTCACCCTAGTCGAAGACTCCCCTGGTAACATCGTCGAACTCCACAAGGAGATCGGTACTGGAAATGCTCTAATCATTGGTGTCCCTGCGGCGTTCAGTATGCTCCTCCTAGCAATCAGTACCGTGACTCTGAAACTGACTGAGGTATCAGGTCCATCTTGCTCCAACTCTCATGTTCCTGGCTACATCAACCACCCCAAGCTCAAAGACGCTGGCAAGGTCTTCGTCGTTTCAGTCAACGATCCCTTTGTGTAGGTCTACCCATCTTTAGCTTGATATGCAGTGTTATACCTTGACAGGATGCAGCTTCGGCTGTACTCTGACCTATCTTTAATCATCATTTCTATTACAAATGCTGTCCTAGACAGTTCGCCATGAACAAATAGAAGTACCCTAGCTCCAAGCAGGTCTGGCCACAGCTAGCACGATGTGCCTTATCACTACTACCTCCAGTTACTGTCATGTCTTCATCTGTGACTGTTCTTACATAACCCTGAAGATGTCATCTCTTCAACAAATCATCTGCAGTCTGAGATATACTGACATCCATTCTTCCAGCATGAAAGCATGGAGTGAATCCCTTGACACCAACAAATCCAGCCGTATCCGTTTCCTTGCCGACCCATCTGGTGCCTTCACCCGAGCTTTGGACACCGAATTCGACAGTGCCAAGGTCTTCGGCCAGAACCGCAGCAAGCGATACGCCATCACTATCGAGAGCGGCAGAGTCAAAGATGTCTACATTGAGCCAGACAATACTGGTGTTTCTGGTAAGCCCCGCGATCACTTACTCTTCCTTACCTCCATTCTACGCTATTGCGCCATATGAACGGTACTAATAAGATCTGCCTGTTTAGTCTCCACTGCTGAGAAAGTGCTGGGTTAGATGTGCTTCTCCACAAGATGAGATGACGGAGTAATGAAATGCTCGGGTAGAGATACACTACTCCAAAGACATGAAGTTCAGGCAAGTTTGAGCAGATAATAATTCCACAACTGAAACCAAAATTGAAAGTCTTCACACAGAACGCAATGCAATGCAAAGAAGTAGACATCCCAGCCCTAAACCGCAGCCGCGAAAACAAATCAGTGAACCAAGATTCACTTCCTTTCCCCATCAAGCATCATCTTCCATCCAGCTCCGTGACATCCCGTCCCATTCCGTTCCTACATCTGATCTCTCTGACTCCCTTGAAGCAGAAGCAGCAGCAACAACAACAGTGCCTACCAGGCAGCTAGCAGCATAGAACAAAACAACCCAAAAAAGGTTCCATTGGGAACCAGCTAGCTGGCTAGCTCTACGCAGACCATACCATGCCATGAAGCAAGGGACAAATAAATAGCTCCCAGTAGCCTCCTAAACCCAGAACATCACCACCACCACCAGCACCGCCCTTGCACACCCAACCCCCACATCTTCCCTCTTTCCCACTCATTTCACCTGCCATTGCTTACTTGGGGCATGTTCCATAATCCAAACAAAATTGCAATTAGGACCTAAAAAAACACGTCCACACACTAATATACCGCTGGCTAGCTGGCTGGCTAGCTCTATTCCTTGCCATGAAAAGCCCAAATGCAAAATGCAAAATGCGAGATGTAAGACACAAACGCGGCGGATCGAAAAGGAAATTCTAGAAGAAAAAAATGAGAAGTACGTTAGAAGTGATCCGGCGCACACGGGCACACTAAGCCGCCACATGCAGAAGTGGATCCTGCTTTTCGCAGGGAGGAACCCCTGGATCTGGGAGATCGAGATCGAGATCGAGATCAAGATCAAGATCAAGAAATGGGGGGGGGGGGGGGGGGGGGGGGGGGGGGGGGGGGGGAGGTTTGTGTTCCTTGCATAAGTAATCATTATTTTCATTCTGCATTTTGATCGTGACACGATAACGTACGGTGTGCGGTGTGCGGTGTGCGTTGAGTGATATGACATGGTCGCCAGCAATCATTATCAATCCTCCTCCTCCTCTTCCTCCTCCATTAAAGGACTCCACCCTCTCCCGCATACAATCTTCCGAGAACTTCCCATCTCCATGGTCCCCCGGCCGTAAGGATCATATACAAGAAATGAAGGAGAAATCAGGAGGAAATGTCAAAACCAATAAACTGAATGGCAATTTTTTCCGGGCTTCGCTTCCCTCTCATTTGGTACATAGAAACCCCCCCCACCCCAAAAACCCCCACTGACAAGATTCAACATCTGACTGGAATAGCAATGTGGAGGATGAAAAAAGAGATAAAATACAAAAGTACTATACAGATAGCCGCTCAGAACGCAAGAAGACAAAGCAAGACTTGAAACAGAGGAAAAGAAAGGAAGATGGTACTCAGCGCCTTCCAAAAAGACTTCCCAGCACCTTGACAATCGGCAATTCCTCCCTACCTTCACTATACGGACCCCTCGAGCTTCTCCGCCTCGAAGACCGGATCATCGCGCGCCTAGTTTCTTCCATACCATCACCAGCCGGACCTCTCGAGTCTGGACTACTATCACGACGGGTGTGCTTCTTCCTCCTCTCTCTGTTCCCCTCCTCGTAGTAATTATCCGTAGTATGATATCGGCTCGAGCTCGTCCGGCTCACTAACGCGGGTCTTACATTCTCAACCGCTTTCGCGGTATTGAGACGAAGCAATTTACCGCTTGTGACACCTTCACCGGTGGTCATTCGTCTGAGGAGGCCTGGTCGTGGGTCAGTGCTCCCATCTGCACTGCTGGCGCCACCGGTACCATTGCTGTTGCTGCTGGATTCGGCGAAGGAGGTCCGGCGGCGGTGCCGGCGATATTCATATGATGGGCTGACAGGTAGAGTGATACGTTCGACAAGTTCTACTTTCTTAGCCTTGGCCTTGGCTTTGGCTTTGGCGGCTTCTTCCGCGGCAGCCGCTTCGGCTTTGGCTTTTGCTTTGGCTTTGGCTTTGGCTTTTGCTGCTTCAGCCGCTCGTTCGGCCTTTCTCTTCTCTCTCCGCGCAGCATGGCGGGCTTCTCGCTCTGCTTCTCGTTGAGCCTCGGCCTCGGCCTCTTTTCGTTTCCTTTCCTTGTATTCAGTAGTCGAATGCTTAGCTCTCTGCTTCTCCTTGGCTTGGCCCACTGCGACGGCCAATTGGTTCTTGAAGAGACCTTTATCATTCTTGCTGCGTTGGAGGTGGACTCGATGGCCATTATCGCGGTCGGAGCTGGATTTGGACTGCCGATTTTTACGAACATATTCTCCGCTGCGATGACGATGGTGTTTCTTTTCTGTGGCGGCGTTGGGGGATGAAGGTGGAGCCGGATCATCGACCACTGCTACTGCTTCAGCTGGAACCTCTTCTGCTGGTGGTGCCGCTTCTTCGGCTGCTGGTACATCTTCTGTTACAGGGGGTGGCTCTTCCGCTACTGGTTCTTCTGCTGCAGGCGCTGGTTCTTCTGCTGCAGGCGCTGGTTCTTCTGCCGTAGGTGCTGGTTCTTCTGCTGCAGGCGCTGGTTCTTCTGCCGTAGGTGCTCGTTCTTCTGCCGGAGGTGCTGGTGGTTCTTCCGCTGGAGCTGGTTCTTCTGCTGGAGCTGGTTCTTCCGCAGGCGCTGGTTCTTCCGCTGGAGCTGGTTCTTCCGCAGGCGCTGGTTCTTCCGCTGGAGCTGGTTCTTCCGCAGGCGCTGGTTCTTCCGCTGGAGCTGGTTCTTCCGCAGGCGCTGGTTCTTCCGCTGGAGCTGGTTCTTCCGCAGGCGCTGGTTCTTCCGCTGGAGCTGGTTCTTCCGCAGGCGCTGGTTCTTCCGCTGGAGCTGGTTCTTCCGCAGGCGCTGGTTCTTCCGCTGGAGCTGGTTCTTCCGCAGGCGCTGGTTCTTCCGCTGGAGCTGGTTCTTCCGCAGGCGCTGGTTCTTCCGCTGGAGCTGGTTCTTCCGCAGGCGCTGGTTCTTCCGCTGGAGCTGGTTCTTCCGCAGGCGCTGGTTCTTCCGCTGGAGCTGGTTCTTCCGCAGGCGCTGGTTCTTCCGCTGGAGCTGGTTCTTCCGCAGGCGCTGGTTCTTCCGCAGGCGCTGGTTCTTCCGCTGGAGCTGGTTCTTCCGCAGGCGCTGGTTCTTCTGCTGCAGGTGCCCATTCTTCCGCTCCAGGAGCTGGCTCGTCCGCTGCAGGTGCCCATCCTTCGTCCGCTGCAGGTGCCCATCCTTCGTCCGCTGCAGGTGCCCATCCTTCGTCCGCTGCAGGTGCCCATCCTTCGTCCGCTGCAGGTGCCCATCCTTCGTCCGCTGCAGGTGCCCATCCTTCGTCCGCTGCAGGTGCCCATCCTTCGTCCGCTGCAGGTGCCCATCCTTCGTCCGCTGCAGGTGCCCATCCTTCATCCGCTGCAGATGCCCATCCTTCCGCTCCAGGAGCTGACTCGTCCGCTGCAGGTGCCAATCCTTCCGCTGTTGGGGTCTCTTCTGCTGTAGGTTCTGCACCAGGAGTTTCCCCTGATACTGGTGGTTCCTCTTGTGTTGGGGTGTCTTCTGCTGCTGCCGCATCTGCTGCAGGAGTGGCTTCCTCTACTTGAGGGACTTCTTCTGCCACAGACACCCCTTCTACTGGTGCAGGCTCATCTGCAGGGAAAGCTCCAGGTAGTGCCGCCTCCCCTGGCCCTTTAGCTTCATCGGCAGCTGTACCTTCTGTCCCTGGTCCAGGCTCTTCTGTGGGTGTTGATTCTTCGGCCGGTGCAGCCTCTGTCACTAGCTCAGGCTCTTCTGCAGGTACTGGATCTTCTGTTGGGGCAGCTTCCACCGCTTCCAACTTAGCAGTTGGGGCACCTCCTTCAGCTGCGGCTACATCTTCTGCAGGTGCAGGATCATCTCCTGGGCCATTTTCCGTGGATTGTTCCACAACGACGACATCAACTTCGACAGGAGTGTCAGTCGACGCACTCTGTTCGGCTTCTTCTGCACCTGATTCGGCAGCAGCAGGTGGTGCATCTTCGTCGGATGCTTCCGCCGGAGTCTCCGCCATTGGAGCAGTCTCTTCGGCAATATCGGCTGGAGTGTCAGCGTCATTTGTCTTCTCGCTGTCCTCTGTAGCTACATCATCAGATACGGTAGTTGCATCGGTCGAAGGTTCTGAAGTGCTGATCTCCTCGGAAGCTGGGTCTCCGACATCTGCTTTAGAGGCAGAGCTAGCCTCGGTAGTAGTATCCTCCTTGGTAGCCTCGTCTTGTTCAGCGTCAGCGGCCGAGTCCATTGGTGGAGAGTCACCGCCACCAGGAGTATCAGTAAGAGAATCAGCAAGGGCAGCATCAGCAGAGGCGTCAGGAGTATCAGCAAGGGCAGCATCCGCAGTGTCGGCAGGAGTATCAGCAGGGGTATCGTCGGCAGCGTCGGCAGAAGCACCAACCGTGGCATCCGCAGGCGCTGTGAGGTGTCAGCATCCTCAAAGGTAGTTGTGTTCACTTACGAACCTTCAGCAGCTTCTGGTCCACCGGCATCTTCAGTCTTCTCGCCAGCAGAATCATTAGGGGAGACTTGTGCTCCTGATTCTGGAGCAGCATCGGTAGCAGCTTCCGGTGCTGAATCTTTCTCCGGGTCAGCCCCTCCGGCGTCCTCCTCCTTCTTCTCAGCAGTAGCTTCTACTGGAATGTCACCTGATGGTTCTAATCAAGGATCAGCTTGAAAGATTGGACGAGAGCTTGTCACTCATGCTGACCTTCGGCTTTAGAAGTTGAATCCAACTTTGGATCAGCTGGTGTCTCTGCTGTAGCGGGCTCCGCTGGGGTCTCTTTAGGCAATTCATTGGGCTTGGGCGCAAGGTCAGTGACTGGGCCGTAGTATCGTACCGCATTCTTGGAAGAACGTGAGGTAGGAATAGTAGAGTAACAAATGCACGACTGATCAAAGGTTTGATACTTGAACACCGGGAGCTGTGCATACACTTGAGTGGGGGTGTGTGCCATAGTCAATGACAGCAGTAGCTTGTCCTTCCTTGGTGGTATCGACAGTGAACGGAACTCGATTATTTCTATTCTTTCTCTTCTTGGCCATCACGGGCAATCAGTGGAGGGGTGTGATTGACTGCAGATGGTCAGGTGGCGGCAACTGTGTAACTAATAGACTGCAAGGAGAAAATCGGAACAACAAGGAAAGACGAGGGAACGGCCGCGGAACCAACAGATGTTGAGTCGAGGAAAGACTTTGGGCTCTCAACACGCCTGAAGAACTGAAAACAGAGTAGTAATATGCTCATCACTGCACTGTGTATGGGTACACGGAAGCCAGGAGTGACTGATCCTCCTGATAAGTGATCCCGGTGAGTTGAGGATTGGACATGTTGTTTGCATCTTCCAATAGAGGGCTCCTTGACGCTGATTGGGCCACGTTGGTCAATGAAACGCGAGACCGAGATCTTTCTGCACCGAGAATCAAAGGACACCGAGACACGCGGGGATGAAAGCAAAGGAGCAAAAGCGGCGAAATTGCCGTTGACGACGACACAGGGTTCCGGGGCATGGCAACGGTACAGTGGATTGGGTGGCTGCAGGTAGCTAATCCCCGAGTGGACGAGGTACTGGATACTGTGACGAAGGCAGCACGAAGTGAGGTGGTACGTGGTTGATTGATGCCCAACTTGGCGGGGACCAATGGGCGGGACCAATGTGAGAGAGCGTTGAAAGCTTGTCCCCGCATAGTCAGCCATTTTTTATGATGAGAACAGTGTTTATTGCCTCATACTACGTATGGTTTGATTAGGCATGCGTTGGCGTCGCGTTGGCTTCATGCCTCCAGCCGAATTGGTTCAAGCAAAGGGGTGATGAAGTTCGCTGGTGGCTGCAGAGGAAGCAGGAGGAAGCAGGAAGGCTGGTGGGAAAATGGAACAGTGGTGAGTGGTCACGGATCGGGCCGGCTCAATTGGGCGCCAGAGCATTTCTTGACTGTCAATGGTTGCCTCACTGCACGATGCGGACGAATCCGCTGCAACCTTCACCATGTCACCATCGACCGTTGTCGGGTACTACTATAGTGCTACTATAGTAAGGAAGGGAAGGATTTAGATACTAGACAGGTACTAGACACTAAGTAGTAATCTAGCTACGCTTGCTCTTCGTCTGCAACATCAATCTATGCCTGAAGATACAGATGCCCAATTGGGCATTACTGGAGCCAACTCCACTCTCAGCGCATTCTAGGCAAATCATATGACAAACTCTCGTATCGGGCCCGCCTTTGGGAGCCTCCCTTCAGGTGCTGGCCATTTTGTCCATCGCGACGCGCCATCGTGGTCCATAGTGCTTCATCGACCACACCACAGAAGCGCTGACCAGTGTCAATAAACCTAGAATAGTGAAGAGCCACCCATTTCCTATCACCGTGATGAGAGGAGCCGCCACAATGGTTGCAACGACCGAGAATGAATTTCTCAAGAGGACGTTGATCTAAATACCAAGATCCTAGCATCAGCAGCACGAAAAATGCCCGTTGCAGAAGGTCAGGGACTTACGGCAACCCCGGCAGAGCTCTTTCTGGGCAAAAATTCAGTAAGCATAGTGGTTGCTAGAGAGAAGATAATCATGGAGCCAAGGCCAAAGAAAAATAAAGCGATCATCTGGCCAAAAAGAATGGTTAGCCGCTCCATCCAAGTCCCTGGTCGTATCACACACGGGAAATATCCAGTGGGTTCCCTTTTCTGCAGTCCAGCCGTAAACAATCAAAGAGAGTGGATAGACTATGGCTCCAAGCCATGCATTTTCTCGCATACGATCTTCGGGACGGTAGATTGGGAGCCCTGCTTCGTCGTATCTCCCGTCCTTTCTAGCTTCTCGAGCCATGATGCGATCCATCCACTTGCCTCCCCCTATGCTTGCGATGACGTAGCCTAGGGAGGCTGGAACGTATAGAAATCCAATTACCAATGTTGAAAAGCTGTATGGTGGTTTCTCAAAGGTAGCTTGAATACTAATGTTGAGGACATATAGCGCTGCAAAGGTGATGCTTGCGTAGTATACAGTGAGAAAAACGGCAGGAAACCGCAGGTACAAGATACTCTTCAGTGGATCGACGAAGCAGATGCGCAGGGTTCTAATGCATTGTGTAGCTCGGCTATGCACAACTTCACGTGTCGAAGTCCGGCTCAAGGCCGAAGGAGGCGAGTCTGATGGTAGGGGACCGCTTTCTTGTTCCCCAACTACTCCAGCTGTGGTCTTCGTCTTCTTCAATGTCTCTGGAAGAGCTAACAGAATAAGCAAGAAGGTTGTCCCTGCAAAAGCGTAGTTAGCTAAACTACTCCGGGAATGAGCATGCTGCCCATTTGTCAAATGGCTTGGGGAATGTGACTTACCCCCATATATAGCAAGAAACCACATAGGTGCCCGCCAACGCCATTTCTGCGACAATGCACCACCTATAACTGGAGCAAAGAGTGGACCACACAGTGGACCTAGGTAGAAGAAACCCACCGCCTGACCTTTTTCTATTGGCTTCCAGATATCGGAGACAGTACCAGCGCCCACTGCCTGTACAGCTGCTGCAGCACCACCGCTTAGCACTCGCATGACAGTAAGCATAACAATTGATGTAGACTCCGCAGACAGGATGGCAAAAACGATGAAAAGTATAAACGATATGAGGTAAATACTGCGCCGACCAAACTGCTCTGAGAGGGACGACCACCACAGAGGAGCGATGGCCAAAGCAAGCATATACAATGCGATTGTCAGGTTGACAACCGTGGGTGTGGTATGAAGTTCGGTTGCGACCTGAGAAAGTGATGCTGTTGCTTGGTTAGCCAAATTCAACCATTATACGATGCAGACTTTGACATGCGGAAGAATACTGCGCTTCCCATGGGAGCTGCAGCTGCAGCGTAAGCCACGAGGAAGACGATAAACCATTTTGTTTTGTACGAGTACTGATAAGGGTCTTCGATTTCGGCGAGGATGGTAGCGCGGGCGAAGAGTCCCCGTCTCTGAGATCGAGGCACTCTGACGGCAGCAGGGACCACCTCAACAATCTCTTCAGCGGTCTGGGCTCGAGATACGAGCTCGACTGGACTTTCGAGTAAAGTTGGATCAGTGGCAGAATCTGTGCTGAGTCTGGCCGCGGTACGTCGCCTTAAGTTGAGATCTTCCTCTTGGAGATGGTCTCCTGTTAGTTCAGATGACGAAGCTACTGTTGGCGAAGATCTCGCATCCGTTCGAGGTTGCGCCTCCATGCAGTAAGATAAAATTTGGGTTGTCGAAATGTCAGAAGGCGAAGAGGAGGAGGGAACTAGAATGTCCATGCTGCCTGTGAGAAACGGCCGCATCGCGACAATCAGAAAAGGTTCACAGAGGCACAGCAAACGGGCGAGTACAATGACGCATGAAAGCTGCAATCAGACTGCCGCAAGAGGTGAGAAGATGAGTTCGCGACCACCTTCATTGCCATCTCCTTCGCAGTAGAGATAGCCGCACAGCTCAGTGCTTGCTTTGGTTCGACCCGGATAAGCATTTTCAAGGTTGCCCAATGATAGGAGAGCGATTAGACCGTAGTAGATTCACTCAAAGCTGCCGAGACAAACCGAAGAATGATCTTCGTGACTCATCGAGTGATTGATCATTACGCGATTGAAAGTGAAAAGCAGAAACCCTTTTCGTTGGCGCCGGATGAAAACCTGTGCCAAAGTGGGAGCAAGCGGCATTCCCTCTGGGATAATTGCACAGCAGTATCAGGGATTCTCGAGGAAGTCGTAGTTTACTCTTCTGATAGTGTAAAGAACTTCCTCAAGTGGACTCTGGTTTGCAAGCGAGAGGCTATCGATGAGATGTTGAAACAAACGATGCCACGATCTGCTTGGCTTCGCGGGTCTGGTGGGGAGACGCCAGGAGAATGACATCTACACCAACTCGAGGAGGACCCCATCCGTTTATCTCTTGAGCTGCATTCGTTCCTGATCTCAGGGATTTAGCTACTCAAAGTGTTTGCAGGATTGGCTATGCATTGAGGAGCATTACAAGTACTCAGTGCCGCCGAGAAGTCTCTCTTAGAGTGAAATGAGCTTTTGTAAGTAATGGCCCTAACTAACTTAGTGCCCACCACCGAGGCTCCATAATCTTTTTTGAATGCGGAGGTACTATACTCTGTTTAGTTAGTTCTGTAAGTCAGAGATTTTCTGGGCGCCAAGGTACATTTGTTCGAATTACTAATCACGACATTTGTTTCTTCAACTTGAACTTGAAGTAAAGGAATTGTTCAAAGGGACATAATCAAAAAGGCTGTAGAGAGGACGTCCAAGGACGGCATACATTCTCCAATAGATCAAATGTCATCGCAAGTTAAGGAAAGTGTCATAGAGGCACGTGCCCGTCTACAAGGCCACTTCGCCGAGTTCTCGGGTGACAAGTACGGACAAGGATGGGAGAATCTCTGGGCAAAGGGAGATTTCTTGCCGTGGGACAAGGGTGCTCCCAACCCTGCACTGATCGATACTTTGCAGGAGCAGCAAAACATCATTGGCAACGCGATGGTTGAGGTAGATGGAAAGCTACGGCGGAAGAGGGCATTAGTGCCAGGTTGTGGCCGAGGTGTTGATGTTCTGCTGCTAAAGAGTTTTGGTTACGACGCCATTGGCTTGGAGTACAGCGAGACCGCTGTCAAAGCTTGTCGCAAATACGAGGAAGAACATGGAAGTGAATATCAGACTTATGATGAAATGCTGGGGGAAGGAAGCGCACAATTTGTTGTTGGTGACTTCTTCCAGGACGATTGGCTTGCAGGAATAGGAGGCTCGGAGAAAAGGTTTGATCTTATCTACGACTATACTGTAAGCCACCGTTGCCAGAAGAGATACCGACACATCTAATGTGAAGCTGTCTAGTTCTTCTGCGCTCTGAACCCTAGTTTCCGACCAAATTGGGCGAAACGTATGAGTCAATTGCTCGGGCCGGCACCACATAGCAATCTCTTCTGCCTAGAGTTCCCAACATACAAGCCACTATCGACCGGCGGTCCTCCTTTCGGCTCCTCACCTGAAGCATATATGGCGCATCTTAGCCACCCCGGCCAGCAGATACCGTATGATGAGCACGGGCACGTACAGACTGGTGGCCCTGACGAAGCCACTGAGGACGCTCTGGTACGTGTAGCACACTGGCACCCGGAAAGGACGCATGTGGTCGGCAAGGACGAGAATGGTATTGTGCGAGATTTTGTAGCAATCTGGCGTCATAGATGATAATCCAACACCACAGCATCAATGTTCGCAGCCACTGCTTCTCTGCATCGTTCCGAATCAAGGAGCCTTCTTTAATGCGTTGTAGTGTTCACCGAGACCAAAGGAATGCCGGTAATACGTAAGCCATATCGCACCAGTCTCCGACTCCCTTCCAGAATCGATCTTCTCCACCCTTCCATCAGCTTGTAGTACATTAATGTCAATTTCATAGGCTCTCGAAATTGCTTGCAGTTCAAGCTGACCACCCCATTCGGCGGTATGCTTGATCTTGTTCGTGTACTCGTCGATCGGTTCTTCCAGGAATGGCTCGAAGTCGTCCGGATGCTGAGAGATAAATTCGGCTGTTTTAGCCCGCACAGCCTGGTATGGCAGCACACCGTTGGACTCGGTTCTGTCTAGATCTGAGCTAATGTTTGGAAGTAGCATGGCAACCGCAGAATACATGCAATGCCCATCGGGCCGAATGAAAGTCTCGCTGAGCCCGAGCTTGTCAAAATGCTTCTGCATATTTTCGATCTCTTGTTTCCTTAAATCAGGCAGCTTTGCTGCTTCCTGAGCCGCCTGTGCGGCTTGAGCTTCTTGTTCTGCTGCCCTGCGAGCAAGCCGTGCCTTCTGTCGATTTGGCTTCTTAGATGCCTGCTGTAAGGTGGGAGAGCATTCATGGGATGAACTAAGATCAGCAGGCTTCCCATTCGCATTGCCGGTAGGCTTACAAGAGGACTCGATCTTTTCTTGCTTTGTCTCCTCTTCGCTGTGAAATGAATCGAGCTGGTCATTGTCTAGTGGAACAGAGAGAGCATCCATTTCAGCCTGTTGACGATCTTGGAGTTCCCTCTGAAGCCTATCACATTCATCGTTGACCCCTTTCCTGGTCTTCTTGGTAGCGTTCTTCTTCTTCTGGGTGATGCGTCCTTGCAGATCTCTCTGCTCTTTGCGATGCTTATTCTGTAGTTCTTCCATGATTTACACCCCTTTTCATTCTCCAACCACGTATTTCTCTCGCTTTAGACACTCCACACGTGTCCTCCAGCATTAAGCGATACGGAAAGAGTTTCCTGAGCAAAGTTGTTGTGCCTAAAATGTCCTTAATCGTGTTATCCCCTCCGTACCCGATGCCTCAATTAGCGTATAATGCCCAAATTAAGCTTTTTTTAGCCGCATTTGATCTACACAGCTCTCCGCAGCTGGCTTTGCTTTCGAATTCTCAACCACCAATTATGCTACGACCATAGCGAAATATCCAGATCCCTCTTAGATACAGGTCAAGCTCTCCTCCGCGATTGAACAAGCTAGTAAACAGCCAAAACGACGAAGAATTGACCCTGCTGTAATCGATCGAAATAACGTTGATCAGGCCTTGGCAGTGATTGCTCTGGCGTCAGAATGCACAGATGAACTGCCTACATTAATACTAACAGAACTGCTTCAATTTGAGGCTAATTACGTTCAAAATCGACCGGGAGCTCCTCAACATTCTGATCTATCAGAATTGGGCTTTTTTGAGCTCTTTTTTAGCCTAATTGTAGTGGAAATCCTCTCTAAAGAAACTAATTCGTACACTAAACTCTATCTTCATGAGCTTCCTTATCCTCTTAGCAAAGACTACCGTTAGGTACCTACTACACTAGCTAAAATCTATATATATCTGGGCATACATCTCTATTTTGGCTTGTACTAATTAGTAATATACAGTAATTACTAAAGGATTTATAAACTCAGCTAATTCATAAGCTGAAATCGATTCTAATTAATTCATTAATTCTTTAGCTTAAACGCTGCCCTTACGCAGCTAAATACCCTCTAGTTCTATTAAATTAAGCGTGTTACAAACCTTATTCAAATAGTCTATTAAGATGCCTATATATCGTCTTTTTATATTACAATTAATAAAGCAATAATAGCCTTTAAAGGGCGTTCTAATTATATAGTTAAGCTTAAGAATCAGCTAATTTCTGACGGCTACAAGCTATAATATATTAGTAACTATAGCTATATCTAGAGCTGGTTATTTTATTCAAGAATAAATAGCGTTAAAATGTTTATAAAGAGTTAACAAACATAATAGCTATAGTAACAAGGTACAGAAGCAAATTTAGATACTAAAAAAAGCGCTCTTCTTATATTAACTTACGTGCTTGTTTTACGCCTTACTATATAGCTACTAAAGCAGAATTTCTGTATCTATCTAGATATAATCTCTTTCTGAATGTACTAGTAGCTTAGTGCCTCCTAGTAATAAGTATTTACTGTATAGGAACTACATAAAAAAAGGCTGCTAGTATGCCTTTATAACTTTAACACTATCTTAATAATAATAGTAAGCTTCTCTAGGATTCTATAATAGCATAAGTTATTAATAATAATACTCTAGTCTTTATTTAGCAAGATAATAAGGCTGTTTGTGCTCTTATAACTGCTTATAGCCTTTACTATATAGAAGATCAAATTTAATAAATGTATAAATGCCTTAAAATCTCCTTTAGAAATTAATGTATCCTTAATCTGGTATTTAAGGGCTTACCCTTTAAGGATCTCTTTATATTAAAGACTATTAATGATTATAATTATTATATAAAAAGGGTAGATTAAGCTAATTAACTATGTGTAGTATTTATGTATTATTATAAGCAGAATTATTATATATAATAGCCCTTAATTTACTTCCTTATTAATATTATGTATATTAATATATATTTGCTATAGCTATAAAGCTCTAAAACGCATATAGCAAGCGCTAAACAAACGCATAACACTTATAGAGATTTTGTAGAGGCCCTCTGTTCTCAATTACTGCATTTAGATAATAAAACTAAGGAGGAGGATTCATACTCATTACCAACTATGGTACTTCAAAGACACTATAAACACATACAAAAGAAGTCCTACGGACGGTGCCAATAGGGAAAGCTTCATCCGCCAGGTTGTACACGTAAAAGGGCACCCAAACGCGCATTTGGAACGGATCTCACGAAGTCAGTCAATAATGGCATTTCTAGCGCTATTTTAGGAGGCTCAAAGACCCATTATGAGTGCTCAAAATGCCAAGTTTGGATATGTATCGAAGGAGACTGCTGGGTACAGTATCACCACTCAATTGGAGTCAATTGCTAGATTAATACGGCCTCAATTCGCTCAAATAGGGTGTTTGTTGACAATTTGGACCCCCTCTGCAGTGATCGACAGCGCTAATTGAGGCATTCTACACCCCTGTTCGGGTACGGAGGGGATAGAAAGAGCTCGGCAAAATCCCTCGTGAAATCCTTAAGAATTAAAGCTTCACAGGAATATGATGTTCGGCCATCACATGAGCAATGACTTCCAAAACTAATCCAGGCAAGGTCTTTCACTAAATACTCAAGACCGACTTGAGGAGATCAAATACTGATATAGAAAACTCATAACTCACGTGCAAGCTACAAATGCAACTTGTTCGACTCCTCAAACTGCCAATCAAATGCTTTCCTTGCCGCCTGACCTGTTAGCCTGTGGGGTTTGGTTGGGTACGCGCGGGTATATGCTGACAGAAACAATGAGACCAGGAACAGAGGTATAATGCCGAGATTGCATTTCACAAAATTTGTCGCTTGCTTTTGGCAGGTCAGCCCGAGTTAGCTGCAGCCCGGGGTGAAGATCCATTCATCCCAAGGACCGAATCACATCCGATGCCACTTTCAGCCCCTCCTTCACCTGAAAAGAAGAGCACTTTGGCTGAGTCTGCAAACGGCTCCTTCTTCGCACTTCGAATGATTTCTCCTTGGTGCTGCTATCTCATGTTTCAATAGCAGATCAGTTCATACTTAATTTCTCACTGAGGAATCCTTCCATCATCTTCAAAGTGTCTCTCCTTCCGCAGTTGCTCATTGCTGCAACCCTCAACCCTTTCCGCAATTGATTTGGAGACTACCCGTGTTAGGCAATCAAAATATCCCTCCTCCGCCTCGCAGCATTGTGACCGCTGCCAGCCTATCTGCCCGTTCAACAGCCACACTGCACATTTTTGGGAGGAATTCTATTGGGTTTGATTTATTTTCAACATGGCTGATATGGCTGGTCGGAAGGTCTTCAAGGTCTTCAACCAGGACTTCATCGTTGATGAGCGCTATACGGTTACAAAGGAGCTTGGACAGGGTGCATATGGTATCGTTTGGTATGGCCCTTGGTGCTAGTCCCCAGCGGAACCACGTTTGGCTATGACCAATGTTCCTTCAGAAAAGCTGATACATCGAGGATAGTGCCGCAACCAACAATCAAACCGGCGAGGGTGTGGCGATCAAAAAGGTCACCAATGTTTTTAGCAAGAAGATTCTTGCAAAACGGGCGCTCAGGGAGATCAAGCTTCTGCAGCACTTCAGAGGACACCGCAATGTACGATCAATAGTGACTTTAGTGACTATGTGATTGCTAAGGGAAAACAGATCACTTGCCTATATGACATGGATATCCCTCGTCCAGAGAGTTTCAATGAGACATATCTCTATGAAGGTCTGGACCAAGACGAGAATACTCGATCCATTTCTAAACCTTGAACAGAGCTCATGGAATGTGATTTGGCTGCTATCATCCGCTCGGGTCAACCTCTTACAGATGCGCATTTCCAATCGTTCATCTATCAAATCCTCTGTGGGCTCAAATATATACATTCGGCCAACGTTCTTCATCGAGATTTGAAGCCCGGCAATCTTTTGGTCAATGCCGATTGTGAATTGAAAATATGCGATTTCGGCTTGGCAAGGGGGTTTTCGATGGACCCAGAGGAGAACGCTGGCTACATGACGGAGTATGTTGCCACGCGGTGGTACCGTGCCCCCGAGATCATGCTGAGCTTTCAGAGTTACACGAAAGCTAGTCAGTATAGTGCATCCCCCCTTCTGAGCTGGTTGACTTAGTATTCCTAGTTGACGTCTGGTCCGTGGGATGTATTTTGGCGGAGCTTCTCGGCGGCCGTCCTTTCTTCAAAGGTCGAGACTACGTCGACCAGCTAAACCAGATTCTTCACTACCTTGGCACGCCCAACGAGGAGACCCTATCACGCATCGGCTCACCTCGTGCCCAGGAGTATGTTCGGAACCTACCTTTCATGGCTAAAGTCCAGTTCCAAAAGCTCTTCCCGCAAGCCAACCCTGATGCCCTGGATCTGTTGGATAAAATGCTGGCATTCGATCCCTCATCCCGTATCTCCGTTGAGGAGGCACTAGAGCATCGCTACCTGCATATTTGGCATGATGCCTCGGACGAGCCTGCCTGTCCTACCACCTTCGACTTCCATTTCGAAGTGGTCGAAGATGTAGGGGAGATGAGGAAGATGATACTTGACGAAGTCGTTCGATTCCGAGCACATGTACGACAGCAGCAACCATCCGGAATGGCAGCGGGTGGAGGTGCCCCAGGACAGCACAACAATGTGCCTATCCCAGACAATGCGGTGCAATGGGGCGCAGAAGATCCAAGACCACAAGAAGCAATCCCGCGAGGAGATAGTTTGGAAGACTCCCTAGAGCAAGGTTCAGATGTTTATATGCGGCGATAGATTTCGAAGGGGGCGTAGCTCAGGCAGCACCGCCTCTCCTAGCAAGTTGACGGATTTGGAAAATATCATCCTCTTGACATTTGGAAGGGTGATGCCTAAATTCCCGAGAAGATTAGGCTGACTTTAGATATGACCATGCAGGCTGATTGTATAGCCACACTACGAATTTGACACCCTCAATCACCGAAGATACGTTCGCAACATTTCCAGGCGATCTATCTGCTAGCCGCCAAACACCTCATGGTCGTGAAGTGGTACTGAATGAGTTTCAAAAGCATTTGTTGCCGAGGTTCAAAATTATTTTCCGGGTTTATCCTTGCTTCTGTCCCGTCCCATGGCCATCCTTATTGCTGATCCATGTCCTGTGGCTACGTAATAATTCTAGGTTTGCGAAGCTAGTCCTGCAGGCACTCGCCATGTTCAACCAAGATGTGACTAGCCGCGTCCTTGTTGAAAAGCAAACGTAGGGTCCCAAATAGACGTTCCTCGCATACTTGAATGGAGCCAACAGGACAAAGATGTCCGAGTCAGTCATATCTTTCGAGCGTGGTAGACAGGATGAAGCCTAGATCTGAGGTGAGCAAATCACTACGCATGCACTGCCGGGGTTTATAGAGTGTGGTAAGAGCCATGATGCCAGGTGTGCATAAACCAAATCTTTATGCACGACCTCCACTTTCGCTTGACAGCAAGCAAGGACAATCTTTCAGTGCTACCATTGAGGTGGACCAGTATGCCGCGGACGACCAGGAACAGGTAGAGCGCATGAGATGCTATTGGACGAGGTATGCGGCCAGGAACCCCTTCGTTACAGCTCCTGAGTATTGAATAAAATGATTGACATTCCTCGGTATCTTAATTGCTCTCCCCGTCTGATTCATTGTGCACTACGCGGTGACAAAATACGAAATAGTGGCAGAACACACCGACAATCAAATTTGGATTCACTTCTATCTTTTGTTGCTCGTTTCCCAGGTATAGACACAAAAGACCTGGAGACTGCATACCTCTGCGGTCGTTCACTCTCTACCCAGTTGTTGCCGTTCTGGGGCTCTCTTCCTTTCATTCCTAACCACCAGCAGCGCTTAGAACAGCTCAGCCAACATGCACTTCTTTGCGATTGCTGTGGGCCTTTTAGCTCTCATGATGCCTCTGTTCGCCCTTCCTCACTCTGAAGCTGAGGTTCTCGAACAGCTTCGAGGAATTCCGGATGGTTGGATCCAGGTAGGCGTTCGCTTGCGCTCTCCCATAAAAGTATTGATTCATTCATAATCTAGGGAGCTGCTCCTGCAGCTTCTACACCTCTCAAACTCCGCATCGCTGTCCATCAACCGAGACAGGCCGAGTTTGAGCAACTGGTCATTGACATGTCAACCCCTGATCACCCAAGTTATGGTCAGCATATGAAGCGCGATCAGATGAAGGCATTTCTTCGACCCAGCAAAGAAGTCTCTGAAGCTATTCTGGGCTGGCTTCGCTCAGAAGGCGTTCCTGAGGCCGACATTGAGGACGACGGTGACTGGATCAATTTTAAAGTTGCAGTCGGCAAAGCTGAAAGCATGCTCAATACACATTTCTACTACTTTCAGAACAAGGATGCCGGTATCCAACGAATCCGAACACTACAGTACTCTATCCCACTGGCTCTCCATGGCTATGTGCAGATGATCCAGCCAACAACGCGCTTTGGCCAACTTCGTCCTCAGGTGAGCATGGTAATGGACTCATTTAAGGCAGAGTCCGAATATCATCCTTCTGGTTACAACGCGACCTTCTGTAATTACACAGTTACCCCGGATTGTCTTCGTGGACTGTATCAGCTCGATGGCTTTCTGGCGGATCCCAACGTTGGCAATTCACTTGGCATTTCAGGTTTTCTAGACCAATATGCCCAGTATGCGGAGCTGGAGAGATTTGTCAATGAATACGCGACCTACGCAAGAAACGCTTCCTTTGACGTGGTCTCAATCAATGGCGGTCTCAACACGCAAAATGTACCAAATAGCATTGACACTGGTGAAGCAAATTTGGATATGCAGTACGGTATCGCATTGTCTTACAACACGCCAGTGACCTACTATACGACTGGCGGTCTGGGTTTGCTGGTGCCAGATCTCGACCAGCCTGACGCCGCCTCCAACCAGAACGAGCCCTACCTTGACCAGCTGCAATATCTTCTCTCCCTCGACGACGACAAGCTCCCAAAGGTACTGACAACATCATATGGTGAGGATGAGCAGAGTGTGCCTGAAGAATATTCGCGCTCGGTGTGTTCCTTGTTTGCTCAACTCGGGAGTCGGGGCACATCGGTCATATTCGCCTCTGGTGATACTGGTGTTGGTAGCGCTTGTCAAACGAACGATGGAAAGAACACAACACGGTTTCTACCCATTTTCCCTGCGGCCTGTCCCTTTGTCACCTCGGTTGGCGGTACTCAACACGTCGAGCCAGAAGAGGCTGTCTCATTTTCTTCGGGGGGATTTTCTGACCGCTTCCCTCGACCAGCCTATCAGGAAGATGCTGTGGGCGCTTACCTTGATAGACTCGGAGATACCTGGGCTGGCCTGTACAACCCTGATGGCAGGGGTTTCCCAGATGTTGCCGCGCAAGCGGTCAATTACAGTGTCTACGATAAGGGCGTCTTGAAGAAATTTCTTGGTACCTCGTAAGATAGTCCTCGGTGTTACTGCGAATGCAGACTAACGTTAAGCAGGGCTTCTGCGCCTACCTTTGCGGCTATTGTGGCAGACCTGAACAGCATTCTCCTTTCCAAAGGCAAACCACAACTTGGGTTCCTGAACCCGTGGATCTACCAGAAAGGATACAAGGGTCTGACGGATATCGTTGATGGTGGCTCGAGAGGGTGCAGAGGATTCAGCATTTACTCTGGCCTACCGGCACCACGAGTGCCGAATGCGACGTGGGCGGCTGTTGAAGGTTGGGATCCAGTCACCGGTAAGCTTTTGTCAAGAGAGTGATACTCTTTGATGCTGACATGGGTACAGGCTATGGCACGCCCATATTTCCGAAGCTGGTGCAGTTGATTGATGTTGGCGGCAACAGCGGAGGCGGCAGCGATGATACTTACTCATCAGTGTGAAGGTTCTAGCCTACAGGCGTTGAAAGTAATCCAAACCACGCTGGCCATAATAAAGGCACGAAGGATACACTTAATATCAGCTGAGTCACTGGTTGGGCGAAGCCTCACAGTGCTGATCAACTTTCGAGAAATTGCGAAACCATACTCTGTGCCATTCGTCTTCGAAGTGGTCTCTACCGCCACAGTACTGCGTTTTTCGACTCCTTCCAGATCCCGAGTGACATCCGAGAATAGCTCTGCAGTGACCTTCCATCCCCTTGATTGTCATTGCGACGATCTTCTTTGACCTTCCACATGTGGTCAAAGACCCGTTAGCGAAGCTTATCTAGCATGGTAGAATGCTTGAGCCGGCAATCCTTGTCTTTGAAAGTTTCCATCCCATGTTACACAACCTCCCCCACGTCTCAAACTAATTTCCTCCATATCAGAATCCCTGCTTGTTTGTCGGTACGCGCATCATGTGTGGGGCATTGTGTGCAATTATGCTGCCATCCTCGCTAGGAGGAAGCTTGTCCTTCAAGTTGACAGCCTCTGTCGAAAACCCGCTTCGTACCAAGGTAGGATCTCCAGAACCCGAGCAAGCTACGATGCTTTGACTGCTCCTCTCTCGAATGCTGTGCCACTTTTGCCACTGTCTGCAGCCATCTTTCTGGATGAAGGCCAAAAACAGATCAAACTTGTGACGGCAGGGGGTGTGCTGCGCAGAATGCGGAGACGATCAGTCCCAGCACGTCAGGTAGGCGCTGACCGCACAGCTATCTGGAGATCGTTTGTGTTTTTTGAACAATCTCCCTTCAGCTTCCCGTGTTGCTCGTTCTACAATCTAGAAATCCAGAATTTCCTTAGTTTAATACTCGGTAGACTTCCTCTTCGACACTGAAATGAGGATCTTGACTTTACTGCCGTTGCTGGCTGTTAGCATCGTCGTGATCGCAAGAAGTCCCCAACATGTGGGCAAGAAGCTGCCAGAGAGGAGGATTCGATCTGCGCCAATGGAAATCCCAGTCGCAGAGTCCAAAGCGGAGAAGAGACAATCGTCACGGTTCATGACAGAGCGGACTTCCGGTATGTGTCACCAGTGCCCTTCTACCAAATGAGCAAGGACTGATTGAGAGTTAGGATATTCTGTGAATGGCACTGGTCTTCCGGAAGTCGACTTCGACATTGGAGTGCGCACCGCCTCTCAATATACTCATGTCATCACTGAACTGATCAGGAATCATATGCCGGTCTTCTACCAATCTCGAACACCACCAATTCACCTGAGCTCTACTTCTGGTTCTTTCCCTCGCAAAACCCTGCCGCAGACAAGGAGATCACTATCTGGCTCAATGGTGGCCCTGGCTGCAGCTCGTTGGAGGGTTTCTTTCAAGAGAACGGGCCCGTGATCTGGCAGTACGGGACGTTCAAGCCAGTGCCCAATCCTTACAGCTGGGTCAATTTGACAAACATGATATGGGTTGAGCAGTATGCGTCACCTGACCCTGTCCGGAAGCGAGATGCTGACTAGAGAGTCAGGCCTGTCGGGACCGGCTTCTCCCAAGGTTCACCAACAGCCACGTCCGAGGCTGATGTCGCCGCGCAATTTCTGGGTTTCTGGAGAAACGTGGTGGACACCTTCGCTCTTCAAGGCTTCACTGTGTACATCACTGGCGAGTCTTATGCGGGATACTATGTCTCGTACATCGCTGATGCTATGTTCAATGCTGATGATGAAGAGTACTACAATCTCTCGAGCATCATGATCTACAATCCTAGTCTCAGCAGTGACGCCGTACAGGAGCAGATACCTGCTGTGCCTTTTGTGGACTATTGGGGGCCTCTTCTCTCCTTGAACGAAACATTCAACGCCGACATTCATCAACGTGCAGATAGCTGCAATTACACATCCTTCTTCGAGGAAAATTTGGTGTTTCCGCCCAAGGGACCGTTGCCAACGCCCCCCAACATTGATGGGAACGTGGAAGGCTGCGACATCTGGAGTGATGTCTACCATGCTGCGACGGAAGTCAATCCTTGCTTCGACCTTTACCAGGTGGCAACCACATGCCCGTTGCTATGGGATGTGTTGGGTTTTCCAGGCAGTTTTGGCTATGTCCCTGCTGGGGCGGAAGTCTACTTCAACCGGTCAGACGTTCAGGCTGCAATCAATGCACCTATCCAAGGGTGGGCCGAATGTACAAGCCTTGATGTCTTCGTTGATGGCAGGGACGAGTCCCCCCCGCCTGCCCTGAATGTACTCCCCAGCGTCATCGATAGGGCTGAGCGCACAATAATCGGACACGGCGTGCTGGACTACATCCTGATCTACAACGGCTCACTCCTAGCCATTCAGAATATGACTTTTGGTGGGTCTCAAGGTTTCAGCAGTCCTCCCGAAGACGATTTCATTGTGCCCAATCTGCATCCGGAACTCAGTCTGTCAAGCTTGGCAGGATCTGGTGTCATGGGAAAGTATCATACCGAGAAGAAATTGACGTTTGTAAGTATCACGATAGCGGGTCACATGGTACCACAGTACGCTCCTGGCGCTGCATACAGACAGATGGAATTCCTGCTGGGACGAATACCAAGCTTGGGTACAGCTGGCAGTTTCACCACTCAAATGGAGACCGGTGGAGCGTATGGGCCATTCAAGGCAAGCGCCGCACAAACACCATGCGATAACAGCATTGTTTGCTGAGTCAAGGAGGAGGGAACAAGTTGAGACTAGTACAGTACAAGGCAGTTAGATTAGAGAAAAGATTCATGTATGACACAGTATGTCTAGTCGAAACAAAGACGGTGGCAGCATAAATTAATTAATACTTCCAACGGCGCCGTATTGTATGTTGCTTGGATTTTCTGCTGTGGCTGTGGCTGAAGGGTCGGACCGAACCCGAGAAATCCCGCCCTGGCATGTAGAATCTTGTCTTGGATGGCTTTCTGATGGGCGTCTTTTGACACAACCAACACGGTTACAATTACCCGAAGGCGAAGGCGAAGACCATCGACGCGGCTCTTTGGCGTTAGCTCCTCGAGACGCCGCAAAGCATTTTCCGATTGCCTCAATATCTCGGAATACCCACCAACAGCGACTGCTCTACCACGGAAATTGATCAGTCCATTTCTTTGGTCCACCTCTCTCAACGACTCCACAACCTCCTACCTCTACCGCTCCACGACCTGTAAAGCATGCCCTCCGCAATGCCGCCGCACTCCTCCTCAACTCCCGACCTCCCCACCCTCCTCCACACCCTCCAGCACGCCCTGCAAACCAACCCCTCAAGCGCGCAAAGAGAGCTCTCAACCGCCAAGATCGCCCTCCTGCACTCCAACGCCCTGATCCCCAGCGCGCAAACCGCGACCTCGACCCTGCAAACCGCGCGCTCCATACTCGAAACCGGCGCCCTGATATCCATCCACCTCAAAGACCCCTCCGCCTTCGTGCGCTACTGGTCGCAACTGCAACCCTTCTACGACTACTCGGCTCCGGACTACAGCCCGAGCCCGGACCGGAGTAAGATTACGGGGTTGTATCTGCTGTTGCTGCTGAGCCAGGGCGATTACGCCGCGTTCCATACGGTGCTCGAGGGCCTGGTGGCGGCGGAGGGCGAGGGCGGGAGCGGCACCGGGAGCGGGAACGCGAGCATAGTGGAGAACGATCCGTACATCAGGTATCCGGTGGAGCTGGAGCGGAGTCTGATGGAGGGGAGCTATGATCAGGTGTGGAAGGACACGATGGGGGAGGGGGTGCCAGGCGACGAGTTTGCGCTGTTCTCGCAGGTACGGAAGGGATTCTTCTACATGCCCGCGCCGCTGCTTAATGGGCTCTTTCCATACCCGCTACTGATTTTTTCTATTCCCACCTGCTTACGCCCATGTCATGCTAACTCTTTTCCTACATTACAGGATTTCCTGCACACGATCCGCCGCGGGATCGGCTCGTGCGCGCAGTCCTCCTACCCCTCCCTCCCCATCTCCTCGGCCAAGAACCTCTTCTTCCTCGACTCGGAAGGCGCCGTCGTCGATTTCGCGCGGGAGAACGGCTGGAGCGTCGAGGATGGGAGGATATACTTCCCCAAGGTGGATGAGCTGGGTGCTGCTGCTGTTGCTGGTGGCGAGGAGGGTGTTGTTGGTGAGATCGGAGGCGATGTGGGCGCGCAGAAGGAGACGATCCAGAATATGGTCGGGTATGCTAGGGAGTTGGAGATGATTGTTTAAATTTTCTTTTTGAGGGGGGGAGGGTGATAAGAGGGTGGGATTGTATGGAGAACGAAGAGGAGAGAAAATGCAAGAGATATTTCCAAACAGCTGCTAGGGTGGAAGCGTGGCTCCTGTGAGCACGATCATGGAGGAACGAGATGGACAGAAAGCGCTTCATTAGACCTTTGCCAGCCATTCCATGAGCATTCAGGCCCGCCCGGGGTTGGGTTGACCCAAATCATCGTGTGAATAAGTGGCATCAAATCAACCCTCTCGCATGGCAAGGCACAGCACGATCCAGTCATAATCAAGAAAATAGAACTAGACTAATCTCAAGTTTCTCCTCGGCGATAGACTCATACTAACATTGATGCTGTTCCTCCAGGCTTCTCTTTGCAATCACGTAACCTCCGAACTTCATGTTCATCCTTGCTCTTCTATCCGTACCCTTCCCCTCTCCATTACCTTCGGTCCAGTAAGCCAAATACGGACTACGGTAACCATGTGTAAGCGTGCTCATCCATATATGATTCGAATTAGTGAGCTAAGGATTTGAGTGCTGGCTCACGATGTACACTTCTCTCGCAGCAGAGTCGTCAATCCCACCACTTTGCAAGGCGAGACTGTGTGTTCATGAGAAGAGGTTGGGCCGTGATGATGATGATGATCAAACGCTGTTGTCCCTGCTTTTGCGAGCCGCAGGTCTGCAATAGAAGAGGTTGAGCAGCAACGGACCAAGAGGATGCGCAACCGTGCTCGAGACCTGAGTAGATCAGAGATGGTTGAGAGCAGAAGCTGAACACCTTGAGGAACAGTTCCTAGATTCCGTGATCTAGACTTTCGATATCAGGCGGCAGGAACGGGTTTCGAGTGGGTTTGGGTTTCTGGCGCTGTTCAGCAATGAGCCGCCAACATTTAGGCAAGATAGGCTTCCTTCACTGTTTGGGTGTTGGTGTACTGTGGCATCCTTAAAATGTTGAAGGTGTGCTACCTCTATGGGTCCGTTTCATTGTCCTCGCTTTCGTGTTGACAGAGATCTCGGGCTGGCCCGTTGTGCATCTGATAGAGCTTTCGGTCTTGAATCCTGTCGGGAGGACATTCATAGTCCTCCTGCTGCCTGGATGTTAGGACTTGGAGCCACTCTTGCTTGTGGGATGAGTAACACGATGTAGAGTTCTGAATAGATTGGATGGTCTCATCCGACTCTCTTCTTTGTTACATCGTCCAAAATGTGTACTTCTCTCAATTGGCATCATCGTTGTCGCTGCCACTATTAATACGGAACCTGGTCTCTCAGTCGATGTTCAAGTGAGAATCGACAGAATCAAGCCCAGTGTTCACCTTCACGACTGCTGCGCCCTCGTAATGGAAGCTCCAGACGCAGATCTTCCTGTCGTAGAAACTCGTGCTTACAATTACAAAGTCTCGGGGAGGATCGTCATCGTTATCTTGATTGCCCGATCGCAGCAATGGATCGGTATCGCCAGGATACTCAGCTTCATGGTCAGTCAGCCTCCGTACACTGGCAGAGTCGGCTCCATAAACCATGCTTTCATGGCCTTCAGTATATGCACCAACAACATCAATCTCCCAGGTACACGCCTCCTGGTTTGGATTCCTTGATAGTCTTCGTGTGATGCGGACAATACGAACGCCAGCATGCATGCAGGATGCCAATAACAGAACAGAGCATACATGATCTCCTCCAACCTCCTCGCAGGGGAGCTGTAACAGTGTCCTAAGTCGCCAAACGCCGCCACCCAGAGAAAGCTCTGCTATCATGTTTCTTCTGTACGGTGGACTTTCTTCAAGGGTGAAGACTCGAATGCGCTCATCGTAGCTGCCGGTGACGAAGACTCCGCTACCTAGATGCACGTAGTTTGTCTCAAAAATGGGAAGTATAGCGGTTACGCCAGCAGTATGTGATTTGCGATCCTGGAAGAGTTGTACAGCTGTAACGCAGTCAGAGTCTGTTCCGGATTCGATAGAGTGAAAAGCTAAGATGCTGTCATCGCCTCCTGTGAGAAGCATTTTCTCGTTCTTCGTACGGGACGAAGGACCTGCAAATGCAAGCGTCCATGCTTCTAGACTGTGTGCCTGGTCTATGCTGACCTCAGATGAAATCTGAAAGTCACGCTCGCTGAGCCCGAATAGTTTGACATCACCAGATGAGAAGGCGACAGCGAATGAAAGCAGACATGTATCAGGGCGTGGCTCCCATGTAAAAGCAGTAGCAAGGACGGTATCGTCTTCACCTATCTGGCAAGAACCAAGGTGCCGGACCGACGGTCTAGGAGATTCTTCAGACTCAACGATCTCTAAGCGAAAGAATACCATCAGAGAAGTGCTTGTACAGACTGCAAAGAAAGTGGGATCTTGGGGACGGAAATGTAGATCCAGTACCGCAGAATCAGGAAAATCGTATTTTTTGATGCATTGCGTGACGCCAAAGCCTGTAGACTGTGCGCTTTCTCTGATCTGATACAGCTCGACTCGGCCTGATCTCGGTTGTGATGCTGTCCCTTCAGGACTACTACGTTCCTCGCGGACCTCTAATTTGTAAGTGCCAACAACGAAGATTGAAGCGTCCGCTGGACAGAACTCGATGCAGCTCGGTGGTTGATCAATGAATCTTTCCGAGGGGACGTCGTCCTCATCAATTGCCATTATTGTCGGATAGGAGTTGATAGATCATGAACCCTTGGTGTTATTTTTGGCTGCATTGCCAGATCTAACCTCTGTTTGGCAGTATATCCATATTGAGGTGTAACCAAATGTAGATCTTGTGGACTAAATATGGGTTGAGCTTCTCAAAGAAGAACTGTACTCGGCATATTTATCATCAATGTTGGAGAGTACTGTACATATGCTAATTACAAGGTCAAATTCTCTGCCTACTTATCAGCTCTACTAATACCTATGCCGGAATACAAGGTTTGTTTCAATAGTATGACATGAAAGTCTATGGCTTGTTTTTGTCACTTCACTTCAAAAGCCATCGTATGTGCTCGAAAAGGGCGCCATACTGAAGTCAGCATTTATTCCATCTTGAAATTCAACGTATTTACACACCCTACAGAGTGAGCCCTTGCAATCGATCATTCTGCTGCAAGCCACCATATGAAGGCCATCTGTCGTAGTCACGCCATCGATTTAGCTGAGGATCCTCGTCTCAAGACATGCCCTGCAGATCCAGACATTCTCCTGTGGTGGAGATCTCTAATGGCGAAGACGGTTTCGCGAAGACACATGATACACAGTATGGAGATAAGAAACAGCGCCACAAGGGCTACAAAGATCAAGGTGAATATGGAGAACCCGCGCGAGGCCTGAGAAAAGGTGATTGAGAACTGTTCAAATTGCGTCAGCGACTGACCCGTTAGTATGACCTGTATAGCGCTGAGTGCTACACTACAAACACCGAAGACGAAGAGTATTGGACCATAGAATTGAGCAAAATGAGCACCGTATTGCCCATGAACTTTTTGGAATGTGAAACGATGAAGGAATATCTTCGACCAGAAATTTAACCGCGTCAACCGTAATTCCCCAAACTGGTAGCGTGGCGAGACACGGGTATCCTCCACCGTGTCGAAAGCCATAATGAAGCTGACGAAATTGGAGTAGGAGATGTTCTTTGGTAGCAGGCGAAGCCTATCGTCTTTAGCAAGAGTAAAATCTGACTTGTGCCGTATAAGGTGGAGGTACGACCTCAAGAAGCCAAGAGCTGCTCTTGCAATATCTTCTCTTAATGGTTTGGATATTGGTGAGTTCGCATTGATAAGGTAGAACGCCCAGAATGCATGCGACAAAAGATATTTGGGAATAGGTTTGATAAAAACTCGATCATAGATCCACACAAGATGCAGTTCTGGCTTCTCTGTGACGATGATTTCGCGGCCTCTGACAATCTGATGGGTCAGAGAAGAGACATGAGAGCTGTCTTGTTTGGCGACCAGCCAAAGGTGCGGAGCCAGCTTGTCCAGGTCTCTTGTTACGAGCTCTGATTCCAGATAATTTTCAATGCAAGCGTCTTCCAGGGTAATTCGTGGCTCGCCGGGAAGATGGAACTTCTTTGTGCAGCTGTTTCGCGAAGATGTTGGGGTTCTGTAGAGAGAGCGCTGATCGGAGCTGATGCAGAGCTTATCGCAAAGCTGGTCTTTGAAAGCAAAGGGAATCTGCTCCATTGCAATGTTTAGCGTTGGTGGTCATGACTACACGGCATTACCTTCAGCTTGTTTGTGGTCGGAAAAGCGATGCTACGCAAGAATGACTTGCTTGAAATATTGATCACTCCTTGAGAATTCCGCGTGTAGCACCTATCAGCCTTATTCAAAGTGGGGGCTATGCAATCGGCATTAATGTTGCAGAGGCCCAACATTGGACAGACCTTGTTGACCCAGCCTGATTCCCGAAGGCAAAAGTGCGGCCTTCGTACCTTCACCTTCAAACCCTCTCGGCTGGGAACAGTTCCTGTCATTCTAGCTCCAGAATTATTGCCTTCGTTATGGCCGCTGTTGTACTCATCCTGTTGCTCCCGGCCGCTTATTTGGGATGGGCGATAGTTGTATCGAACAGCCTTTTCCATCGTGTCTGGAGTGTGACACTTTCTGTCCTTTTATCCTGGACGACTTTATTGTACCTTCGAGCTCTTCCGCAATACGACATTTTGCTTTCAATGTTTGCCATTCTGTTCTTTGTGGTATGTCTTGCTCTATCACCTGTGCAGGCAATCTTGCATCAAACAAGAACCGGCTATCGCACCCATAGATCGCTAGAGATTTTCTCTGGGAAAGACATCAGTGACGCAGCTTCACAAGCACCTATCGTAGTGGAGTGTGTGCCCTCCGCGTTATCTTAACTTTGTTAGGCTAAATCTGTTCCGGTAATTAGTATTGTTGCAGTCCATGGTCTCGCATCGAATCCAAAAACGACCTGGATGTCACGCAAACTTGCCCAAGATGGCAACTCGCCGGATCCTTCAGCTAGGTTTGCGTGGCTTCGCGATTTTTTGCCAGAAGACATTCCCAACGCTCGTGTCATGGCTTTCAATCACAACACTGGGTGGGAGACGAATGCGCTCAGTAAGTCGTTGTCACATTATGGCGATGACTTGTTACGGGCCCTTCAGAGGGTCCGTCAGACGGATGAGGTAGGGAATGATTAGCCCGGATAGGTAATTACCGCTTTCTTTAAGAAACACTTACGCTATGTAGGAGAAGAGCAGGCCTATCATTTTTATAGGTCACAGCTTTGGAGGTCTTGTGATCAAGCAGGTGAATAGGATTTGATGTTTGCGACTGCAAACTACTGACAGGAGCAGGCTCTAGTCACTGCAAGCGGAAGCCGCGCTGACGGCTTCTACCGTACCGTTACCAAAAATACTCAAGGCTTCATTTTCCTAGGTACCCCACACAAAGGTGCTCGGCTTACTGTTATTGGAAAGGTCATGTCCCTCTTCGGTCATTGGAAAGGTTCAAGCACGAGCCTGCTGGAACTCATTGATAGTAAGTCATGCATCAACCAAGAGCTGCACAAGAGCTTCATGCGACTTCTAATTGAAGGATGTGTGGCTCAAAACACTGTATGCGTCTTCGAAACTGTGAAAGAGTCCCTTTTCGGCTTCCCGATTACGCATGTGAGTATCGTCGCCTTGGATTTGAGCTCTGTGAGCAGAAAGTGATACTTGGAGCGCCAGGTAGTAGACGAGAGTTCTGCGGCTATAGATGGGTCAGAAAGAATTGGGTTCGAAAAGCCACACCGTGAACTACAAAGATTCGATTCTCGGCAAGACGAGAACTACCAAGATATTCTTGTCTACATTCGAAAGTGGGTAGAGCACAGCGAGGAGAAGGTTCTAGGTACGTATCAGCCCCATAAGTCTCAGCAAGCCTCAAATTACTTTGAACTGTGAGGTACGAAGCTGACTTTTTAATTTCTACAGCAGGACGGACAGAAATGACGAAGGAGCAGCAAGGTCAGAACTTTGAGTCCATTAATAGGTTCATGCTCTGATGCTGACTTACATTCAAGACTGCCTCCAGTCTTTAGCCTTTCCAGAAATGAATCTTCGAGGAAATGAGATCAAAGAGGAAGCTTCCCAAACATGTGAGTGGCTGTTAAAGCATGAGTACTTCACAGATTGGCTTCGCCAGGACCAAGCATTGCTATGGATCAAGGGTAAGCCAGGAGCCGGAAAATCAACACTGCTAAAATATGCGCTTCGAGAGGGTAAGTCGCAAGCATCTCGGGAAAAGCTTGTAGTTGCATCCTTCTTCTTCCACGGTCGTGGCGCTCCCATACAAAAGACCGCTATTGGCCTATTCCGGTCACTTCTACATCAAATCCTGGGTCAGATGCCCGAGTTACTGTTTGACTTCACTTCAATATGGAAGAAGAGATGCGAGACGGAAGGCAGGCCAGGCGAAAGATGGGAATGGCATGAGACCGAGCTTCGAGAATTCTTAGAAGATGCTATCCCGCGATTGTCAAAGCCTTACTCGATACGGATCTATGTTGACGCGCTCGATGAATGTGGTCAAGAGGTTGCCAGAGACCTAATATTTCACTTCCAGCACCTGATTTCCAAGGTTCCCGCTGAAGCGAAAACAAGTCTAAAGCTATGCTTTTCTTGCCGGCATTACCCTATAAAGGACTACGGTCTCACGATTTGCGTTGAAGACGAAAACAATCAAGATATACGTCGTTATGTCCGGCACGAAATTAAGACTGGATTTTCTGACCCAGTTCAAGCAGAGGAGCTCGAAACGCAGATAGTCCAGAAAGCCTCGGGCATTTTTCAATGGGTCGTTCTTGTTGTCTCCATCGTTCTTACAACACATAGTCAGGGGAAAAATTTCAAATTCATTCGGAAGAAGCTTCAAGAAATTCCGCCAGAGCTAGAAAGTCTCTATGAAGAGATTCTCAAGGGTATAGATAACAAAGACCTACCACAGTCGTTGCAGCTAATGCAGTGGATTTGCTTCGCCTTCACACCTCTTTCACTCGACGAGCTCCGCTTTGCGATGGCGGTGGATGCAGACTCTCCTTACACTTCACTGCGCGAATTGTACGAACGTTCTACAGACTACGCTGAGACAAGTGAGCAGATGGAAATGAAGGTAAAACATCTTTCTAGGGGTCTTGTCGAAGTTAAGGAACATCAACAGCGGCGGGTTCCGCAATTCATCCATCAATCAGTCAAGGATTATCTAATGCAAAGTGGCTTGCAAAAGCTTGACAGCTCTTCGAAGTACAGTGTAACTGGTAGTGCACATTTTCGACTATCGAGGTCCTGCGTCAGATACCTCAAGATGGAAGAAGTTATTGACTACGAATACGGGAAGGAGGAGGAGAGGCAGAACGTTGAACACCAGTTACCTTTCATCAGATATGCTACAAGGGAATGGCTGCTGCACGCGGAGAAAGTCGAGGCCGAAGGAATATGCCAAAACGACCTTCTAGTGTTGTTCCAATGGCCGACGTCTGAGATCTTAGATTGCTGGACCCGATACGATCGGAAGTTGATCTCGTTGTATTACTGCCCTAGGCATTATGAAGATTCAACTCTTCTGCACATCGCAGCAGCACATGGTCTTTTCAGTGTGGTAGTAGCAATTATTGCTTCAGAAGGCACCTTCGACATAAATTCAAGGGACAAAGAAGGCCGGACGCCGTTATCATGGGCGGCTGGACAAGGACACGAAACAATTGTTACATTGTTAGTCAAACAGAAGGGTATTGATGTGAATTCAGAAGATTTACACGGTGATACACCCTTGGTGTGGGCAGCAGAGGAGGGACGAGAAGCAGTAGTTAAATTGTTAATGAGACATAAGAATGTTGAGGTGAACTCTAGGAATAAGTATGGTCGATCACCATTATCATATGCAGCAGAAGGGGGATATGAGGCGGTGGTCAAGTTGTCAATAGAACGAGAGGATGTTGAGGTGGACTCTAGGGATGAGGATGGTCGATCACCATTATCTTATACAGCACAAGCGGGGCAAGAGACGGTGGTCAAGCTGTTAATAGAACGGGAGGATGTTGAGGTGGACTCTAGGGATGTGGGTGGTCAATCATCATTATCATGGGCAGCAAAATGGGGTAATACGGCTATAGTCAAGCTATTAATAGAGCGAGAGGATGTTGAGGTGGACTCTAGGGATAGGGATGGTCGATCACCGCTATCATTAGCAGCAGAGTATGGGGAGTTAGAGGTGGTCAAGCTACTAGTGGATCGGGAGGACGTTGATACGTTCTCGAAGGATAATAATGGTCAGACGCCGCAGGACTGGGCAGCAAGGTATGGGCGTAAGAAAGTGGTGCAGCTGCTGGAGTCATATAAGTCCACAGAGTAAAATGTATCTGCTTCTCGCCATGGTGCTTCGTCCTCGTTATATTACCCTTAGAGTCCATACTTGAATGCTTCAGCGTCCAGCAAAATTGTCATCAACGCAGCATCGTATCAGGAATCGTCATGGTTTCGGCCTTTCTCTTCTGGAACATTCACATAAAAAGAAAAGAATCACTTCATGGTCGACGAAAGGAGTTCCCGTTCAGTTTATTCTCCTCTCCAGTATGAAACACCAACTCTTCCCCTCTGTGCTCTCTCCAGCTAGCTCTCACTCCATTCATTCAACTCGAGCAAGACACCTTCTCAACTTGAGAAGACCTTCCCCGGACCCGTGACCTAGTGACGACCTTGAACTTTCAACTCCGAGGCTGGGAAAATCTCAGTGCTCGACAGAACCAACCGAGTTCGGAGTCTCAAACACTAGGTCGTCCCCTGTAAGTAGACATAAACGATCATATCGCCCTTCCAAAAACGCATCAGATAAGGCTGCTATCGGAAGAAGTTGATTTGCGAAAGCTGAGAGTGTATATTGTGCCCTCTCCGCAACCCGAGATGATTTAGCGCTGACATAACCGTCAAGGTATCTGTCATGCCCCGGCAGAAGAGTGGCAGTGAAGTCACGCCTAGGGCGCCGTCACAGAGGAGTATCGCAATATGTCGCAGGTTTCACACTTTGCCGGCTCAAGCATTCACTTTCCAAATACAGAAAAATAATGGTCTCGTAGTAATGACAACCTACCAACACTTCGCCTTGCCCTGACGTCTTCCTTCTAGAAATTTGCAATTGGTGGACATACTCATTGGGAAGTTGAAAGTTTCATCAGCTAAATTTCGAGACCTGAAATGAGACTCTGACGACTCCCGTGGGAGGTGCATATTCTCTCTTGTTAGGCAGCCAAATGGCATGCTGACTCATAAAGAACCGTTCACCAAATCGTCCTCCTTTTCCTCCTTCTGCAAGCCCCTGAGTTCTCCTCTTACTTGCCATTCACCCCTGGAAGATCATACAGTAATCCGTATGCCAACTCGCTCTGTCTCTGGCCCTACGCTACCATATGGCTAACCATAACCGATGCCGATAGAAATCACGAAATCGTATTGCCCAATCTATTACAATTATGCTGGCTCCAACGCTCTGGAAGAGGCGGGTGAAGTCTTGGAGATGGATATAACGAATCTGACGTTGAAGTGAAATTGCCGTCTTGCTCGGATAGCCTCGGGCCGGAGAGTCCATTGATAGTGCATAGATCAGGGAGGCAGGTCGCCCAAAAGGAGATGTTGTCACACTTAAAGTCACCATTCAGTTGGTAGCGTTGTCAAATATGGAGGGGCGGGAATGAAGAACAGGGCAGGGACGGCGCAGGAGCGGATGGATGAGTATTTAGATGGCAAGGGGCCCCGGGGAAGCTGGTGCAGGTAGGGTTGGCGATTCGTGGCTGTATCGGGGGTCGACGGTGACGGCGGAGGAGAATCGGACGGCAAAGGCTGTAGGGAAAAATTTGTAGTTAACAGCTGGAGAGGAGCTTAGCTCGATGTCTTGTTTTTAGGATATCATCTAGCTTGATCGTGGTGGTCGCGGTGAATAATGGAGAAAGTGTTGGAGAAACGCACTTGAGAACTTCGTCGAACGTGTTGTAAATGGAATTGTAGATGAGCTCGTAAACAATACGTCTATCAAAATACTATGGCATCTCATGTCTGGAAACAATTCTCGGGGCATCCGACGATCTCACTCTGGGCTCCTCCAACTCAGTTAAGTCTTTCAGCGATATGTGTATTCCTCGTGGATAAAGGATTGTCCCCCAACTCTGCTTTTGATTTAACATATTCGCCCTCCGTTAAGGTAGAGTGCGCGTTTCGAAGATGTGATTGATAACGCCTATACAGCCAGAATAAAGTCGCTACCAAGGCGAGACCGGCCATTCCCCCAACAACGCCCCCGGCTATAACGCTAGCATCGGGCTTGTGAGAGGCTGAGCCATCTTTTGGTGAGCCAGGATCCGAGTTGGCATCGGTTTCTAGGCTGCTTGGAGATGATTGAGTGAAGAATCCCTCTACCGCAGAATCGCTCCAGGTTGAGGAATATGGTCCATTTGTAGCATACCAGCTCTTGACAACATTTGGCGTGATGTAGGGTTCGGCATTTGCGTCGTAATTGTCTTTCCATTGCATTGCGGTCAAATCAAAAACGCCAATGCCATGATTCCAGACATCCTCACAGCTATAAAGATCAGTCATATTCCTAGAAGCTGGATTTAGGCCCCCCGTGATAATCATCTGCCTCTGAGCAACGTTGCAAGCATGGCTGATTCGAGGGTCTGCCGCAGGATAGTCCGCCTTCATCCACACGAAGCCGGTAGTGACAGAACATACACCTCATCGAGCTCTATATTGCGCTGCTGCTGTGCAGTTGTGTCTGAGGCTTGGGTTTCTCCACTAGCCGAAGCTATGTGACCTCCATAGATGAAAATCTCGTAGGTCCCATTATCGCCTGGAACTCCGACTGAGCAAAATCTTAGACGAGATTGGGGATTGTGCCACTAGCGGTCTGATTGTGCCATGTACTGGTAGCTACCATTGCTCACTCGCACCCATCTCATACACGTGCTATAAGCATGCCTTAAGCACCCTTTTATCCTGACGAGTCCCCGCAGCCTGCCTAACCTCAGGCGGCTCTGACAAAACTATACAAGATTGTCAACGCGTCAATTCTCTTACCGCAGGTCAACGCACGGACGTTTAGAACGTAAATGCCTAAAGAGTAAGCTTTGAATATTGGGTTATCAAAGAGAGCTCACTGCTGAAGATGGTCCGTCCTATAAAATATCTTCCCGCATCTGTCACAGGGAGATCGTTTCTGCCTCAAATGGGTATAGAGAATTTGTTAGAACATCTTCCGAGTTTGTGTCAAAGCTTAGCTTACAGATTGAACATGTCTCTTCAGTCCATCTTTATTTTCGAACCTTCTACCACAACCCGTCTTGGCGCGAGAAGAAAAGTAAAATCTGCTCCGCACTCACCTTGACCCTCCCTTTTCTAACACTACTCACTCTTCTCAGGTGATTCGTGGGTTACCACTGCACGAACCTGCCTCTGGATGGCCTCTCGCCGAAGGTCTCCGACATGGCCGATCAGCGCCACCCTGTTCAATTATGGAGGGGGAGGTTCTACGCTGGATCTTCTTCCCAGCCACCTTTCCAACCCCCTAAAACAAGGCGACCTCCCTCCTCTCCTCTTTTATACCCCATACGTCCAACCTACCTTTCAAGTGAAGACCCAAACTTCTCCTCGAAGCGGGACCTTCGGACTGGTATTGCACCGTGCAGATCTCTCGTCAAAGAATCTGAATATAGATGCCACAAACAGAGATAACAGCAACCACCACCAAGTACACTCTTATTCGGCTGCCGCTCCCCAAAGGCAGATTTCTTTTTGTTACTGAATGGGCTACTAGTCGGCAAAAAAAAGATCATTCCCTCAATTCGACACCTATATCAAAACGACAATTCACGTTCCTCTCTGCCTTCTCCCAACATAATACCTAGAAGACCTATATCCAAGACATCATTTGATCATCACACACTGACTTATATGAGCTGGTCGTCCACCGAACTACAGCGTCGTCGTATGTAGCAGCAGTGGAGCCATGTCAAAGGATGTTCGGGCAGCGTTTTGGGTGTACTTACAGTCAGGTTATGACACAGGATCTGAGAGGGGAAGGAAAAGGGGTAATAGAAGAAAGGGCTGAGGAGGGGGAGAGAAGCAGGGAAAGACGGTGGAAGATTATGTCAATGAAAAGGAGAAGCAGGCAAGGTGAGTTCAGGAGACTTGTTAACATCAAAAGCAAGTTGTCAACATCTCAACCTACGAACGCAAACCAGTGGCGAGCTTTTATCCTTGCGCTCAGGCATAATCTATGCCAAGGGTATACCGGAAATGCCTATGTAATCCTGATTCAGTTTCACCAGTCACCCTTTTATTGTCATCTATCTAGTTGGCCAATTCTCTGAGCTCTAACCGATTGATCCATTGGATCCCGCCACGTCATTGTTGCTACTGCCAGTCTTCTCCCCTTTCGCCATATATTTGTCATTTTTGGAAACAGGAGGAAACCTGGAAGGACCAACTCTAAGCCCTTGCCACGGCTGCTCTCGTTTCGTCTCTCCAAGCCAACGCTCGATTGATGTTGGCGGGCCTCTAGGAGCAGAGGATTGTTGCTTTTGCTCTCCTCTCAAAGCCGAGAGGTTCTCTTCGGTAAGTGATGTTAGTTGCATTTGATTTGGCTAGTAAATATTATTTTAATGATGTGACTAATGGATTTGCATGAGAGGGAGGCTGACTTGTGTGCTTGTCACATTCGTCACCTTCTTGTCCATATAAGATGTTCTTCTGTGTTGCTTATTAGATTCAGGATGCTGATGGCCTTGTTGTTCTGCCATTTTGTGCTACGTCTCTAATCTTATGTTAGCTCATTCCCTGTATGACCCTCTGTGCTGGATGTACCAACATGGTTAAGGTTGTCTAATATTAAGGCCTAGAGAAGGAATAGAAGAGAACGAAGAAGCGGTCTGAAAGGGGCCTTTTTATAGTCGCATGGTAGACAGGCCATTATGTCTGCTCTTCTGTTGCGAACCGTGGTAAGTACTTTTCGTTTTCTCAATTGACCTGAGTTGAATTGTACATTTTGATGTACTTAGTCCTGTTTGGGATAGGTACGCTTTGACCAAAATAGTTTAGAAAGTGCTCTTTGGACACCACTATTCCATATTGGTATCCTCCCGAAGGCAACGCTGCCCAAAATATGCTCCATCAACCAATAACATTTGTGGTCGCGGAAACTAAATCGTATTATTGTCTTAACGTGGTTGGAAGAAGGCGGCTGAGTTGTACCACTGCAAATTTTCTATATAATGAATTCATGGTGCTAGCAACAGATATGGGCGTTGAAAAATCTCGTCTTTACTTACACGGATTGCGTTTCTTACGTTTGCCTTCTTCACCCAAAAACATAGACTCGGCGATTCAGCCAGTTTACCTCATTGCCTTCTGCTTCAGCCATACATAAGTATCAACATTCGACTCATCCCATCTAACGGTAAATGCTTGGATTAAATGGCTTCCCAAATCTCACCAGCCGTCATAAGCACTTCGTCGCATTCTAAGCGTGCACGACGAATACCTGACAACGAATGGGACATTTGGCGTCCGAAGCTAGAGCAGCTGTTCATAGAAGACGGTATATCGCGAAAAGACATTGTTGGTATCATGACAAAAAGCCACGGTTTCGATATCACGTATGAGGGCCATGTTACAATCGGAATACAATCTGAAAACTTTACTGAAGGAGACTGACAGCAGATAGTGAGGTGCAGCTTAAGCGCCGTTTTGAGAAATGGGGTGTCAAGAAATACATTCCTGAAAATGATTTGAAGACGATGATATATATAAAAAGAAAACGACAAGAGAATGGCGAGGATTCTCGATTCCAGTGGAGAGGTCACGATGTTGAGCAAGAGCGGATAGAACGTGCTTCGAAAAGAATAAAAGGACCATTGAATTCTCCAGAAAGTGAGTTGTTGAGTCACGAAGACTATTTGAATCTAATCCCTATTCTCAGTGACTCCGACGCACATTAAGATATATACTTCACAGCATCAGAAACCTCAAAGTGTTCTATCTAAATCTTCCTCAGAACATGCAACCGGTGATTCATTTGCATTACCAGATATAGATGTGCCGTTACACGAGCCTGACTGTGCGAGCGGGGATCTAGATTTCGAATTCAACGATGTAATCGACTTTGGTTTCGATCTTCGCTTTATTTCAGAGGGATTTAGTCACAATGACTCAACACCTACGGACTACAACTTGAACGACTTCATAGTGAGAGATGCTCCAACCCTGACACCTAAGCAGTTAGATCAAAGAAGCCTTTCAGGAGACCTTTATAACTGGAAAAGCCTCTTAGCAGAACCATTTATAAGTGAGGACTCGGCTCAAGCAATTTCCAGGCCCGAATCAGCTTTCGAAGACATTGGTTCAGAGAATCTTACTAAGCCTCTTGTTCTCATTGAAGAGTCCTTCTTTGCGGAACTCTCTAAGATGTCAAACAATCAGTCTTCAGGAATCAGTGAAGATATCACTGAATGGGTCGCTAGCGAGTTCAGAAATTCCCTTGCCGCAAGCTATGAAGCCTCAGCTCTAGGTACTCGGAAGCGGTTGAAGTCGAAGACGGACGAACCAAGTTGGACACCTCTTACCCAAAACAGGTTTCTGGGAGCGATAATGACACAGAAGGCGACCTCGTTTTCAACCAACATTGCTCAAAAACTGCGTTCTCTGCAGATCTCGAGCAAAACTTGTTCACTACAGGACATACCTGTAGGGCGCTTGTTAATCAAGCTGATGGTCTTTGCTTCGCAAGGTACTTCAACCACTACTACAGCATCATTTACCTTCACTCCTAATGATGCAATTTGCAAAAAGGGTGTCTCAGCAACATTGCTACGAGCCTTTGACAGTCTAGGTAGTCCAACTATTGCTCGCAGTATTACTTCATTCAACATCATACCGCGGAATCATCCGATCGTAACAGCTCTTGAACATAATGATATACGAAAGGTGCAGGAACTATTTTCGTCTAAGCAAGCTTCGCCAAACGATCGAATTCCAAATGGGACCTCATTACTGCCTGTGAGTTAGCCCTTATTATAAAGCTATCTTTACTTACCCATGATAGTTCGCAAATCAATCTGTAGAGATGACGCAACTCTTATTACGGGAAGGGGCAACAACCGGAGACTGCTTTCGGCAAGTTTTCATTCGTGACTATGCAAGCCCGTGAAATGACTTTTCCTGCAGAGGCATACTCGGAATTCTTTGGTCAATTTGGGGGACCGCTTTGGAATGGTTGTCTGGTTCAAGGGTGGGGAGACCCCCTGGCGAATTTGATTTTTTTCGCCGCATCTCAGACATAGCGCTTGAAGCGGGCGCTTCTGTTGACGATTGCGATGACCCTGATCCATTATCACCCGTTTACGATGGTATATTCCACCGGTTAGTTTGGCATACCCTATATCCCGGACGCAATGCCTTCGTCTCCGAACTGCCGCAATTGGTCGCATACTTTGTCAAGATCGGCTTTTCTATCGAAGCCTTGAACTCCGACGGCGAGACGCCTTTCCTTAATGCAGCCTCAAGTCGTGGCATATGTCTAACGTTTCTCCAAATCCTTTTGGAGCATGGTGCCAATCCCACGGCAAAAGATAAGTGGGGACGGGGCGCTCTCCATTTAGCTGTTTGTGGTTACTGGGCCGATGACGATGACGGCGATGACGATGACGGCGATGACGATGATGATGGCTGGGACGGCAGCGACAATGATTTGGTTTTGACAAGCAGAAACCAGGATGAGGTTCGTGGTGTTAAGCAGTTGCCAAACACAGATGTAGAGGAATCGCTACTGGAAAAGCTCCTCTTTCTACTCCAGGCTGGCTGCGACCCTGAAGGAGATCACAATGGGCTCACAGTATGTTATTATGCTAAGAGATGTAGCTTGAGCAGTACATGGCATGCAGCTCTGTCTACCTTCAACGCGGAGCGACGAGGTACAGAAACTCAGGGTTAAAATCATTAGGGCGATTCAAAATACACGCTTCTAATCACAATAACTAGAAGATCGGTTCGGAGGGAGCAAACATTGCTGGAGCACCGCCTTCCATGATAAACCCATAAGGTTCGCAAAGAAGGACACTCAAGGTAGAGGGATCTACTAAGGAGGAGCTACAGTACTACCTCACAACTCTAGATTCCGGGACATAGGGCGCTGTTTTAGGCAGTCTTTGACGCTGCTTTCGGCGTCTGTTGCACCGCGGGTCATGTGACGTGCTACCACATTTTTTGTCACCCAGTCTAATTTTACCAACTTCGCACCTTGAAAAACACCCCCCTTCCCCACCTTTCCCTTTTCTGGGCTCCTCGTTTTCTGACCGCCAGAAACCGCTCCCTTCGATACGCTGTGTTCGCACCTTGTCAGCGGCGTCGCTAGTAGTCATAGAGTTCCTCTTAACTATAAAGACGTGATGGCCTCTGCTTATTGTATTCACCCTCTACCACAGGTTCCCTTGATCACCGCTTAAAGCCGCTTTATACAGCTTTACGCACGGCTCTTCATCTAATCTATTTACCTCTTTATTATACCTCTACTCTGTTCTTGCCCTCTTTAATCTCTAAGGTATTATATAGACTAATAAGTCTACAGAATAAGCGTACAGAAAGATTAAGATTCTTCTTTACTAATAGCTAAGTACTACTGTTAGCACTAGCAGTAGTTAGCTAAGAAAAGGATTATTAAAAAGTATTATATCATCTCTACTAAGAATAATATTAAAAGAATAAAAAAATAATAGAAAAAGTAAGTTTCTCTTAATTAATAATATTACCTTTGTTAGTAAACTAATTAGTTCTAGGTTTTATAAATTAATAAATAAAGATCCCTTAGTCTTTCTTTAGCATTACTTTAAAGAGAATATTATAATATTTTAAAAATAAATATTAAACTAATATAAAGTACAGAAGAAAAGTATACTCTATAAATATTAGAGGGTTTAGTATATACTTTACTAGTAATGTATTAGCTAAAGCTTATATATAAAGATAGCTACAGATATTAATAACGTACGTATTCTGCTATTTTAAGGAAAGAATCTAGGCTAACAAGCTATAATATATTAATAAAGACCTTTAATAATTATATAATCTTAATCTTATAATACAGAAGAAACTAGTAATAAATATTAATAACGTTTTCTTGATTCTTTATTACTACTAGGTTATAGATATTACTACTTTCTTAGATAGCTATTAGCGGCTATAAATACCCTTCCTAATACTTATCTTTATATATATTATAACTTAGCTAGACGCATTAGTATATATATTAAAGAATAAAAAAAAGGACAAAGATTATTATATTAATAAAGACAACAAAGATAAAGAAGAAAAAGAAGAAGAAGATAAGGAAAAAAAAGAAGAAGAAGATAATATTATAGATTGTAACTAGAATAGCAAATAAGCTAAGATACTCTGTTATAATAATGTTATACTGTTCTTACTTCTTAATCTTAATAAGATTCAGAATCTTTTGGCTATAGAAATTAATGTTAAGTATACTAAAGGATACTAGAGGAAGCTTAAACAGTAAGCTAGACTCTCTTTCTCTTTTATAGACCTATTAATATTAAGTAAATATATAATAAAATCTTTGTTTTCTTTGAAGTTAATAATCTTATATTTGACTCTATTCTACTTATAATTATTTTAGTACTAAATAATAATGTCTTTAAATCTAATATTAAATTAGTTAAAGATATCTTTTAAGCTAGGGTTTGTCTTCTTTACTAAAGTTTATAATTATAATAAAAAAGCTTTATTCTTTAAATACTTATTTTTTATTAAGTTATTCTTATTACTAATAGTATTTAAATATCTTTAAGCAAGGCTCTTTATTATTATATATATTTTTATTTATTAAGTTATTCTTATTACTAATAGTATTTAAATATCTTTAAGCAAGGCTCTTTATTATTATATATATCTTTATTATCTTTAGTAATTAAGTTTAGTAATAGAATTTATACAGATTTTAGGCTTATATAATATCTAATAAGATATTAGTAATAAAGTAAATAATATATCCTTTATCTTATTTCTTTAAAAGACTAATTTAGATAAATAAGTACTAAGTTTCTCTTTAGAGGTAGCTACTCTAGCTATACTATAGCAAGTTATAAACTATAAAGATACTAGATTTTTTTAGGCTTATCTAAATAAATAAGTATAATATAACGTTTAAGCCGCTTTTCTTAAGCGTTTTTCTACTAATATATTTATTAAAGCTGTAAGTTATATAAGCTATTATGTTAATTTATATACCCTAATTAAGTTTAGTATCTCTAATTTTAATACGCTTAAGACTTATCTAGATATTATAAGAGTTTAGTAGCTATAAGATAGTCTCTTAAAGAATATTTATACTAAATTTGATATAATTTAGAATTTAAAGAAAATAAAGCTATATAAAATATATTAAAAAGCTAAAGCTAATTTATATTATTAAAAAACTAAGCTCTAAAAATTAGTTTTTTAAGAATCTTAAAAGTAATTTTTTAAAAAAATTAAGACTTAAGATATTAATAAATAGCTTAATCTTTTATTACTTAATCTAGACAAAAATAACTAGATATTAAAGATAATAAAATATAATTTAGAAGAACAAAGATATATTACTTAAATATTATATAATAAACTCTTTAATTTTATAAAGAAAGCTAGTCTTAACTACTATATCTATATAATTAAAGCTATAGTTACTTTTTATTAAGTATAAAAAGTATTACATCAAAAGAAATCAAAATCCTATTATAATTAGGGAATCTTAAAAGAGATAATAGAGAAAGTGCAGCAGGTAGATATAGAGCCACCTTTAAGTTAATTCCTGATGATCTGTATAAGTATCTAGTGCCTTTTTTGTCTTAGGAACGCTAGGTTACCTTATAAATCACGAACTTTCTGCTTTAGCCAGCCTCAGAAAGCACAAGAATATGTTAAGCGTTAACATCTTTGATTTTTGCCTTTAAACGAGCCTATACTTTGTCCTTACCTGTAATATAAGAAGGTCCTTTAAGGTATTATACACTTTAAGAACTATATAGTCACTGTTTATAACTGCTTTCTCTTTGCTAGATCAGGGTTAGATTAATATAAAGTAAGAATATAAGATATTTTAATATTTATAATATCTTAGTATTAGGTTTAAATTTGCCTTGACTTTTCTATAAGTAAAGAAAGACCTTTTGTAAAAGCTTATTTATTTTATAGTTAATAAGATTAGTATAACTTTCTATAATAAAGAGCGCTATTTCCTTATAATAAAAGTTAATAAAATCTAATTAAAAAACTATATAATATTTTTGTAAGACCTACATTTCTTATAACGCTTTTAGGGTTAACGCTATTACCTACTTCTGTTAATTATTTTTTATTAATAACTAATCAAAAGTCGGATTACATATAAGGCGTAAGTTTATAAGGAGCTCAAACCTACTATATAGGGAGACAGTCATAGTCTTGACCTACTTTAAGATCTATAACATCCTCTGTAGCTAAACTATAAATAAAAAAAACATTAGTATTACTATATAGTTGTACTAATATACCTAGATAAACGTGAATATAATTAGTAATATAAATAAGAATAATAACGGGTTCGCGCTTATCACTATACACAACTGCATAATCAAAGTCCTGCCTTAGTACACGGTCTCATACATAGTCTACAGCAAGGTTACAAGGCGAGACAGGAGGATGTACATCCGCATAAACTTACCACGGAACAACATTATGGTCAAGATCGTGAGTGGCAGCGCAAGCGAGTGCTTAGTCCTAGTGTTGGACGCAAACAAGACTCAGAGCACGGGTGAGAACGTGATGTGGAGGACGAATGAAGATGTTACTACGCTCGTGATCAACAACAAAGTTGTGGACGACCTGGTTAGAATCAAGGGTAAGACCACAATCACGTGTGAGTCCCTGCTCGCGGTAACGTGCTGGACACGAGCGACATTATGATTAAACTCGTAAATACGACTGAGAACGAAGTCGGATTGTGCACATGTTTGCTGCAGACTATAAAGTCGGGCATGGAATGAAGACATATCGATTGTATACTGGGCAACAACGTTGCAGGCATCCACACAGTAATTATGGAGTATACAGGTATAAAGTTACTGCTTTATAATGTTATAAACTAAGGCTGATATAAGATTTAAGCTGGTCCTATGAGAAACAAGCTATTAGGAGAAACCTACTAGGAGAAACAGGCTACTAATAGATTCTCTCTAAGGACCTCAGACATCCTAAGAGTTTTATAAATTATATATGCTGTTATAAAATAAGTTATAGTAATGTATACTGTTATAGAACAAGTTATAGTAATACAGATTATTATGCAATAAGCTATTTTGTTGCTAGTTATTATGCTTTATACTATTATAGAATGAGTTGTAATAATATATACTATTATAGAACAAGTTGTAGTAATACAGATTATTATATAATAAGTTATTATGCTGCTGGTTATCATGCTATATACTGTTATAAAACGAGTTGTAGTAATATAATTTATTATATAATAAGCTATTATATAACAAAAGGCTTTGTTTTGTTATTAGCAGGAACTAATGTATCTAATTAGCTGTTACAGTCAGGTAATTCTTTTCCTCTGAGCAACACAAGATAACTACATAATAATTTTAATTCTAAGTAAGAGGGACTATAAATAGGCCCTAATAAATAATCAAATTAATATATATAATAGCAAAAATCTTAGCTATAAATAACTGATTAAAAGTATACTGTAAACTAGGGTTGTAGCTTACATCTTGACATCATTTAATTCGTGAGATTTAATCCTCCTAACTAGAAAGAGGGGAGGTGTTTTTCAGGGGTAAGGGGAGGAAGGGGGTGTTTTCTAGGAGGGTGGTTTTTAGGGGGGTCCTTTCTAGGGGTCCTTTCTAGGATCCTTTTCAGGGGTCCTTTCTAGGGGTCCTTTTCAGGGGTCCTTTCTAGGGGTCCTTTTTAGAGGTCCTTTTTAGGGGTCCTTTTTAGGGGTCCTTTTTAGAGGTCCTTTTTTAGGGTCCTTTTCTGAGAGATATGCAGAGTGACTTTGTATTAGTTAGATTAATGTTGAATAATGTAGGAGTATCTAGAGATCTAGCTAGGTTTCTAATGATCTAGCGTACTAGAGCACTATTATGCTAAGATCTTCCTTATTGTACTAGTGTTTTATATAACCTCTACTAGGTCTATCCTAAGTTAGTCTTCTCGCCTTAGCTATATAGTATTAATTATAACTACTTAAATTCCGTCTCTTATTCAAGTAATCTCTTAACCAAAAAAAATCCTTACTTAATAAAATTACTATTTATCTAGATCCTAAATCTAAAAATTAAAGTATATAGTCAGAAAGTTACTTAGATATTAGTTTTGCTCAGATTTTTCAAAATCGTATCTAGATTTGGAAAAAGGTCGTCTTTAGATAAAGGTAATAGTAAGAATTAGATTCTATGTGCTGATAGCTTCTAAACATCTTGCTAATCAAGGGATATATACTTGATCTTATCAGGTGGAAACAGAAAACGAAGAACAACTATTCTCATTATTTCGTTAATAGTGAAATCGCTAAAAATGGCTAGGCTACTCCTGCCTTTATCACCACTAATATCGACGTGTTAAAGCCTGTAAAGAAAGCTAGAGAGATAGATTGTAATCAGACTTGCTATGACTTGCGACTGTCTCTCAAGCTCTTAAATCAGTTCGCGATACTATAATTGTCCCAAATTCTTGATCGCCAGACATAGACAAACACCTGCTTTGCTCTGTTCTTTACTTCAGGCTATTTAGCATTTCACTACGACATTAAGCAGAAGGTAAGGTGGTGCGCTTTTGCTGAAATCGAAACCACTTAATAAAAGTAGTCGAAATGTGGAGTTTAGCTATTTAGTATTAATCCTGATTTTATAGAAAGATTTAAGGCTAATCTTTAAATCTTCTAACGACAAATTCTTTAACAAATCTATTATGTTGTTAGATTTAGATTTAGAGGTAAAAGGAGTCTGAGTACTAGCCTTTGTAATATAGTCGCTATTTAAGGATTTAAAACTTTATATATATAATGTTTCTTAGAAAAAATAAGGGACTTTAGTATATTTCTTAAGGTCTATAAAATATAGCAGATCACTCTTAAATAAATTTAAGAACTATTAATTATCTTATATTTATAATTAGCGAGTTATAATTATTCTGCGTCTTTATAAATATACAGTACCCGGTCAAAAGTCTCCGTTGATTTCGCGTTTTTCGCGTTTTTTCGCATTTTGCACCCACAACCCACCCATTCTATCAACGAATTATGCCCCCACGAAGGCCACTACGCGAAATCAGTGGTAATAGGCCTCTTCATCATGAGTTAACGCCTATTGAGCGCGCAGAGATAGTAGGCGCAGCCAAATGTGGAGTGAGATTCGCTGAAATTGGTCGCATACTCAATTTCGCGCCCTCAACCGTCCAATATACCTACGAACTATCTGAACAACGCAACCTCCACAAATCGATCTCGCGTGCGGGCAGACCCTCTATAACGTCCGAAAGAGATAAAAGAGCCATTATACAATATGCTCGTTCCTATCCCAAATCAACTTATGCACAAATGCGTTAAGATCTACAGATTCAACTCTCCGACAGTATTATCAAGCGAATTCTACTTCCTTATCATCTCCGCAAATGGCAATGCAAAAAAAGACCAGAATTAAGACCAGAAGTGGTTAATCTTCGATATCAATGAGTATTAAATCGTAAAGACTAGAGCGTTAAAGAGTGGGCTAGAATAATATTCTCGGATGAATCAAGCGTTAAATGAGGCAAAGGAGGTCAACATGAATAGGCCTGGCGTACAGCTGCACAGAAATGAGATTCTTAATTCGTATAAACCTACAAAAAGGGCTATAATATAAGTATCATGATATAGGGTGCTATTTGAATTAGAGGACGTTCTGATTTAATTATTATGACTTATGATAAGCAAGTGTAACGTAATAGATACTTAGCTAATTCCTATATTAATGTACTTAACCAAACTATTAAGAGATGCTAATAATCTAATATAATATTTATACAAAATAATGCCCTAATTTATATAGCTAAAAAAGTTACGAAATAGTTTAAAGATTAAGGTATATCAGTATTTAATTAGGCACCCTATTCTCTAGATTTGAACCTAATTAAACACATCTAGGCTTGGATAAAGCAGTGAATTAATTAGTAGTATCCACATCTTAAGGATTTAGGGGATTCGCAAGCAGCGTATAATGAATTAGCTCAAGTAATTATAGAAGTATAGGAGGCTATTCCGCAGGATAAAATTAACTCCCTAATCAAGTTAATAGATAACTAGGTAAATACTATACTATAGGCAAAAGGATAGCATACTAGATACTAAATCAAGAGACCTAATTAGGAAATTAGTATAATTATAATTGCTAGACATTAATAATTATTTTGAGCTATTTTTTATAAAATTCTGATTATAGTTTAGTATGTAATAGTAAAATATATAGAGTAAGGAACAGTTAGAGGGGGTAATAAAATTCGTGTATATAAAGACTTTTGACCTAGTACTATAGCATAGCCTTAGTTAAGTATAAAGAGAAAGTAATTTAATTAAATATATAAGTATTATATATATAAAGAATATAAAGAAGTAGGCATTAAGGCGCATAGATTAATATATTAAATATAGCTAGTACTAGCTAACCCTAATATAATATATATTAATAGCTTACTATTTCTGTTATATTCTATAAAAGGCTCTTTATTATATTTAAATTTATAAGCGTTGTCTTTCTATTCTTATAATATAATTTATACCTTAAATATTATTAAGTAAGCATAGACTTATATTAGTAATATATAGCTTTATACATAATTCTAATAGCGATATTATTTAGCGGACAGTATTATATATAGGATGTAGCCCTTATTAAGAGACTTATTATTACTACTTTTAAATAGTAATATAGCTGGACTATATACTTAAATTATAGCATAATAAGGCAGATTTTAGGCGAGAGATGCTTTACTTTACTATAATCTTACGTTTGCTACTACTATTAAGAGATTAAGGAGTCTAGATAAATTATTAATTAGTAGCATAAGATCTCTATACCTTCTGTCTCTCTTAGCCCCTTAGTAGACAAAGCGCTTAACAGTTAGTAATAGCTTAGTACTAACTTTATCAGGTCTCTAACATTACAAATAGCTCTAATTTGTGTAAAAGAGGTGTTTAGGTTATGACTAAGTTAATTTCCTGCTCAGAGCTTAAAGTAGCGTAATGTTTTTCAAATTAGACTAGGATTATAAGGCATTAGCTTTACTTCGCAAGTTTTATGCAAAGACGGCGGCTATAAGTAGTCAAAAGGACAAGTATAATTATATATCTGGCTCTAACAGATATAAGTAGGACGATAAATCTTTAGTATAGAATCAAATATATTAATTTTTTAATACTTTTTTTTTGATACAAAGCTAACAAAACATATAGATATAATGGATATGCAAATAATTATCCTAGTTTATATTACTAATATATCGCTTAAAGGCTATGTCATCTCTATTGTGATATCTCGCACGAATACGTCGCCCCTCTCTTACGCAGCATTCCGAGACCGCGATCTTATAAATAATCTAAAGCGATTTGCTGCTCTTTATAACCTAAAGCTAGAGCTGACGTACTTGACTAGCTCTCTTCTCTATCTGCTTCTGACATTTTAAGCAACTTTCAAACTCAGAAGGGCTGCCGTCATCTGTATTAGTAATGCGATACAGATTCTTGAGACGGCATAGACAACTGATATCAAAGATTGGTTATAAAATAAAGATTTTACTTACAAAGACACGATTACAGGTGAGGTCATCTGGAATACCTATTTCCTTTAGTTTATTAATTTGATCTTGTAGCCTTTGCAAACCTGATTAATATACGTCTTTTTTAATGAAAAAGAAGATATAAATAG